TCTGACCTTATCAACCGACAGCCCCATCTCGGCCGACTTGCCCTTGCCATACCCCACTGTGCCTTGCTCTTCAGTCTCTCTATCACCGCCCTGCACTGCTGGTCACACCTTGCCTCGCTGTCTCACCTTATCAACCGCCAGCCCCATCTCGGCCGACTTGCCCTTGCCATACCCCACCGTGCCATGCTCAGTCTTTGCAGCCTGTCACCGCACTGCACTTCTCTATACCGCACTGCTGGTCACACCTTGCCTCGCTGTCTGACCTTACCAACCGCCAGCCCCATCTCGGCCGACTTGCCCTTGCCATACCCCACTGTGCCTTGTTCTTCAGTCTATCTATCACCGCCCTGCACTGCTGGTCACACCTTGTCTCGCTGTCTGACCTTATCAACCGCCAGCCCCATCTCGGCCGACTTGCCCTTGCCATACCCCACTGTGCCTTGCTCTTCAGTCTATCTATCACCGCCCTGCACTGCTGGTCACACCTTGCCTCGCTGTCTGACCTTATCAACCGCCAGCCCCATCTCGGCCGACTTGCCCTTGCCATACCCCACTGTGCCTTGCTCTTCAGTCTATCTATCACCGCCCTGCACTGCTGGTCACACCTTGCCTCGCTGTCTGACCTTATCAACCGCCAGCCCCATCTCGGCCGACTTGCCCTTGCCATACCCCACTGTGCCTTGCTCTTCAGTCTATCTATCACCGCCCTGCACTGCTGGTCACACCTTGCCTCGCTGTCTGACCTTATCAACCGCCAGCCCCATCTCGGCCGACTTGCCCTTGCCATACCCCACTGTGCCTTGCTCTTCAGTCTATCTATCACCGCCCTGCACTGCTGGTCACACCTTGCCTCGCTGTCTGACCTTATCAACCGCCAGCCCCATCTCGGCCGACTTGCCCTTGCCATACCCCACTGTGCCTTGCTCTTCAGTCTATCTATCACCGCCCTGCACTGCTGGTCACACCTTGCCTCGCTGTCTCACCTTATCAACCGCCAGCCCCATCTCGGCCGACTTGCCCTTGCCATACCCACTGTGCCTTGCTCTTCAGTCTATCTATCACCGCCCTGCACTGCTGGTCACACCTTGCCTCACTGTCTGACCTTATCAACCGACAGCCCCATCTCGGCCGACTTGCCCTTGCCATACCCCACTGTGCCTTGCTCTTCAGTCTCTCTATCACCGCCCTGCACTGCTGGTCACACCTTGCCTCGCTGTCTCACCTTATCAACCGCCAGCCCCATCTCGGCCGACTTGCCCTTGCCATACCCCACCGTGCCATGCTCAGTCTTTGCAGCCTGTCACCGCACTGCACTTCTCTATACCGCACTGCTGGTCACACCTTGCCTCGCTGTCTCACCTTATCAACCGCCAGCCCCATCTCGGCCGACTTGCCCTTGCCATACCCCACTGTGCCTTGCTCTTCAGTCTATCTATCACCGCCCTGCACTGCTGGTCACACCTTGCCTCGCTGTCTGACCTTATCAACCGCCAGCCCCATCTCGGCCGACTTGCCCTTGCCATACCCCACTGTGCCTTGCTCTTCAGTCTATCTATCACCGCCCTGCACTGCTGGTCACACCTTGCCTCGCTGTCTCACCTTATCAACCGCCAGCCCCATCTCGGCCGACTTGCCCTTGCCATACCCCACTGTGCCTTGCTCTTCAGTCTATCTATCACCGCCCTGCACTGCTGGTCACACCTTGCCTCGCTGTCTGACCTTATCAACCGCCAGCCCCATCTCGGCCGACTTGCCCTTGCCATACCCCACTGTGCCTTGCTCTTCAGTCTATCTATCACCGCCCTGCACTGCTGGTCACACCTTGCCTCGCTGTCTGACCTTATCAACCGCCAGCCCCATCTCGGCCGACTTGCCCTTGCCATACCCCACCGTGCCATGCTCAGTCTTTGCAGCCTGTCACCGCACTGCACTTCTCTATACCGCACTGCTGGTCACACCTTGCCTCGCTGTCTGACCTTACCAACCGCCAGCCCCATCTCGGCCGACTTGCCCTTGCCATACCCCACTGTGCCTTGTTCTTCAGTCTATCTATCACCGCCCTGCACTGCTGGTCACACCTTGTCTCGCTGTCTGACCTTATCAACCGCCAGCCCCATCTCGGCCGACTTGCCCTTGCCATACCCCACTGTGCCTTGCTCTTCAGTCTATCTATCACCGCCCTGCACTGCTGGTCACACCTTGCCTCGCTGTCTGACCTTATCAACCGCCAGCCCCATCTCGGCCGACTTTCCCTTGCCATACCCCACTGTGCCTTGCTCTTCAGTCTATCTATCACCGCCCTGCACTGCTGGTCACACCTTGCCTCGCTGTCTGACCTTATCAACCGCCAGCCCCATCTCGGCCGACTTGCCCTTGCCATACCCCACTGTGCCTTGCTCTTCAGTCTATCTATCACCGCCCTGCACTGCTGGTCACACCTTGCCTCGCTGTCTCACCTTATCAACCGCCAGCCCCATCTCGGCCGACTTGCCCTTGCCATACCCCACTGTGCCTTGCTCTTCAGTCTATCTATCACCGCCCTGCACTGCTGGTCACACCTTGCCTCGCTGTCTGACCTTATCAACCGCCAGCCCCATCTCGGCCGACTTGCCCTTGCCATACCCCACTGTGCCTTGCTCTTCAGTCTATCTATCACCGCCCTGCACTGCTGGTCACACCTTGCCTCGCTGTCTCACCTTATCAACCGCCAGCCCCATCTCGGCCGACTTGCCCTTGCCATACCCCACTGTGCCTTGCTCTTCAGTCTATCTATCACCGCCCTGCACTGCTGGTCACACCTTGCCTCGCTGTCTGACCTTATCAACCGCCAGCCCCATCTCGGCCGACTTGCCCTTGCCATACCCCACTGTGCCTTGCTCTTCAGTCTATCTATCACCGCCCTGCACTGCTGGTCACACCTTGCCTCGCTGTCTCACCTTATCAACCGCCAGCCCCATCTCGGCCGACTTGCCCTTGCCATACCCCACTGTGCCTTGCTCTTCAGTCTATCTATCACCGCCCTGCACTGCTGGTCACACCTTGCCTCGCTGTCTCACCTTATCAACCGCCAGTCCCATCTCGGCCGACTTGCCCTTGCCATACTCCACTGTGCCTTGCTCTTCAGTCTATCTATCACCGCCCTGCACTGCTGGTCACACCTTGCCTCGCTGTCTCACCTTATCAACCGCCAGCCCCATCTCGGCCGACTTGCCCTTGCCATACCCCACTGTGCCTTGCTCTTCAGTCTATCTATCACCGCCCTGCACTGCTGGTCACACCTTGCCTCGCTGTCTGACCTTATCAACCGCCAGCCCCATCTCGGCCGACTTGCCCTTGCCATACCCCACTGTGCCTTGCTCTTCAGTCTATCTATCACCGCCCTGCACTGCTGGTCACACCTTGCCTCGCTGTCTGACCTTATCAACCGCCAGCCCCATCTCGGCCGACTTGCCCTTGCCATACCCCACTGTGCCTTGCTCTTCAGTCTATCTATCACCGCCCTGCACTGCTGGTCACACCTTGCCTCGCTGTCTGACCTTATCAACCGCCAGCCCCATCTCGGCCGACTTGCCCTTGCCATACCCCACTGTGCCTTGCTCTTCAGTCTATCTATCACCGCCCTGCACTGCTGGTCACACCTTGCCTCGCTGTCTGACCTTATCAACCGCCAGCCCCATCTCGGCCGACTTGCCCTTGCCATACCCCACTGTGCCTTGCTCTTCAGTCTATCTATCACCGCCCTGCACTGCTGGTCACACCTTGCCTCGCTGTCTCACCTTATCAACCGCCAGTCCCATCTCGGCCGACTTGCCCTTGCCATACCCCACTGTGCCTTGCTCTTCAGTCTATCTATCACCGCCCTGCACTGCTGGTCACACCTTGCCTCGCTGTCTCACCTTATCAACCGCCAGCCCCATCTCGGCCGACTTGCCCTTGCCATACCCCACTGTGCCTTGCTCTTCAGTCTGTCTATCACCGCCCTGCACTGCTGGTCACACCTTGCCTCGCTGTCTGACCTTATCAACCGCCAGCCCCATCTCGGCCGACTTGCCCTTGCCATACCCCACTGTGCCTTGCTCTTCAGTCTATCTATCACCGCCCTGCACTGCTGGTCACACCTTGCCTCGCTGTCTCACCTTATCAACCGCCAGTCCCATCTCGGCCGACTTGCCCTTGCCATACCCCACTGTGCCTTGCTCTTCAGTCTATCTATCACCGCCCTGCACTGCTGGTCATACCTTGCCTCGCTGTCTCACCTTATCAACCGCCAGCCCCATCTCGGCCGACTTGCCCTTGCCATACCCCACTGTGCCTTGCTCTTCAGTCTATCTATCACCGCCCTGCACTGCTGGTCACACCTTGCCTCGCTGTCTGACCTTATCAACCGCCAGCCCCATCTCGGCCGACTTGCCCTTGCCATACCCCACTGTGCCTTGCTCTTCAGTCTATCTATCACCGCCCTGCACTGCTGGTCACACCTTGCCTCGCTGTCTCACCTTATCAACCGCCAGTCCCATCTCGGCCGACTTGCCCTTGCCATACCCCACTGTGCCTTGCTCTTCAGTCTATCTATCACCGCCCTGCACTGCTGGTCACACCTTGCCTCGCTGTCTCACCTTATCAACCACCAGCCCCATCTCGGCCGACTTGCCCTTGCCATACCCCACTGTGCCTTGCTCTTCAGTCTATCTATCACCGCCCTGCACTGCTGGTCACACCTTGCCTCGTTGTCTCACCTTATCAACCGCCAGCCCCATCTCGGCCGACTTGCCCTTGCCATACCCCACCGTGCCATGCTCAGTCTTTGCAGCCTGTCACCGCACTGCACTTCTCTATACCGCACTGCTGGTCTCACCTTGCCCTGCTGTCTCACCTTATCAACCGCCAGCCCCATGTCGGCCGACTTGCCCTTGCCAAAACCAGCTCAGTCATGTTCAGCGTTCAGAGCATAACACCGCACAGCACTCCTTGTTTCATCTCACTCAACACTATGGTCGCACCTTATCAACCGCCAGTCCCATTTCTGCTGACTTGCCCTTGCCATACCCCACCGTGCCTTGCCCGTTCCCACACACCACCAGCGCTGTGAAACTCAGCACCTTGCCTCCCTGAAGGAAACGCAGGGGGGTTGGGGGGAGAAGGGGTTTGGGGGGAAGAAAGGGGGAACGAGGGCGAAAGAGGGGGGGGAAGGAGGGGGAAGGAGAGGGGAAAGGCAGGGGGGGGGGGGGGGAGGGGGGGGGGGGGGAGAAGAAGAGTAAACTTCCCGTTCCCACACACCACCAGCTGAGAAGCTCAGCACCTCGCCTCCCTGAGGGAATGAGGATGAGAGCCATGAAGGGCAAAGGAAACAAGGTTCTGGGTACCGGGTTTAGGCCCAGAAAGAAGGGGACAGAGGACCTTCTTGCGAGAGGGTTCCGAGAGAATGTGACAGGAATTGGCATCGAAGAAAGGGATTCGATGAGGGAGCATGAATCAGCGGGAAACGCAAGGTACAAAGAGAGTGTCAGGCGGGAGGGGGGAGGAGGAGGGGGAAGGGAAGCGACGAAGCAGAAGCAGAAAGTGCAACGGAAAATGTGAATGGTAACAGGAGAATGGGAAGGATATGAAGAGATGGGACGGAGGAGAGGGGAGGGGAGGGGAAGGGAGGGGAGGGGAGGGGAGGGGAGGGGAGGGGAGGGGAGGGGAGTTGCGGGGAGGGCAGTAACGTACCTTGGTGACCTTGGCAGTGCGATTGACATCCACAATGCGCATCTGAAATTGCTGTGGCGTGATGAGATGAGAGGAGAGGGGGGGGAGGGGGGAAAGGAGGGAGATAGGGGGAGAGGGGAGAGAGAGGGCAGTCGGGGGAGAGGGAAAAGAAGGGGGGAAGGGGGAGAGGGGGGAGAGGGGGGAGAGAAGAGGCAGATGGATGGATGGTAAACGTCCACTACGCGCATGTGACTTTTGAGACGTCTCAAAAGTTGGATGGATGGTTAACATCCACTATGCGCAGGTGGAATTGACGTGATGCTCGCAGGCGGGAGAGGGGGGAGGGCGGGGGAGATGGGGGATGGGGGGGGAAGATGGGGGAGGAGGAGGGGGAGATGGATGGATGCTTGACTAGACATCGGCTGTGATCTAGTTGAAATGAGCGAAAGGCGAAGGGGCGGGGAGGGGGGAGGCGAAGGCCGAGAGATGGTTGACTGGCATCCACTACGGGGAAGGAAGGAGGCACAGGCTTGAGGAAGTTGCATGCATACTCGATACAAGCCCTCACCCGTTTCAAGCGCTGCATGGACGGCGGTCGGCCCGGCTTCACTTTAAGCATCTTCTCAAACATGAATCGCTGCACGCGCCGCGGCATGCCCTCGAGCCGCCTGCCCATGTCGATAATATGCTCCAAACCCTCAACGTCTAACTCGGGATGTAACCCTAACCCTGATTCTTCCTCCTCCAACGCTGACGTCAGCTCCGCCACGTCAGCACTGATCGCGTCGGCGTTTGCTAACGCGTGCGCCGGAAGCACGTTCGTCCCCTCGTCCACGTCATCCTTCTCCTCGTCCTCGTCGACCTCCACGCTGCTTCCGCGAAGCTTCAGCTCCGCGCTTTCGCGGTCCGAGATCCCCCCCTCAACATCCGCTCCCCCTGAAACCTCTCTCGCGGAGACCACGCGGCTCGAAGATCCGATACGCGGATCGGATCTCGAATCTCCGTCAAACCCGCCGCCGCCTGCGCTACCTGAAGCGGTTGTGAGAAGGCGGTGAGAGAGCGCAAACGGGGGTGATAGTAACGAAATTTCGAGACGATGCGATCCGGCAAATGGAGTTGAGAATTTGGCGGGAAGGTGGTGGTATGGACGAGCAGGGAGGTTCGGAAGGGACGGCGGAAGCGGAGCGGATGGGAAGCGGAGGGAGAGGAGCGAGCGGAGAAGACGGGTGGAATGGCGAACGGACGCCATGGAATCGTGCTCGAACCCCACCCCTCCTGCTACTAATTGCTCGGTTCGCAGATTCCTAGGCTGCTTACTACCGACTGTCTCGTGGCGTCGCGGCAGCCTGATCATTTTTTCTCAAGCATGGCTGGAGCGGCATCCCCGCTGGAAGCATCTCGTGTATTGCTACAACGCCACCAGTGATAGTTGTAGCTGTAGATGGGAAGTTAATCGTGATAAAGCTAACCATTATATCTCAAGTTCACACCTCTCACTTCATCAAAACCTACATCCAACCACTTGACTTTCAAGCTCGTTATTATGAAGACTACCTCCTATTGCGCCTTACATTGCGCTGATATCGAGACGCCTAAAAAGGTGGCAAAACCGCTCTATCTCAAACCGTTTGTATCATCAGCATGTCATGCCATGTTTATCATTCCAGTTTTCATATGCCTCCAAGGTACAACCAGCTTCCAGACGTCTCACTCAACCCACACACACCACCACCACCATCACCAAAGAATCACCGCCACCACCATCACGCGCTGCTCTGCAGCATGGCAGCGAAGTCAATCCCCACAACGGTGGTGTTGTCGTGTGTCCTCAGTGTGCGAGCCTTTGCCACGAGCCGAACTTGCCATCACCACCAGCACCATCATCATCACCAGCACCACCACCAGCACCAGCACCAGCACCAGCACCAGCACCAGCACCAGCACCAGCACCAGCACCAGCACCAGCACCAGCACCAGCACCAGCACCGTCATAAAACCGCCCATCATCAAGCAATGCTCTGCAGCATGGCAGTGAAATCAATCCCTACAACGGTGGTGTTGTCATGTGTCCTCAGCGTGCGTGCCTTTGCCACCAGCGCACTTGCCATTGCCTCTGCTGCACCGCCCTCCATCCCGCCCTCCTCCTGTTCCTTCCGAGCCTGCTTGGTCCGTGCAAACGCATGATGCAAGGAGGACAGCAGTGAGCATGGTAGGGGCACAATATGGAACGAGGAAAATGCTATTTGAGGAAAAACTATTGCGGATGCGTGAATTGGGGGAGATGGGAGAAAATGCAACGTACAAAGGGGACAAAACAAAAACAAACTGATGCGACAAGCAAGGCATCAACTGTACGTCGCAGTGCAAGACAAAATACTGTCGGGCGTACTGTACACAGGAATACATCATTGGGACAATCTTGTAGGGCGTATTGTGCTCGTTCATAAAATCATCATGAAATCTGACAAGGTCGTGGCATACAAGGTCGTGGCATACAAGGTCGTGGCATACAAGGTATGACATTATCAACAAACGTTGCCTCACCTCTAGTGCCACTTGAATGGCTCGTTTAACTGACATCACGTCCCATAAACCGTCACTGTAGACATGTATGCATGCACCATGCATATACATGCATGCACATACATGCACATGCATACACGTGCTTTCACACACATGCACATACATGCAACCACATGGAGACACATGCATACGCATGCATACACATTGATTCACATGCACACACATGCACATACATGCAGACATGCACACACATGCATACACATGCACACACATGCATACACATGCACATACATGCACACACATGCACACACATGCACACACATGCACACACATGCACATACATGCACACACATGCATACATATGCATACACATGCACATACATGCACACACATGCACACACATGCACACACATGCATACATATGCATACACATGCACATACATGCACACACATGCACGTACATGCACACACATGCACATACATGCACGTACATGCACACACATGCACATACATGCACACACATGCACACACATGCACATACATGCACACACATGCATGACCCGCATACGCAACACAGAGAGACATGGAAATGAAGCAACGGCAATGAAAGAACTATGTTTCAAAGCAGCTCTCACCCTCCTCATGTCCCCCCTTGCAACCTCCCCCCACCATCAGCAGCATCAGCATCACCCACCTGGCATTGACTCCAATGACCGGCTTTCTCATGCCCCCTCCTTCAGGCACGGGTATCTGCAGGGGGGCGTGGATGAATGGTTCCAAGGAGTGCCCCACGTCCTGCTCTCACGCTCCTCGCATCCCCCCTTGCCATCTTACCCCACCGTCAGCACCAACACCAGAATCATCACTACTATTACACACCTGGCAATGACTCCTATGACCGGCTTGCTCGTGCCCCCTTCCTCACGCACGGGAAGCTGGAGGGGGGCGTGAATGAACGGGTCCGAGGAGAGCCCCACGCCCTGCTGCTCTCACCCTCCTGTTATCCCACCTTGCGATCTTGCATCAGCATCAGCAGCATCACGAGCACACACCTGGCAATGACTCCAATGACCGGCTTGCTCGTGCCCCCTTCCTCTGGCAGGGGCAGCTGGAGGGGCGCATGGATGAACGGGTCCGAGGAGAGACCCACGCCCTGCTGCTTGAGGAATTTGTCTCCAAACACACGCGCTATGTTCATGCCTGCACATGGGTGGGGGATGGGGTAGTGGAGAGGTTGGGTGTCATAGTAGTTCTCTGACCATAGCCCTACGGCACTTTGCCCCTATGCCCCTTCTCCGCCACTCACTTCCTGTGACCCCTGTCATGCCATCTCCCCACATGCCCCATTCATCCCCCACATTGGCCCTCTCATCTCCCCACATCTCCCACATTCCGTCCCCCCTCTTATCTCACCACGTAATCCCCATCATCTCACCACACAGCCGTGTGTCCCCATCACACATGGGCTCGCCCATGGACGCAAGACGCCCCTTCTCAACCGCTCCCTCCCGGTGACCCCTCTCATCTCCCACATGCCCCTTCCGTCCCCCAAATTGCCTTCCCTTCAAGTCCCCACGCAATGCCCCCATCTCACCACATAATCCCCTCGTCTCACCACATAATCCCCTCGTCTCACCACATAATCCCCTCGTCTCACCACATAATCCCCTCGTCTCACCACATAATCCCCTCGTCCTCACCACATAATCCCCTCGTCTCACCACATAATCCCCTCGTCTCACCACATAATCCCCTCGTCTCACCACATAATTCCCTCGTCTCACCACATAATCCCTCGTCTCACCACATAATCCCCTCGTCTCACCACATAATCCCCTCGTCTCACCACATAATCCCCTCGTCTCACCACATAATCCCCTCGTCTCACCACATAATCCCCGCATCTCACCGCACAGCCGTGTGTCCCCATCGCGCATGGGCTTGCCAATGGACGCTAGGCGCCCCTTCTCCACCGCTCACTCCCCGTGACCCGTCTCATCTCCCCACATGCCCCCTTCACCTCCCAGTTTGGCCCTCTCATCTTCCCACCCAATCCCCGCATCCCCCCTCATGCTCGTCTCACCGCACAGCCGAGTGTCCCCATCGCGCATGGGCTTGCCAATGGACGCTAGGCGCCCCTTCTCCACGGGCCCCGTCAGCCGGTGGTCCTCTGTCATCTGCACCACTGCCTCCTCGCTTGCACTGCCCAGACTGGATAGGTGGAGAGGGGTAAGAAGGGGTAAGGAGGGGTTAGGAGGGGTGGGGAGAGGTGGAAATGCGAGGGAGGGCAGGGGAGGGCGCCCCTTCTCCACGGGCCCTGTCAGCCGGTGGTCCTCTGTCATCTGCACCACTTGCTCCTCGCTCGCACTGCCCAGACTGGATACGAGGGAAGGGGATGGGTGGGATGGGATGGAAGGGTGTGACATGAGACGAGGTGCCTGTCAGCCGGTGGTCCTCCGTCATCTGCACCACGCCCTCCTCGCTCGCAATGCCCAGGCTGGAGGGTTGGAGAGGGGTGGGGAGGGGTTGGGAGGGGTGGGGAGTGGTGGGGATGCGAGGGGAGGGCGCCCCTTCTCCACGGGCCCTGTCAGGGGTGGTCCTATGTCTGCACCACTGCCTCCTTGCTCGCACTTCCTAAGCTGTATTGGTGGGGTGGAAATGGTTGGGGACTGGTGGGGATTGGTGCGGATGGGAAGTAGGAGGTTGACACGAGGGAAGGTGCCTGTCAGGCGGTGGTCCTGCGTCATCCGCACCACTACATCGTTTTTGACAGCACTGCCCAGGCTGGATGGGTGGGGATGGGTGGGGATGGGTGGGGATGGGAGGGAGGAGAGAGCCATGGTATGGAGGTGGGTGCAGCACGGAGGAGAGGAAATGCAGTCCCCACAGCATGGAGTTGGTCATCTCATGCCGTCGCTGTTGAAGGTGGAAACCCACCCCATGCAGTCCCTCAGACTCGCTGACTGCACTCCACGCTCCACCCACACGAGTTGGGGCGGTTGGAGGGCCATTCCCTCTGCCATCAGCCGTGCCCTGTGCCCCTCTCGTTCCACACGAGCAGCATAGTGACAGCACAGCCTTTAATATAATCCACCTTAATCAACAAGCACCGTCATACCCCAGCTTGTGCCTGTGTGAATCGGCAGTCAACCTCTTTTCTTACCCCAGCACGCAGTGTGAGTCTCCGAGATTGCCTGCCTGCACCCACACGCGGTGGGGCGGCTGGAAGGCCCGCCACACGAGCAGCACAGTGGCAGTGCAGCCCTCATCCTCGTTATTGAGCTCCTCCTCTGTCGCCTTGAAGGCTGCTCGCAGCACGTCCGAGGCATTGCAGCTCATGCGCACCACCACATGCTTGCCCCCCTTCAACAGCTCTTGAGAGAGTTTTTCTGGGAAGATTCTGAGAGAAAAGAGGAGAGCAACGGGGTGGGGCAAGGGAAGAAAAGGGTGTGGGCAATGATGGTGCTTGCAGGCAGCTCATGCGCACCACCACGTGCTTGCCCCCCTTCAGGAGCTCTTGAGAAAGCTTCTCTGGGAAGATTCTGAGAGATAAGAGAGGAGAGGGATGGGGCGAGAGAGAATAGGAGATGTGAGCAGCAGTGGTGCTTGCTTGCAGCTCATGCGCACCACCACGTGCTTGCCCCCCTTCAGCAGCTCTTGAGATAGTTTTTCTGGAAAGATTCTGGTCGGAAGAAGGCGGGGAGAGGGTGGGTGGGGTAAGGGAAGAACATGCAAGGCTGCTCGCAGCACGTCGGTCGCGTTGCAGGTCCCCACGTGCTTGCCTCCTTTCAGCAGCTCTTGGGGAAGATTCTGAGAGAAAAGAGGAGAGCAGCGGGTGGGGCAAGAAGGGGCGAGGAGTGGGGAGACGGGTGGGGCGAGGGGTAGGGATAGGGAAGATCAGGCAGCGTGAGCAGTGGCGGTGCTTGCAGCTCATGCACCACCACGTGCTTGTTCGGGACAAACGTGGGGAAGAGGTGGGGTAAGGGACAGTGCAAGGGAGGAGGAAGCATGGGGCGAGGGACTGAGAAAGTGGTGCTTCTCTGGGATAGCTTCTCAAAAAAGCTTCTGAGGAAGGGGAGAGGAGAAGGACGGGGAGAGAGAGAGTGGGGCGTGGGTGAGGGGGGCTGGAACGAGCGTGGGGCGAGGGAGAATAGGAAACGTGAGCAGCGGTGGTGCTTGCAGCTCATGCGCACCACCACGTGCTTGCCTCCTTATTCAGGAAAAAATATGAGAAGTGGGAGGAGGAGAAAGGGTGGGGCAAGGGTGGGGCGAGGGAAGAATGGGAAACGTAGACAGTGGAATGCACACAACCACATGCATTATTACATTGTGCACACAGTCACACCCGTCTTTGCCACAGTGGACATTGTCACACCACACACCAGCAGCAGCAGCAGCTGGAGCCTCACCTCTTGACGTTGTCGGCACACTGCCGGCCCGCATGGCCATCAAACACACAGCAGATGCCCATCTGTAGCCCGCACACACACACATGGTGGGGGTGGGGGAATGGGGAGAAGGTGAGGGGAAAGTGAGGCACCATGTGAGGGTAAGGCAGAGAGCTACAGAGCAGAAACAAACAATCGGTGCGAGGTCAGCAAAAACGGATGCACGTGTGTGGGAACGGAAGGTGGTGTAAAGTTCCGCCTAACAGCCTGCAGCAACAAACTCAACTCAATACAGTCACAATCCGCACACTCACGTCCTGGTACCCTCAGAGTGGCCACTCGCACAGAGGCACGTGCTCCATGGGCAGCGGCTTGGCTTGGCCCCCTTGCTGGTAGAACCACCACACTCGGCACACCACGCACTCACAGCCGCCCATTACCAAACGTCCAGGCCCATCCCCAAGCCCTCAGGGCAAGCACACCACACCCCTCTACACTCACGTCCTGTAACCCTCTGAGAGGCCACTCGCACAGAGGCACGTCCTCCATGGGCAGCGGCTTGCCCCCCTTGCGTGCCCGCATGGGGTCGGCTGCTATGGCGATGTCACACGGGGCATCTGGGCATGGGTGCTCCACCTTGCTCGTGTCCGCCAGTAGGCGCACCTGGGGGACGAGGGAGAGAAGGCAGGAAAGAGGCAAGGCATGGCACTGAGTGTTCTGAAAAACAGCGGCTTGGCTTGGCTTGCGTCCCTTGTGCGCAAGCATGGGGTCAGCTGCTATGGCGATGTCACATGGGGCATCGGGGCATGGGTGTTCCAACTTACTCTTGTCCGCCAGTAGTCGCACCTGGGTGGCACGGAAGGAAAGGGGAAACGGGATGGAAAGAGGGATGGCATGGCATCTAGTGTTCTCAAGGGGCAAGGGCTTGCCTCCCTTGCGCGCTCGCATGGGATCGGCTGCTATGGCGATGTCACACGGGGCATCTGGGCATGGCCGCTCCCTCCACCTTGCTTGTGTTCACCAGCAGTCGCACCTGGGGGGGAAGGGAGGAGGGGAGGGCGGAAGAGATGCCATAGCATGGCACTGATTACGCATATCCATGGCATGGCATGGCATGGCATCCGCCAGTACACGCATGTGCGTGTGGAGGGAGGGCCAAGGGGGGAGGGAGGGTGGGTGGAAGGAATGACATAGCATGGCACTGATGACGCACACACCATGGCACATGCACGCACGCGCCAAAACATGCGACTGCGAACTGCACGTGCTAATAATTTTGTTTTGAGACGTCTCAAAACAAAACATGCGACTGCGACCTGCACGTGCTTTTTATGATTCAATGGGGAAGGAACACAGTCACACACTCACACACACGCACCAGGATACGAGACTGCGACCTACACGTGATCACGTCGCCGTCTGCCAGCTGGCACGGCCGCCCCTCGGTACGCTCCACACCACACACACGCACTCATGCACGCACACACATGCATCCTTGCACACGCACTCAAGAACTCACACACGCACGCACGCACGCACACACACATGTACCCACCAGGATGCGTGACTGCGACCCACATGTGATCACGTCCCCATCCGCCACCTGGCACGGCCGCCCCTCCGTGCGCATCAAACCACACGCATGCACTCACGCACCTTCTTGCACACGCACTCAAGCACACACCCACCCACCAGGATACGCGACTGCGACCCGCACGTGATCACGTCGCCATCAGCCAGCTGGCACGGCCGCCCCTCGGTGCGCTCGCCCTCCTCGTCCGCCTCTGCGTTGATGGCCTCATCGTTCAGCAGCGTGCCGTTCAGTGACCCGCGATCCACCACCTCCCACCGCCCCGACTGCTTGTGTTAGGGGTGGTGCGGGACAGAGCGTTTGCATGTAAACGGGCGGGTGACGTGGGAAGCGGGGCTTGGGGGAGGTTTTTGTGGCAGCTCTAGTGGAATGAGTCACATCAACTCAGAGATCACCAACAAAAGCAGCTCAGACGCACCAGAGCGTTCCAGGTGACGTAGGCGTGCTTGCTGGACACCTCCCCATCGTTCAGCTGCAGGTCGTTCGCCTTCACTCGCCCAATCGTCTGCTCAAAAGGTCACCTCAAGACCCACTCAAACGCACCAGAGCATTCCAGGTGACATAGGCGTGCTTGCTGGACACCTCCCCATCGTTCAGCTGCAGGTCGTTGGCCTTCACGCGCCCTATGGTGGCGGACGGCCATGGCTCCAGCTTCTCGTTCTTCAGCACCAGCTTGCCGCCTGAGGCTGGTCCGCTGATCACCTCCAGTACCAGCGTGGCGCCTGAGTGTGAGAAAAGGGCACAAGAAGGGGGTATGCAAATGAAGATTGCAAAGGGGGTTGATGTGAGGGCCTGCACTCAAACCTTTCCTCTCCATCGTTGAGCTGCAGGTCGTTGGCCTTCACACGCCCTATGGTGGCTGACGGCCATGGCTCCAGCTTCTCATTCTTCAACACCAGCCTGCCGCCTGACGCCGGCCCACTGATCACCTCCAATACCAATGTGGCTCCTGATGATGTGTGCAACGGGGTTAGAGGCAACAGCGCACAGGGCACAGGGTACAGGGCATGGGGCACGGGGCATGGGGCATACGAGCTTCGAGGCCCCCAAGTCCCAGCTTCTCGTTCCTCAGCACCTGCTTGCTGCCGCCTGACACTGGCCCGCTGATCACCTCACGTCCAATACCAGCATGGCGCCTGGGTGGGCACGTAAAGGGATTGGCGGCAACAGCTGAGAACAAACGCACAAGCCGTCAAGCTTCAAGCTCTCAGCCGTCGAGCTTCTTGCTCCTCGGCACCAGCCTGCTGCCCACTGCCGGCCAGCCAGCTGATCACCTCCAAGACCAGTGTGGCGCCTGGATTCGCAACGGGGGTATGCAGGCGGGGGTATGCAAAACGGGGGCGGCTGTGAGGACAAGCACACACATGCTTCAAGCCTCCGCCCTCCAGCTACTCGTTCTTCAGCACCACCCTGCTGTGTGCGCAAATGCCTGCCTACCACCCCATTCTCGTCCTGTCTCCACGAGTCATTCACCTACCTTTCCTCCTAGCAGCATCCTTCTTAGCAGCAGCAGCGGCATCAGGGACAGCAACAGCCAGAACAGATGTTTGAGACGTCTCAAGAAGAGTCGTCATTCACCTACCTGCCTGCCTCAAACCCACCCACCTTCCCTCCTAGCCGCCTTCTTCTTTGCAGCAGCAGCAGCATCAGGGACAGCAGCAGCGGAAACAGCCGCAGCAGCAGAAACACCGTCAGCCTCTGCATCCCCCTCCCCATCCATCCCCTCCCCAGCATCATACTCTCTCACAGTCGACTCGCCAAACTTTACCCTCCCTTGCCTAACCCCTCCCTCCTTCCGCGCGCGCTTATTCGCAGCAGCAGCCGCCGCTGCTGCCTCCTCTGCCGCCTCTGCTTCTGCCTGCCGCCGCTCCTCCTCCCACTGCTTCTGCCGCGCTGCCCGCGCTGCCTCTGCTGCCGCTGCTTCCGCCGCTGCTTGCTGGTCCGCGGAGGCGGAGGGCTGAGAGGGCGGGAACGACTGCTGCTCTATGTCCTCGCTCTCGTCGCCCCAGTCCTGGGGGGGTGGGGAAAGGGTGGGGGGGAATTGTGGGGGAGGGGGACGAAAAGCGGGGAAAGGTTAGGGGTAAGTGAGGGGGAGGGCGGGAAGGACTGCTGCTCTATGTCCTCGCTCTCGTCCCCCCAGTCCTGGGGGGGAGGGGGAAGGAGAGGGGGGGCGAAGGTTGGAAGGGAGGTGAGGGGAACGGGGTGGGGATGTGGGGGGGAGGGGGTGGGAGATTGGGGGGAAAGGTGGGGTTGAGGAGGGGGATGACGGGGGGAAGGGAAAGGCGAAGGGGGAGGGGGGGAAGAAGGAAGGGGGAAAAGAGGAGAAGATTGCATTGCCATGCTTTCATTCTTCCCATTGTGTTTCGTGCCTGTAGGAAAAGCCGCGTCTCAAAACATTACTTGTACATGGAGAATGTGGAAACCCTACATCTGCAGCTGCAAACGGTGCAGCTGCAGGAAACCCGTACCTGAGAGAACAGAAGCGGCACGCGGGTTTCGCCATTAGCAGCCGCTGCGGCTCCAGCTGTAGCCGCTGTCCCAGCAGACGCCTGACCAGGCCCGTCGTACCCATCCCCATCAGCTGCAGGTACACTCGTACCTGAGAGAACAGAAGCGGCACGCGGGCTTCGCCATTAGCAGCCGCTGCCGCTGCAGCACCAGCTGTAGCCGCTGTCCCTGCGGATGCTTGGCCAGGCCCGTCGTACCCATCCCCGTCTCTCCGCTTTTTCCGCATGCACAAGTAGCACACCCCAATGGCGACGACCGCGCACACGGTAACGCTCGCGATGACCACGTGCGACGACGGAGCCATGTCGGCGAGCGAACGGTCTGGATGCGAGTCTAAGAAATGCTCGAGAAATCGGACGGTGGAAAATGCAGGGAAGAAGGTTGCGCCGAGGGCTTGCGGGAACGGGAAGTTGTGGTTCACGCGGGAAAAGGAGTCGTCCGACGCGTCGCTGTTGCGCCAAGTGTGGGGTGGTTGCCACGTGGCGGCTGGGGACTGCTCCAGCAGCATGGACCGAGAAATGTAATGTTGGACCATTCAGAAAACAACACGTGGACGAACCGCGGAATGCAGAAGGGAGTTAAGACCCCGAGCCTAGTACTAATCAGCAGATTCACATTTCAAACCAGGACCTACGTCCGGCAAGGGAATGTCGCGACGCGAAGAAGAGCCTGGGTTCGGAATAAAGCAGATGCTTGCGTGGACTGGCGTGAATGCGAAATGCGGAATGTGATGGAGCAGATGCTCCTAAAACTACAATGCTGCTGGGGTTGCGGCGCAACGGAAGGCGGAGTTTAGGTGTGTTCTGGCTTCGTTAGGTGTGTGTGGAGGACAAGAACTAAGAATTGTCAAGTGTTGAGGGAGTACTCCCAGTTGTGAGTAACAGGCCGATGTGACCCCTCGCGAACGGATTGTGTCGTAATTAGTAATTTGCTGCTTGCTTCCACATACGGTATGTTGCTCCCTGGACCTAGATTTACAATGGACTACTATAAGTCTACCTTTTGCTACTTTCTTGGTTGATTTGACAGCAGATTGGAAATCACCTGGAGGGAAGTTGTTGGTTTTTTTTTTTTTTTTTTTTTATGGAAACAAAAATATGTGTGAATATAGACGCCTCCAGTGTGCTCTCTCCAATTTATTTGGCATTAGTTGCTGACAGTCTTGAGAGTTCCTCTGTAAGGGCCCAGGGGTGTGGATGGGAGAAGATCAGTAATCACAAAAATCAAGGAAACACGAATGTACCATGGAGTTTAGAAGGTCAGCAGAGCATGTCAAGCTGAAAAGAGTGAAAAAATGCAAGGGGAAGAGGAAAACTCCACCATAACTTCGTCCCACCTTGCTTCTTCTCCTTGAGCGTACTGCTGTCAGCGAGGAAGAAAATCGCACCACGTTTCTGATAAGTAGTCTGCAAAAACATTGCACCATGCTTTCAACCCTGAGTGACAACCAGCAAACCCAGTATCCGAACAAAGAGTCTGCTGACCCATACCATTGGAAATCTCCATACCCATAAATGGTGCACAGTTGCAGCATAACGGGACAAGTGGGACTTATCCGGTGATTTTTTCAGTCAACTCAAGTTACATCCATACCCATAAACGATGCATGGCTGCAATAGAACGAGATAAGTGGGACTTACCCGGCCAGAGGGCAGAGAGGAAAGCTCAGCACAGGCTACCTGCAGTTCCTGCGCCTGCAGAGAGATAGCCATAAGAACACAGAGAGGAGTAATCAGAGCCTTCTCGGTTATAAAACTCTGAGCGGCGTCGGCAACTGTGTTGAGCAGGTCAAGGAAAGGATTAATCTGGAAAACCCACTAAAACAGCAAAGGCAGCAGAAGCAGGAAGTAAAGCGAATTCGGGGTAACAGGCGGCTTTAATACCTTTAGATTCAGCTCCTTCTGATGTTGTGAGCTGCCTACCATGATGCGATTCGAGGATCTGCTGGCTGGCTCTGGCAAACTCTCGAAGGGCGACCTGCGGTTACATATAATTTCTGGTCTGCATTTACCATCAAAAGGCGGGAAGGAAAGGGAATGCACAGGAATCCGAAAAACGGAAAGGTGATGACCAGGTATGCACTGGAATCCGGGTGTGCCTTGACAGGTGAGGAGCAAACACCAACCACTAATGTCACTCCACTGCCCGAACTCCTGCTCAAACTCCCCTTACCCCACTGTTCCCCACTCCCCTTTTCCCACCGTTCCACTCCCCTTCCCCAACTGTTCCATTCCACTTCCCCTTTGCCTTACCACGTCATGGGATGCAGCAACTAAACGGCCTAATGCCTAGGTTTCCTAGGGCTGCGGCGCAGGACACGACACTACCATTAGGTCGAAAAGGGCTGCGGCCCTAGAAACGACCTTAGCACTAGGTCTTCCTAGACATAACGAACTAGAAGCGAGTGAGTTGTAAAGGGCACCAGCACACATTTCGACCTTTAGCATAAGGTCGGTTAGGGCTGCAGCCCCAGTAGCGACCTGCTTACGTGATCGACATAGGCTGCTGTCCTGATTTCGACCTTAGTATAAGGTCGATTGGGATTGCAGCCCATGAAACGGCCTAATACTTAGGTCGACTCGGACTGCAGCCCGATAAAAGCCCTTAGCATGGGCTCGTCACACGCTGCAGCCCTAAAACGTCCCTACTCTGACACGCACGAAACCCCTCACCATCGTGTGGTCGAATGAGTAGTCCTGGGATGCTTCAGCGAGGTTAGGCCCCAAATCCAGGAGGTTAGGCCCCAAATCCAGCAGGTGTATCTATGAATGCGGATTGCTTCAATCCATGTGAAGGCCGCAAGTGCTCTGGGAACTATTGTGCATCCAAGGCTGCAAGTGTTGCGTATTCTCAAGGATGGGTATAATACACCGGATAGAAACGGCATTTGGTCTCGAGTAAGATGTACCAGCTACCTATGGAAGGTATTTCACTATGAGGTGCAATGTTTGGATATAGGATGACTCTGTATAAATATCATCACATGTCTGCCCCTTTCTGTAGCAGGTTGGTGCAAAAACGATGAACTCTTTCCAGTTGCCCATTGGCTGCGAAGACCGCGACAGCACCACCCACCACGCGGACACCCAACCACATGTGGCATCACGTTGCGACGCCACGTCAGACCGTCCAGAGAGGGGAGCAGCGGTGGCTCGCGTCGGACAAGGAAGTCAAATTCAGAGCGGCCATTTTCAGGTGCATGCAACTTAGTCGGGAAGAACTGTTCAGGTGCATGCTATCCCGTCGTGTTTCTCCCTCTGTTATTACTGTTTGTACACCTCCGCCACGAAAAACACTGTTTGTCAGGGGATGGTACCCATGCGACTGACACCAGCTGACGCAGCTCTCGCACGAACTCGTCGTCCAACCACACCAGTCGCAGCCTTACTGTCAATACATATCGCAACACACCTGACAAAAAACGGGCAAAAAAATATAAAACCCAATTGGAAACGCATGCGACTTGGGAGGAATCAACCCTAAACACCAGGGCGGTTCCCGTGTTTAGGTTGATCTCTTCCGAAAAATATGTCCAGGTTCCCTAGTTTTTTTTCTTCCCACTGCCTTACGAGACATCAACCCTAAACACCAGTACGGTTCCCGTGTTTAGGGTTGATCCCTCCCGAACAATGTCCAGGTTCCCTAGGAGTTGTATTTTTCTTTTTCGGGCTTCCCTGCCAGGCCGATTTTGTGTGTTGCGTGTGTTGCGTGTGTTGCGTGTGCTGCTTGTGTTGCGCGGGTTGCATCCCCTGACAGAACAGTGGTTTTCGTGGCGGAGGTGTACAAACAGTAATAACAGAGGGAGAAACACGACGGGATAGCATGAACAGTTTTTCCCGACTAAGTTGCATGCACCTGAAAATGGCCGAATTCAGAGGGCTGAAAGCGAAGTGCCGCGAAATAATGACGAGGGCAGCAATGGCTGATCCAATCAGCGGAGCCAGGTGCTGAGGCTGACCATGGGGCCCCTCTGGTTACCCTACTTACTGGATCTCCCTGCGAAACCAGGGCAGGAGGGGGGGAGCGTGGGGGCTGGCTGGCTGCGCACCAGCGCAATCAGCCTTGGAAATCTGTGCTGGTGGCCCACTGTGACTGTCACATGGGGAATTGACCATGGAAATGGAGAATCCTAGGGGATCCATTGGGTTGTCCTCTGCTTTTTCCTCCAACCCGCTGCTTGTCCTCGTCAAGAAACAAGAGCTCCAATCCAAGTCGCATCGATGCCACCATATACGAGTTTTGCCTGTCAGAGCTGTGGTTCAGTCGTGACAGCTTTGCTCAAACGCCCAACGATTTTACCATCGGAAGCCCATTTCTGGTTCCGAGCCCAATCCAATACCGAGGCGTGTTGACGCAGTTGCTATCGATGCGCGTGTATGACGCAGCGACGTTCGACTAAGTCGACGACAGAACGACTTCAACCATCCTCTATTAGTAAACGCGTTGTTCGTCGAAACTAGCCTTCTTATGTGTACATTCCATACGACTGGGGCGCACATGCATGGCTGCCGGTTGCAAAGTCCCGCACTTACTCGTGGAGAATAAACTTGACGATGCGAAGTTGTCAGCTTTGCATGCCAGGCATGTCAGATTAGGAAAAATAGAAAACGTAGGCGTCAAGTCGTCTCGCGTGTCAGGAGAATTAGTAGCAGACAAGCCGGGTGAAATTATGGCCGAAAGGCGTCGTACCACTCTGCAGAAGCAATTCCTGGGGGAGAAACAGGGTTACCCAGAAGCAAACAGTTCGCCAGCACGGCGAGATTCTGAAAAACTTCGCACACGGACTCCAGCGGACCCCTCGGCGGCAGCCGAGATCAAGAAAGAGCGTAGAGAAAGGCGAAGGTCGCGAGGCACTTCTCTAGTAACGGACGAATTGGCCTCAGGAGCGATGGACATGGCGGCAACAGCAGCGGCAGAGCAGCGGCCGGTCACGCCCAGGTCCTCCACTCTTCCAATTCCGTCCGCCCCTGAACACTCGCCCGCGTTGGGGTTGCTGGAGTTGCCAAGAGCGTCAACCTCCGGCGCTGCGCCGCCGTCAGCAGCTGCCGCCGCCGCTGCACGGGGAAGCGCGCCGGGAAAGGAGCTACGCAATTCGCCATTTGAGGCGCCTCAAAAGTCGCCGTCAGCAACTGCCCCCGCCGCCGCTGCTCGGGGAAGCGCGCCGGGAAAGGAGCCACGCAAGTCGCGAGGCGGCTCGATGCTGCTCGATGAGATGCTGCTGGAGGGGCCTCCGCTGGCAGCCAAGGCAGGGCTCGACCGGGGGAGGTCGTATTCGAGGGGAGGGTTATCCGCTGCTCTCGCTGCCGTGGCGGATGAAGCGTCTGCTGCCGCCGCCGCTGCTACTGCTGCTGCTGGTGGTGGGGGTATGGGCGGTATTGCTGCTGCTGGTGGCTTGAGAGAGGTGCGTTGCGTTTTATTTTCCTCCTCACCTCGTCCCTGCTTCCTCTTTCTCCCATGATGGTTTGTCGCGAACAGGAGAAAAGCTGACCTTCGTAGCAAAATATAGCTTCCCTAGCACTAAGCAAGAATAGAAACCAACGAACGTTGTAGCAACGCATCAAGCATGGTCACACTGATACGCTTCCTTCGTCCCTGTGTGCACCGTTCTCCACCCCTTGCAGTCCCACCGCAAGCCCCTCCTCGCTCGCCACCGCCATCGCTCCGTCTCCATGACTGCTGCTGAAATCGTTTCCTCTGTCCCCTTGTGCACCGTTCTCCACCCCTTGCCTTGCAGTCCCACCGCAAGCCCCTTCTTGCTCGCCACCGCCACCGCTCCGTCTCCATGACCGCTGCTGAAATCGCCAGACTTGCTGTTGAAGACGCGGGTTCGAATCCTGCTGGAGAACGCAGCCCCAGCCGCCACATCCACCCTCCCCGCAGCAGCTCTCCCCACGCCATTCAGGCAGGCAGCAGTCCTTCACGTCCCTTCAATGCTCCTGTTGCGAAGCAAGTCTACGATTACCCTCTTCGTGGCTTTAGCGCGGATGGAGAAGGCGCCGTTGATGCTGGCGGCTCTGAGTATCAGAGCGGCGCTGCTGGGAGGAGTAACGCCACCGCCCTTGGTGTTGCGACTGGGAGAACGGCCCGGAACAAGTCAGGAAGGGAGGAGCTGGTATGGCCGACCCAGCACCAGCAGCAGCACCTTCACCAGGAGCAGCCGGAGGAGGAAGAGGAGGAGGAGGACGAGGAACAGCAAGCGGAGGAGGAACAACAGGAGGAACAGCAGGAGCAAAGGGGCCAGCAGCAAAGGCAACAACGCTCTGATAATTATTACCGGGCGAATGAGCATCGACCATCCCAACCATCCGCAACATCAAAGCAGTATCGACTGTCCCGTCATGGCCATGCTCGGTCCGCCTCAGGTCCCGTCTCCTTCCTTGCTCTCCCCTCCTCTCCCTCTCCCTCACCCCCGCGCCGGGCGGCTCCCACTAGCCGCCTTGCCCAATCCGCATCGTCCGCTGCTTCACAAGGCGATCACAAGCCACAGCAGAATCATCAGCAGCAACAGTGGGAGCAGCAGCAGCAGCAGCAGCAGCAGCAGCAGCAGCAGCAGCAGCAGCAGGCCGTGTATGGGCGTAGTAACCGAAAGGGGAATTTACTGATTAGCAGTGAGCAGGGACAAAGGGACGAGGATGAGGGTGAGAGCGAAGGCGAGGGCAGGGGAGAGTGGGCGGCAGGGGACGCGGAGTGGGAAGGGGAAACGCCCAAGGACCGCACAGAGCAGTACCAAGAGTGGGAGGACTCGAGACCCTGTGGCCATGGCCCCAAACCTGCTGCTTCCTTAGACCAAGGGCATCCCTCCCAGATCCACCACCTGGCCCACACTCACCACCAGCAGCAGCAGCAGCAGCAGCATCAGCGGCAGCAGCAGCAGCAGCAGAAACGCCAACCCCTGCGTGCAGTGAAGGTCCCTTTGCATGGTCGCCCCCGTCGCACCATGTCCGCCCTGCCCTCTGCCGTCCTCAGCAGCGATTTCTCCTGGGAGAGTGGCCGCACGGCTGCACTCTCTCGCCTGCGAAACTCCTCTGTGGGCTCCCCTTGCTCCCCCACTCACGCCCACTTTCACGCCCACACTAACTCCCACTCGCAGGCCCACTCTCTCTCCCGCCCTCGTTCCCACTTCCGTTCGCCCAGCTGTGATGTACCGTTTGACTGCCAGCAGAAATTCTCCTCAGAATTCCCTGAAGGTAGGAGCTATAATCGCCATAGGTGTTCCCCTGCTAATAGCACAGCAGGTGATGGGGCCGGAAGGGAAAGACAGGAGGAGGATGAGACAGACGAAGTGGAGGAGGGAGAGACGGAAGGCGCAGTGCAAAGGGAGCGTTTACACGAGTCGGATCTATATGGGAATGACGATGCTATGGATGACGTCACGAATGAGGCATGGAGAGGGGTGGAGGCACAGAGGGAAGAGAGGGCGATGATGTCAGCAGCAGCAGCTGCCATGCTGGACCTGGAGCTGTCTGACTCAGCAGTGGATTCTGCCATGGAGGATGAATGGATAGGTTCAGGGCTAGGGAAAGGGGGCCATGGGGATGCTTATGGTTCTGGCGATTCTCGTCGTTTGGGTGGTGGTGGTTCTGGTGGTTCTGGTCGCTTTGGGAATTCTTATAGTGGTCTGAAGATGGGCGGAGGCGAGAGGGGAACCTCACAGAGGGATGTGGGGTATGGTGAGGCGAGGGAGGAGGGGGTGTTGCATGGGACGAGGATGCGAGCAAGTAGGCTGCAACCGGGGCGTGCACAAGGCTTGACACCGAGCCACCTTACAATGGCACAAGGCTTGACGCCGAGCCACGTCCCAACGGCACAAGGCCTGAGGCCAGGGCACGTTCGGAGCAGGTCAGCAGGCCATGCCCTCGGGCACAGGGAGGTGGGTGGTCGTCTGGAGGGCATGAAAGAGGTTCAAAACGATGTGGAGGAGTACAAAGAGTTGGGCGATGGGTACTCTCAAGACCAGGACCAAGAGGGTGCGGAGGAGAGTGGAAATAGTTTCAGAGGAAGCAGATTTGAAGGAAGGGGCATTAGAGACGCGATAATGATCACCCCTGTGGTGCAGTCTGGTGCTGAGGAGTGGCAGAGTGAGGGGCCTTGTGCGTTGGCTGGAATGGGCTTGGATGGGCATGAAAGTGACGGTCGAATGGATTTTGAGAATTCTCGAAAAGATAATTCTCAAAAAACATACACTGGAATGGGCTTGGATGGGCATGAAAGTGACGGTCGAATGGCCAGACCCTTCACCCCTGTGAGGCGGCCGGGGCAGAAGGAGAATTCGGAGCAGCAGGAGCAGCAGGATCGGCAGGAGCGGAGGGAGCGGGAGGAACAGCAGGAAAGGAAGGAACAGCAGGAGAGGCAGGAACGGCAGGGGAAGAAAAGAGAAGTCGCTAGGGGTAATAGCAGACGGGAAGAGGGAGAGGGAAGCAAGGGCAAGAGTAGAGGGGAGAGAGAAGAGAAGATCCGAGGTAAGGGCTGGCGGAGTAAAAGCGTAGGCGGGGGGGTTGGAGAGGAGAGAATGTTGGGTGGCTGGGGGCGGCAGGAGGAGAGGGATGGGCGCAAGGTGGGGGAGAGGGGGAGTGGGAAGGGGAAGGCGGATGGCGAGGAGGTGAGAGTGAAGGGAAACTGGAAGGCGGATGAAGAGGAGGTGAGAGAAGCTTGGGACGCAGTAGGAGTAATGATGAAGGGAGGGGTGGAAGGGCGGAGACGGAAGGATATGGGAAGAGAGGAGAGGGGAAAGGGGCAGGAGAAGGAGGAGGTAAGGCGAGGTGGAGCAGATGCGGTTTATGCTGTTCGTGGGAGTGAGAAGGGAATTGGTACTGCAACGGGGAGTGACTGGAGTGAGGGGAGCAGCGAGAATGGAGAAATACGTATTGGGGAAAGTCGTGAGTGTGGGAGCGGAAGAGGTTGGGGGGGAGGAGGAGAGGGAGAGATAGCAGGTGGTAAGATGGTGATTGGGAAGGAACAAAGGCAGGGGCAGCAGCAACAACTACAGCAGCAACAGCAGGAGCAGGAGCAGGCGCAACCACCACCACCACAGCCAAAGGCCCGACTCACTCGCCTCCCCTCCGCCTCTCTGCTTGTCTTCCATCTAGACACAGGCACCCCTCTCCCTCTCGCCTCAGTCGTCATTCCCCCACACATTGCCGATTTTCTCAACACTGATCCTGCTGCAGATAACGACAAAGATTCAACCACTGTAGCTCCTGGTCCCACCGTTCGAGCTTGTACCAAACCCGGGGCAGCTACTAACGGGGCTGCTGGGGGTCCTAAGGCTGTTTCCTCAGCAGGGCAAGATGGGGAGGTGACTTTTGAGCCACCTCAAAAGTCTGAGACAGTCCGAAGCAGCAAGGCTGCTGCCCTCGCAGGGCAAGAGGGGGAGATGGGCAAGAGCTTGATTGTGAAAGAACGGGCTATGAGGAAGGGACCTCTGGCTGGGGCACTGGCAGGTGTTGAGAGGGGTGGGGAGGAGGATAGAGGGAGGGATGGAGGAGATGGGGGCAGGGGACATGGGAAAGATAAGGGCTGGGGAGTTGGAAAAGTTGTGTATGGGGAAGAGAGTGGGAAAGGTGGTAGCAGGAGGGTTGGGAAGGGAGGGTTTGTGAAATCTGCTACTGTGCAGGATAGGCAGAGGAGGGGAGCAGGGGGCGACGGAACTGGCAGCATAAATGGGAAGGGACAGGAGAAGGGGCAGGAGAAAGGGCAGGGCAAGGGGCAGGGGAAGGGGATGGTGTGGGGAAGGATGGCGAGTGTTCAAGTGCTTGGGAGAAAGTACACTGGAGGGGGGCTTGATGGATGGGGTAAGAAGGAGCAAGAGGCGAGCACTGACCGCGCTGACCGCGTTGACCCTGTTGACCCTGTTGACCGCGTTGACCACGTTGACCACGTTGACCCTGTTGACCGCGTTTTGTTCGCACAGCGAAAGGAGGACTTGTACGGCAGGTCAAAGAGCCAGCCAGGCATACGGCCGAAGACCGCCGACCCAAATTCTCGCTCTTCTGCCTCAGCTACTGATGATGGTACTTCTTCTGCTGCTGCTGCTGTCGCTGCCGCTTCCGCTGCCAAATCTTCCTCTGCAGCAAAAACGGTCACAGCAAAAGGGCTGAATCTGTTCTCCGAGACGTTTCAAAAGTCTTCTTCTGCAGAAAAAGCTGTCACAGCGAAAGGGCTGAGGCATGCTGTTAGCATCAGTAGCAGCAGCAGCGGCATCAGCATTGGTAGCAGCAGCAGCATTGGCAGCAGTGGCATAATCAGTGGCAGCAGCAGCAACAGCGGAGGCAACATAGGTGGCAGCGGCGTCAACAGTGGTAACAGCAGTGGCAGCAACAGCAGCCGCATCCGGCGCAGTGCGAGTAGCATTCCCAGTCAAATGGAGGGCGGACCGAAGCCGAAAGGAGGGGGCTTTGTGAAAGAAGAGCTGAACTTCATAATCGACGCGTTTCTGTCTGAGCCCAAGAGTGGAAATAAGCCCAGAAAGGGAGACAAGACGGGGCCCTTTCCTCGGTCAGGGTCGGTTGGTTCGAGCTCGGAGTCAATGGGCTCAGGGAAGGAGGGAGGAGAAGGGAGGGAGGGGAGAAAAGGGCAAGGAAAGGAGGGCAAGGAGGGGAAGGACGGGAAGGAGGATAAGGAGGGGAAGCCGAGGAAGGAGGAGGAGGGGAAGAAAGGGCGGTATCCTCGGTCGGGATCGATTGGGTCTGGTGAATGGAGGGAGGAACTGAAGAACGACCGGCGAGAAGGGCAGAGAAAGGAGGGGAAGGAGAGGAAGGAGGGGAGGGATGAAGGAGAGGGGAAGGAGAGGAGGAAAGGGCTGTTTCCTCGTGTTGGGTCTAACGACGGGGAAGAAGGTTCTCGGAAGGAGAGTTCGGCAGTGTTGTCGCTGTTTGGAAAGATGGCAACTGGTAAATTCGTGAAAGCTGAGAAGCCCTCTGAGAAAGCATCTCCTCAGCGTGATCGCCCTCCCCATGAGCAGCTGCAGCAGGAGCAGCAAGGGGAGGAGGAGAAGGAGGATGGTGAAGGAGGGGCTGAAATTGAGGGTGGGAGGGCAAGGGATGGGGAGATGCAGAAGAAGACGGGGCCAAAGCTTCTTCTCAAGCGGCCCCTGGCTCTCCTCCACAAGGGAAAAGCAGCCAGAGGAGGGGCAAACACTCCCCTCGAAACAGGTCTCGGGGAGGCAAGAAGCACAACTTCAGGACAAGCCTGCAGCAGCAACAGTAACGGTAACGGTTACATGTACAGTAACACTGGTGGTAGTGCTGACACATGGGATATCTTGATGGTGGGTCCCGATGGGAGGGATCCTCTGAGTGAGGATGAGGATGAGTGTGAGAGGCTGGAGGAAGAGGAGGCGGACGTGGTTCGGCCGTTGGATCAGCCCAACCAGTGGTTTCAGCAACACCAAATGCGGCAGTCAAGGCACCAGTATCAATAGTACCGTATCTTGTTATTCTGCTAGTTATAGAATATGGTACGTTTTCTATGTTTCTTACCATATTGATGCAACGGGATATAGTTACGGAGTAAATATAGCTCTAGCCTCTTACAAAAGATTCCCAGATATTGGTGTGGGGCGTTTTCCATTGTAAGTGAAGTGCATGGTTTATATATGAATTAATTATTGGTTTTTGTAGCTCTAAAGATTGTGGAGAGTACCGATACTGCACTAAAGCAATCTCCAAGGATACCAGCGCGCCACGTGGACCACACCGTGGCTTTTCCGAAGATGTGTATTGGCTCCGCTCCGCACCTTCATCCGCTCCGCGCAAGTGACACTTCACCTGCACTTCCCCCCGCGCGTCTCACCTTCCCCGCTTGCGCGCACCCCCCACGCAGCACCCCTCTGCCTCACTTCATTACCTCATACCTTAGTTACCTCAGATTATCCCGAATATAGTCCTGTCGTGTCGTTAGTACGGCAGTGGGTGACTCGTATTCTCATCGAGCATCGGGCATCATTATCGCGTGACTTCTCTTTTTCTTGTCGCGTTTCGGCGTGGTCCTGTCCCTCAGTAGTGGTGTAGTGTCGCAGCATGGGTCGCCTAGTGTGCCATTCCCCCGTTGCGCCGCACACACTCGCCACGCCGCTGCGCGCCGATTCGCGCACGCGGAAAGGCGCGGTTGCAGCGTTTGTCGTGCCTCGATCCGCATCGAGAGTGAAGCTCGATACCTACGTGGCGAGCCGCGCGCACGTGGGCGCGAAGCAGCTGATGGGACAGAGCCTCCAGTCGGCGACGGAAGTGCTGCGATCACGACACGTGGCGGAATCGTGCGGAAGACGAGGAGTCGTCGAGATGGTGCGTTGCGTTGTAATTAGAGGAAACCTTGAAACAGTAGAAGCAAGTCCGTATCGCGCTTACGACACAGAAAACAGAAGCTGGCCTGTCGGCATTCCTGCGACCGAATCCTTGATTAAACCGGAACTGAAGTATAGTCCTGTGGCAGCGACCTTTCGCGAAGGATGCCGCAGTTACAAGTACCTTTCGCCAAGAGTGCTCGCTTTGTTACAGTAAACTTTCGCGAAGAATGCTCGAACCGTTACAGCTCTGGCACCGCAGGAAGGTTTGCCGCCAAATGGCACGACGTCCGGCAATCCCAAGGCGTACTCATCTACGAGAGTTACGACAGCAGCAAGTCCGATCGTGGTTCCTAACGATCCGCTGCGTTTTCAAGGGTCACGGAAATCTCAAGGTTCACTGAATCTCAATGTTCACGGCATTCCCAAGGTTCACGGCAATTTCCACTCTTAGGGTTAGCGTGCCGCTATGGCGCGTTATGCAGCTTCAGCTGAGTGGCATATCCGCGTTATTGACGCATCGGGCTCGCGCCAGAGGGGATGTATTTCCTCAATGCGTCATCGCTGTCGTGCTTTTGAGAATTCTCGAAAGTAGCATAAAAACAACGAGTGTTCATTGTAGTCGCACTTTGGAGCGGCCCTGCCGTTAGTTGGAGCGGCCCTGACGTTAGTTGGAGCGGCCCTGACGTTAGTTGGAGCGGCCCTGACGTTTGTTGGAGCGGCCCTGACGTTAGTTGGAGCCGCCCTGACGTTAGTTGGAGCCGCCCTGACGTTAGTTGGAGCCGCCCTGACGTTAGTTGGAGCCGCCCTGACGTTAGTTGGAGCCGCCCTGACTTTAGTTGGAGCCGCCCTGACGTTAGTTGGAGAGCCCCATCCCACCCACACCTTTCCCTTGTTTCCCTCCTCCCCTCCTCCAGCCATCCTTCTTCCGTGGTTCCCCTCGCCCCTCAAACCACACTCTCCCCCCTTTTTTCCCTCCCCCCTCCCCTCCCCCGCTCCCCTTCCCCCTTTCCCCTCCCCTCCACCCCACCCCCTACTCCCCACAGGTCATCCCATTCCAAAAGGGCGAGGCGACACAGCAGCCGCCGCCCGACCTGCCCTCGTATCTGTTCAAAAGCCGCATTGTTTTCCTCGGCATGTCGCTCGTGCCCTCCGTCACTTACAACATCCCACCCTCATTCCCCCTTTTCCCGCTCCTCCCCCTCGCCCCTCTCCTCCAACCCCCCTCTTCACATGTCCCCCCTCCCCCACAACCCAACCTCTATCCCCCACGCCCCACAGGTCATCCCATTCCAAAAGGGCGAGGCGACACAGCAGCCGCCACCCGACCTGCCATCGTATCTGTTCAAGAACCGCATTGTGTTCCTGGGCATGTCACTCGTGCCCTCCGTCACTGAGCTCATTATGGCGGAGCTGCTCTACCTGCAGTACGACAGCCCGGAGAAGCCGATTTATATGTACATTAATTCCACAGGCACTACCAAGGTACGGTTACTGTAGCGAATATCCGCGTTATAAGGGATGTCAGCCCTCCGTTTGTCACCGAGCTCATCATGGCGGAGCTGCTCTACCTGCAGTACGACAGCCCTGAGAAACCGATCTATATGTATATCAACTCCACGGGAACTACGAAGGTAAAGTACTGTAGCAAATATCCGCGTTATAAGACGAGTTTTGAGGCACCTCAAAAGTTGTGCCCTCCGTTAATGAGCTCATCATGGCGGAGCTGCTCTACCTGCACTACGACAGCCTGAGAAGCCAATCTATATGTATATCAACTCCACCGGCACAACCAAGGTACTGTAGTGTTAAATCCGCGTTATAAGATGGGCGGCTGAGCTCATTGTGGCCGAGCTGCTCTACCTGCAGTATCTACATGTATATCAACTCCACCGGCAACACCAAGGTACTGTTATGGGTATTCTCGTTATAAGACAAGTCAACATGGATATCTGAGCTTCTGCACTATGTGTGCTTCATGGTCTTGAGAAAATAACCATTTACAGGTGCATTAACAAAGCAACTAGTCAGGGACAGCAAATGTTCAATTCCCTCCACCCCTCCCCCCAGCTTGCCTTGCCCTCTCAACACTTTTACAGGCATTCCAAATATATCCTTCCCCCCTTCCCACTCCCCCCTGGTTGCCCTGTTGTCAATTTCTGAGGCGCATCTGATTTCCCCCATCCTTCCACAAAGCTCTCAGAGGTTTGGAAATCGGCCCCTGCTGCATGTAACGACCCTCTCTCCTGCTTCCCCCCCGTTGGTCCACCCGCCCTTTCTTTCTGCCTGCCAGGATGGGGAGAAGCTGGGCTATGAGACAGAGGCCTTTGCCTCTACCCCTCTCTCCTCCCTTTCCTTCCCGGTTCACCGTTTCTCCCCCTATTTCGCCTCCTTCCGTTTGCTCCTCCTGGTGTGGCAGGACGGGGAGAAGCTGGGGTACGAGACAGAGGCGTTTGCCATCTATGACACCATGCGGTCGGTCCAGACTCCACTCCTTTCCTTCTCCCTACCTTATTATTCCCGTAGCCTCCCTTCTTTCGCCCTTCCTTATCCTCGTCGCATCCCTTCCTCCTCAGCCTTCCTCGCATCGCATCAGCCTTGTCCTCCTCCTCTTCTCTGGGCTCTTTCCGTTGTGGCCTCGCTTCCTCGTGAAAGAAGTGTAGTTTTAAGACGTCTCAAAACTAGCCTTCCTCGCATCGCATTAGCCTTGTCCTCCTCCTCTCCAGGCTCTTTCTGTTGTGGCCTCGCTTCCTTGCCCGTCATCCCATCCTGTGCCCTTCCCTCACCGATCTTCTATGTGTGGGCAATGCGTGGGGGGAGGCGGCTCTGCTGCTGTCTGCTGGTTGCAGTCACAGGAGCCTGCTGATTCATTCTTGAAGTGCCTCATAACCTCCCCTCTTCTCCCCGTTCTCTGTCCAACCAACCCTCCAGCTATGTGAAACCATCGATCTTCACTCTGTGTGTGGGCAATGCGTGGAGGGAGGCGGCTCTGCTGCTGTCTGCTGGTTGCAGTCACAGGAGCCTGCTGATTCATTCTTGAAGTGCCTCAAAACCTCCCCTCCCCCCATCCCTCCTTCATTTCCCGCTGTCCCCCCCTTACCGCCATTCTCTCACTCCCTTCCTCCAGCTACGTGAAACCACCGATCTTCACTCTGTGTGTGGGCAACGCGTGGGAGGAGGCGGCGCTGCTGCTGTCTGCTGGATCCAAGGGCAACCGGTCGGCGCTGCCATCCTCCCCCATCAGGCTCAAGCAGCCCATCTCACCCATCTCCTCCCCTCAATGCCCCCTTTTCTCCCTGTATTCTCCCCCCTTTCCTCTTTCCTTTTCCCCCACCCCTTCATTCTCCCCTTCCCCAGCTACGTGAAGCCACCCATCTTCACACTCTGCGTCGGGAACGCGTGGGGGGAGGCGGCGATGCTGCTGTCTGCAGGATCTAAGGGCAACCGGTCGGCGCTGCCCTCCTCCTCCATCATGCTCAAGCAGCCCATCTCACGGTTCCGCGGGCAGGCGACTGACATTGATATCATGCGCAAGGAAGTGCGAAACGTGAAGGGTGAACTGGTGAGTGGTTGGAGCACATGTGTACAAATACTTAGGGCAGTGAGAGATTGCTGACTCATACAGGCCACTGACATTGACATCATGCGCAAGGAAGTGCGGAATGTGAAGACAGAATTGGTGAGTACTGGGAAGAGAAGTCAGTGGCGTTCACAGGCGCACCTGTGCACTTGCACCCTGCATGTCAAGAGAAGTTACTGGGCGTTTGCAGGCCATTGATTTTGACCTCATGCGCAAGGAAGTGGAACGTGAAGACAGGACTGGTGAGAACTAGAGAGAGAAGTCACTGACAAGTCACTGACATTGACAAGTCACTGACATTGACAAGTCACTGACATTGACAAGTCACTGACATTGACAAGCCACTGACATTGACAAGTCACTGACATTGACAAGTCACTGACATTGACAAGTCACTGACATTGACAAGTCACTGACATTGACAAGTCACTGACATTGACAAGTCACTGACATTGACAAGTCACTGACATTGACAAGTCACTGACATTGACAAGTCACTGACATTGACAAGTCACTGACATTGACAAGCCACTGACATTGACAAGTCACTGACATTGACAAGTCACTGACATTGACAAGTCACTGACATTGACAAGTCACTGACATTGACAAGCCACTGACATTGACAAGTCACTGACATTGACAAGTCACCGACATTGACAAGCCACTGACATTGACAAGCCACTGACATTGACAAGTCACTGACATTGACAAGCCACTGACATTGACAAGCCACTGACATTGACAAGTCACTGACATTGACAAGCCACTGACATTGACAAGTCACTGACATTGACAAGTCACTGACATTGACAAGCCACTGACATTGACAAGTCACTGACATTGACAAGTCACTGACATTGACAAGCCACTGACATTGACAAGTCACTGACATTGACAAGGCGAAAACATTGTTATCAAGTGTCACTATCTCCTTATTCTCTATTGTGCTTTTAAGGGACACTATTTCCTGATTCCCTATTGTGTTTGACATCTCTGTTTCTGGCGCAGGTGAAATTGTACTCGCGGCACACAGGCAAGTCAGAGGAGACGATCGAGAATGACATACGGCGTCCCATGTACCTCACACCTGACGCTGCCGTGGAATATGGGATCATTGATAAGGTGCGTGAGACACATTGTGAATGTGTTGCTGACCATTCTTTCGTTGTTGCTTAGTTTTCGCTCGTATTGCTTTGCTTTGGATGCTGCTCCGATTGGTTCAAGAGGCTAACACATGGTGTGCACGTCTTGAGCACGCAATGTTGGAGTGCATTTTAAGAATTTCGCTTTGTGCTGAGCCCTATTGCTCGTGTTGCTGGGTGGCTGGCATTGCAGGTTCTCGACACGGATGCGAAGAACGACAGTGTTGTCGATTCCCTTCGCAAACGGCAGCTTATCTAGTCAGTGATGGTAGTCCTGGCCATGCCATTACTAACAATAAGAGTACCTGCAGGGTCTATGTACTGGTACTAGTAGTAGGCATTTTTGTATTATGGAGTCACAGATATCTCAAAGATACCCTACCTTAGGTTCCAACCAACAGGAGCTTTGCAGGAGTGAGGTGGACTGGCAACAGGGAATGGGTAACGTTATGTGCACTAGCGTGCCATAGATTCTACCGTAGGTGGAGACTACCCTATCACAAGCAGTCACAACACAACACTGTCATGCTGTTCTGTTCGCGTGTATGGCCAACACTTTTCTCTCTTGAATGCATTTGTTTCATTGCTGCATACGATCAAGCTGCACTGCACTGGAGCACTTTACATGTTCCTCTGTCTAGAAAGAAAACAGAGAAGCTTTGAACACATCTACCGTATAAGCCGTTCTGATCACAAGTGTTGGGTTGCCCATCAACTGCTTTTTATTTCCCGTTCGACGAAACCCGGCTGACTCAGTGTTGGAAAAGCTGATCACAAAGCTCCTTGTGCCTGCTGTAAATCACATCACGTCGCATCTTCATTGTTGCTGTGAGGAGACCATTATCCACCTGAAAGAACAACCCGGCAGGGCTAGTCAGTAGAAGGCCACACACCCGAGTCCACACTGTCCTGGTTTGTTATTGGGCATGAATAGGTAGACTTACTGTGAATGGTTCATCGAGGAGTGCAAATGGACCGACCCGTTCATGCGGCAAACAACCTGCCTCCGTGAAACTGAAAAAATGGAGAAATATGAAAAACAAAAAGGACCAATTATATTATTCAGAAGATGGTGGCCAGACTAACAAGGTGTGACAGTTGGCCGAATACAACCTGCAATGATGAAACTGCACAATAAGACACCTGTGCAAAACGAGATGATGAACCAGACCAGCTTACCAGCGAGTGAGCTCTTGTTGAACAACAGCCCTCTGTTCCTTTTCTGTCACCTCGCTCCCTTCAATCCCCTTCTCCGCTCTCATGCTTGCCACTGCAGCCTTCATCTCGTCCTCATTCACGACAATTAACGCTCCAAGCTTTCTCTGGTCCTGAAAACGTAAGTCATGCGAGTGGCAGAGTTTCAGCACGTATGTACAGCGATAAATGGTTGAAGAATTTGACATTCATTGTAAGCAGACCTAAGTTGATTGCTCCTAAGCTGTTACACACGCTGTACACACACTGTACACACTGTACACCCGCTGTACACACGCTGTACACACTGTACCCATGCTGTACCTGGCCGACGAGAATTATTTGGCGGATGACAGGGCTGCTAAGTGCAACCTCCTCGACAAAAGCAGGGTCCACATTTTCACCTGTTCGAACAAGGGCACAAATGTATGCACCAAATCGAGCTTCAGCAACACACACCAGGCCAAGGTTGCAAACAGGTGTGTGCAAGTCAGTTGTACAGTTACACGCACCACTGGCAAGAACAATCGTATCCTTGGCTCGGCCGTCAAGGACCAGAAGCCCTCCTGCGTTTCGAGCAGCGCCAACTGGAGTCAAAGGAGAGATCCATCCAAGATCGCCCGTCGAGAACCAACCATCTTTGTCAATTGCCATTGCTGTGGCCGCCGTGTTCTGTGGAACACCAACAAGCCACATAAGTTTCGTTACACTACAAAAGTGCAGAAATTATGGAATTTCAACAAAAATTTGCTTCTCTGAGCAATGTCTCCCACGCCACATTTAAGGTCGAAAGACTGGAATCATGCCGAGGGGAGCCTGGACTCACCTTGTAGTAGCCCTTCATCACTTGGGGGCCACGTGCCTTGACCAACCCTCGCTGGCCTGCAGGGAGACCAACTCCCGTCTCCAGGTCTACAATCTTTATCTCTGTTCCAGGAACGGGACTCCCAATGCTTCCCAATGCCTGTTCCAAAGACCGAAGAGAAAATCAAATAAAGTCTCAGCGTCTGCTGTAGCAAGCATGTGCCAATTGAGAAACTTCAGGTCGACAGTGCTTACATTGTTGGAACTTTGCCTGACTGTCAGCACAGGAGAGGTCTCTGTGAGCCCATATCCATTGAGCAGAGTGATCCCAATTTGCTGAAAAGAAAAGAGAAGCGGCATCAGATAGAATGTGACAAATTCAGGAGCTAAAACAAATTATCTTCAGAATGACCTACAAAACCCAGGCATTCCATACCTCAAAGAATTTGTCCACGTGCGACGGCAAGCTGCCTCCACCACTCACAGCTGCCTGTGTGCACAAACAAAGCGCAGAATGCGAGGCAATGATAAAAACAGTGTCTATCAACATGAACGTCTGAAAACAGCGTAAACCTTGCTGGGTCAGCTAAAATGCTATACCATACCTTTTTTATGCCGATAGCAGCTTTGACCTTGGTGTACACAAGCTTCTCCGCCAGCAGGTGGAGAGGCAGCAGCACCAGTGCTAAAAGCCCGGCTCCCAGACATTCTGCTACAGCCTTCATGAACATGAGCCCCTGAACGTTTTCACGTGAACGAAGGACAGCCATGCCTGTCCAGATGCGCAGCGCTTCCTTGTGAAGACAGCTGACTTTTATCAAGAACTTGGCAATTGCTGCTCTGGCGGCTGATGCTGCAGCAAGCTTCTTCTGCACTCCACTGCAAGTCCAACACAAGGAATTTTGTGGTGATCTCATGAGTGGAAGGAAGGAGTTCAGTTTACCGCCAGGGATAGATGACTGGTTGCTGTATTACCTGTATAGGACCTCGAAGACAAGTGGAACAGCCACGAAGTAGTCCGGAGGGTGTTTCATCAAGTCTTCCTGCAATGAAATTGGAACAAGTTTATTTAGATGCTGTGGGATGACTTGATTGAAATGTGATCATGCACTGGGCGAACCTTGAATGACTTGACATTGCTGTAGACGAGCTGGACCCCACGGCTTAGCAGAAAGTACTCGCATGAACGCTCGTACATATGCCATGGGGGTAGCAGGCTCAACATGACATCACCAGCGTCGGGAGTCAGGGCACATTCAAAGTTGTTGACCTGCGCAGCGTGATCGTGGCAAGGGATGTGAGACATGTATGCAACAAGAACATAATGGGCGTAATCACGCGTAGATGATCTATGGCGAATATTCATAATTATCACAGATACGAGGAGGGGGAAATGGGAAGACGAAATTGTGAGAGTGAGGGAGGTAGCCAGAGAGATAGCGGGAGGCATAGCAGGATGGAACTCCAGGAAGTCAGGGGGAGAGGAGGAGCTTGACCTGATGCATCAGGTTGCTGTGCGTGAGCATCACGCCCTTGGGATTCCCGGTCGTTCCAGAGGTGTACACCAATGTTGCCACGTCATCGGGTCTGGAGGCTTGACGAGGCGCTGAGCGCGACAGAGCATCATGCGTGAGCCTGCTTGCACTCCCAGCCGCCGATACCTCTTCAAAAGAGTACAGAGAAAACCATTTGGAGCACGTGCTTCTGGTCTTCCAGTCAGTTATTTGTTCCTGGCCTTTACCGGCTGGAGGCCAAAGGACAACTGCAAACTTGACAATGTCTTTCACCGAAGAAGCTTCGAGGAATGGTGCAATGTGCTCAAGAACCTGGACGTTGTCCACGATGACAGCCGTGCTGAAAGCAAGCATTAAGAAAAAACGCGGTCATTCATAATGAAACGGGAACCTTACTGACGTGAAACGAACCCAAGAAGTCATGACGAACCTGTCCGAGTTTTCCAGAATGTGAAATAATTCCGCTCCGGAGGACTTCGCTCCTCGAACAGCATCACGAGCACCAATGTCCATCACGCCTGCTCGCACCTCCAACCGCATGATCAGAATATGCTCGACCTTAAAAGTACTCGTATGGCACTCCAGACCGAAACAGGCATCATTCCATGGAAAATTGGCTTGCCTTGATCAGCAATAAGCCATCGGTGCGAGTTCTCAGCAAACAGCGAGGCGCACTCTCCTTGCTTCAGCCCATAGACGCGCAGACCTTCACCGAAATCATGAATTGCACTTTCGAGCTCCGAGAACGTCAAGCCTCGTTTTTGTCCGTGATGCGGATCGAAAAGAGCGATCTTGTCGCCGTACTGCTCCGCGAGAGTTGGCCAAATGTCAGGAAGGACCTTCCACCTCGTCGTGGTTGACTCGCCTTCATCAGGTGTCGGGAACACAACAGGTGGGAAAGAACCTTCAAGGCTACTTGGGACCTGCAGACAGCAAACCTAGCGATGAGAACGAGACTAACCAGAACGCGCCGATTCGATGCAGTTGACAGTATTAGCCTAGTCAAATACCTCGAGAACGGAGCTGACTTTCAGCGAAGTGAAATTACGTCGAACATGTCCTCTGCCTCCGTTTTGCGAGCACTTCAGATACTTGTCTCCGAAAAAACTAAGTCGTTTACTGCTTACTACTATCGATAGACTTGCTAGGCCCTGGTGAGCAGTAGTGCGCAAAAGCGCAGCCATGGCTTCAAAGACTAAGTACGACGCACAGCTTAGTCGCAACAACCTGGAAAAATGCACCAGCTTGAGTTCTACACGTCGGCTCAACAACTTTATTCACTCGCGAAGGACAAATAGTTTCTGCAAGCGCCCGAATTCGTCGGAGCGCATCAAGACTGACGTATGGAATAGCTTGGGTCAGCTGTGCAAGAATCGGGAAACACTCCCATCTTTGGTGTCTCTGGCAAGGCTGTCCATTCCGACGCCCGAGCGGCACGTGAGCTCCGACTCGCTCCAGGCCAGCCAGGCATCGACATGGCTCTCATGAGCCACAAGCACCGCCCGCCAATGAAATTTCTAGTCAGACCTCCGACCTAGCCGAATTCTGGCGTGGCTGGCGCTATGGGCTTGCGAAAGGCAAGCAGGCTTTCGAGCTGTTGTTTTCCTTTTTTGCCCTTCAACCCATCCCGATTGCCCTGAACCACCGCGGACCGTTCTGGTCTGGATGTGTGATGGAAAGCCATCGAGTAAACACGTGAGAGGGGCAAAAGCCAATCTGTGAACTGTCCACTCCCTGCCTGGACTGGAACACACAAACTGCGCGTGTGTTGCCCGAACTCACAGTTGGGCAGGGCGAGAATCAAGGAGGGCGACGAAACGGCTCGCCATTCGACGGCTGTGTCAAACAGACTCGCCATTCGAGGGTTGCGGCTAGCGTGGGGACCACTGCGCTCATGCAGCCTCTCTCGTCTCGCCCTGCGGGCAGACCGCATGCCGCAACGGTGCCGGGAAATCTTTGCGCAAGAAGCAAATTTGGCAGCTTGAGCGATGTGCTGCTCGAATTATGTACGCGCTTGAAGGTTGTATATTTGATAGAACTGCTGAAACAGAGACTAGTTTCGTCTCTCCCACTTATGCCTAGTACATCCTACGTAAATGGAAAAACATGAAAGCACAAACTGTGCTCCACTAGCCCAAACACATAGATTTTTGCCCTAATTTGATCAGCTACGAAACCAGTTGACGAAGGACGTGGCCAAAGGTGCACCACCACTTGTTGCCACAGGAGACGAGGAAGAGGGGGATGGAACAGAAGAAAAGGCCTTGGCAGTTGACTGTACCTTTTGCCACATTTCCTCTCCCACCACGCAATGTGCGGATTGCGAAAATGTAAACGCCTGAAACCCATCGTTCTCAGCACTCTTCATCTGCACAATCCTTTGTATAGAGGAGCTAACTTTTGCAGAAAAGGACTGGAGCAGCTTCACCTGGCCTGGAGTGCAGCTTTGGTAGCTGGAACGGAGGCACCGAAGCAGAGGTTCCATGGTACCCTTAGGTCTGGGTGCGAGGGTCATGCTGATGGCTTTGTAATCGGACAAGGAGTTGACAATGAGCATTGGAGAGCGTGAGAACTGCAGGTTGTACTCTGGAAAGAAACACTTCCATGTGTCATTGGTCCCCTTCATGGCTGCATAGAGTGAGGATGAGGAGCAGGGAGAACAAAAGCAAGGAGAGAGGAAACAGAAAGACAGGGAGGGAGGAAACGCAAAGCAAGACGTTAGATGGAGCAAGTGGAGGAGATTCTTGCAAACGTACAAGCCGGATAGAGTCAATTTGTTTGCACTTGCATTGAACATAGTGTTGGGGAGAACTCCTGCCTATGAGAAGGCTGTGCTTGCATCACTTGTGAGGCTTCCTTTCACCCATTGTTCAATGCTCGGTGCTCATTGCTCGTGGCTCATTGCTCAGTGCTCATTGCCCGTTGCTCATTGGACATTGGCGACTCACCTCGCTTGCACTCGGCATTAACCCCAATGCGTCCCATGTCATGCACGCCGGCCATCTGCTGCACCTTCAGGCGCATGCTGTACTGCCCGTCCTTATCCGCCACGTCTGATGGGATGGGAGGGACCAGGCAAGGGATGGAATTGACGGATGTGGCATCTGCTGCACCTTCAGCCGCATGCTGTACTGCCCGTCCTTATCCGCCACGTCTGACGGGAGGGATCAGGCAGGGGAGAGAATGGTTGCAGAAAAGGAGGGGAGGGGAGCGGATCAGGGAGGGGGAGCGGGATGTTTAGGGGGATGGGAACGGGAAGGCGTTGGGGACAACAGCGACGTGTCAAGCCGGAACGCTGTGCCATCCAGCTCCTCATGTGGTCCACTGGCCGCTCCACATGAGCCACACTTGAAGGAGAGGGAATTGGAGAGAAACAGGCAGCGCTGGGGGGAGTAGTGAGGACTGCCCATAGCTGAAAGAAGTTCCAAACCCGGCATTGTCTAAATTCCAACAAGCTCAAACTTCCAGTGCTTCAGATTGAAGCTTATCCCAAGATAAGCCTACCCGGGAAGTAGCCTCCGTCCATGAAGCATTTGGTGGTGACGTTGTAGTTGGCCAGCCACCTCGAGATCTGATCGCATTCCAGACGGGAATGTCTATACAAAAGGACCTACCCCACATGAAGCCTAATCCAGGTGAAGTTGGTAGGTGAGGCCTACCCGGGAAGTAGCCTCCGTCCATGAAGCATTTGGTGGTGACGTTGTAGTTGGCCAGCCACCTCGAGATCTGATCGCATTTGATTGACGTCGCAACGCCACCCGCACTGCAGCCGCCCACCAGCATCTGCTTGCCCACGTTCAGCCCGTGCCGCGCCAGCAGATCTGCAGGGTTGGGGATGAGAGGCGGAGGGGTTGAGAGGGGGAGGGGAGGGTGGTCAAGGGAACGTGCTTCGTTGCGAAAACACGAGCTAAGTGAAGAGGCGTTCTCTCATAGATGTGTTTCGTTGATTTTTATTTAGAAAAGTGGGCAAGAACTTGCTATGTACCTTGTTTCGTTGGAACGTTTCCTGAGAATCCCAAAATACGACCCGATTTGCCACGCACCTTGCAGCGTGCCCTGCAAGTTCCAGTGCCCGCGGAAGTAGAGCGCGCGCCCCGTCTCCGAGTTTGGTGGCAGCTTGCTGTAGCCGCCGGTGAAGGAGCTGCCGTCGCAGTACTTGACGAGCACCAGGTTCCAGTTGTAGAACGCGGGATTCACGGCGCTGTCCGTGCTGCCCACGCCGCCATACTTCACGTCCTGTTGCGGGGAGAAGGGGAGACGGGGAGGAGGGAAAGGAGCGGGGGAAAGGCGAGGGGACGGGAACGATGGTTTGTGGGGAGGCGTGGGGCGCATCGGGAACGAGAAGCGCAGCCCACGTGCGGAGAGTCCGAGCCTGTGCTGGGCGCAGTGAGAAGGAAGCGCAGGTTGCCATAGCCGCCGGGTGAAGGGGCGCCGTATGGTGAAGGGGGTCTGTCATGCACGCCTCGGCTGAAAGAGGACGCGTCCTACTTTCAGTTCTTCCCTCAGATTCAAACAAATGGAACTAAGAGAGGAGGCAGGAATGAGGGATTCGCTCTGTCAGCTTGCTGGACCTATCCAGAAGGGGAGTGAGAGAGCGGGAGTGGCTCGGCATATGCTGCCGCAATGCGAGGTGCTGAGGTCGGGAATAGTACGTACGCTGGTCGGCGGCCATTTCTTTGAGCTTCCCAGGGGTCCCTTGGCTCGATTCGCGCACGACTTGGCGTTGAAACACCACCCGCCAGCCTGGCAATGCACATGAGACGTAGATGACACGCACAGAAAAACGAAGATGTAACAGCGATACGAAGAAGAGTAATAATGGCAGGAACAACCAAGTCGGCATCGTCACAAAGATTTGTCTACTTTGAAGAAAACATGTCTACTGCATTAGAAAAAATGCTTGTTTGGCCCCGAATTCACACGCAAGTGAGAATGCGGCACTGCTCACCTCGAGAATCATGATCCAGTTGTTGGCGCCGCTGCCGAACCCGCGTCGCAGGTAGTATCCAGCAGGACTGCCGTCCAAGCATCGCGCGCGAGAGTTCTTCTTCGACAGGAGATACAGCCGTGCGACGCGCGGGTTGTCGCCTGCGGCGACGGCGCTGCTCGCCTGCGTCGCAACGTCGTCACTCGCCCCTCGCAGCTGCGCCACGCGAGGCACGGTTGGCGGGCCGCCAGGTAAAACGTCGACTCCACCGCCGGCACCGGCGGATCCGGAAGAAGAGAAGTCAATGTGCGGTCCGAAGGACTCAGCGTCAACGGCACTGTCTAGAGTCTCGAACGGATCTGCGAACTCTTGCGAAGCCGCTTCGCTGATTGCGACAGTGTGCGACGGGGCTAGGGTGAAGAGCAGGAGGACGATAGTGGTGACAAATGGGGGGGATGCTTGAGGTCGCATTCGCGGGGAGGCCGATTGGTCCATATCTAAATGTGTAGAAACGAGTTCATTCACTCGAAAAAGAGAGGAAAGAAGGCCGTACTTCTTCCTGGCGTGAAAAAATAACTATGGTGACAAAGGTCGGCGGATGTGATGAGGAAAGATCTTGTGAACAGGCAAATGCGTGTGAGTAAAGTGAGCGCTACAATGATTCTCTTCTGCTGTTGAAACCAGAAAGCTAGTCCTGATGCCTAAATCATTTTGGTGTTCTCCACGCCTTTCGCATTTGCTTGTCCTTCTCCTGGGTTGCCTGCCTCGCTGTCTTTTGTGCCTGCGCGAAAGGCTATGCTTGCTCTGTCACGAGCCGCGACACAAGAATATCAAGGCGGCGCGCGCATTTTCAAAGTGCGCCAATGCGAAAATGGTGAGGTTGAGAACGCTGTTCGCGTGCTCAATCATGCGAGCGAAAAAGCTGTTACATAGATCAACGAATAAAATTTGTATGAACTTCCTTGTTCGCACCAACTGACACCGTTCAAATCGCATATACGCGACACGGCTCGGTTCAGGCTGCTCCAGCCTTGGCAAAAATAATGTTGCATCTGGGAAACAGCAAACAAAAAACATTTATCTCGGTATACCGACTGTTTTATGGCAAGTATTTACGGAATTCCTCTTCCGCCACCGCTCTCTGTAATCACAACAATCCGTAAGCTCGAACTTGTCCATTGGGAGTCCTGCAAATCGCGTAGTGCTTTGTACGCGCACCTATCTGAGAGTATTCTGGCGCACTGGTCCGGGGACCAGTTAGCATCGAACGCTTAGCAGTGTAGGTTTGTCTTGTTAGGTGACAGAAGCAGTCAAAAGTCAGGCTTCTGCAGAGCCGTGGATTACGGTCTAGCGCATCGCGTGTTCGCGGGCAACACCGACGTTTCTCGTAGGAATCTCCTGCTCACTGTTAATCTCACCTGGCCTGGTCGTAGTAGCTCGGCATCGCGGCGAAGGGTGGATTTTTAGGCGGCTTAGGACGCGCTGATCGCAGCAGGCGCTGACTCGCTTATTGCTAACAGACATGGTAAAGAAACTTGCGCGCATTCTTATAGCTATAGCTGGTTAACATTTGGCATGTCGAATTAGTGATTGGAAAAGGCGCCACACGGCGAGTGCTCTAGGTTAGGGTTTTCTTGCCGTGTTTACTCGTCTATCTGTCAGAGCAGCTGCTCTCAATCGCAACACACCCGCTCGGTTAGGGTTCCCTCCTGTGTTGTCGGCTGTGGCCTGCATTTACCCAACCGAGCCTTCGCATCGCTTTCCAATGCTCCTTCAATTATTTTGTGCGGCTTCGTTTTGCTCCGTGCGCGTCCTTCCCGTCCGTCACTGCCCAAATCGTACCACCGTCCTTCCCCACTCCCGCAACCGATCAGGATGGGCACACCATTCTTTTGCTGCAAACAGCGCCACAGAAATCATCATGCACTTATATCGAGTACCCCACCACAGCAGAGGCCATTGATGGTATTTCCCTTCCCTCGCTCTCATTCGTCCCCTGTATACATCACTCCATACTCAGGAATATGAGTGCATGCATTTAGTTCATTTTCTCTCACTAAACCGAAGAACGCACCCCTCACCTGTATTTCGAGCCCCAACCCCGAAACCTAAAACATGCCCCAAATCTCTGAAAACTGCTGAGGATCCCCAAACGGCAATACCTAGATAGCATGTTCAGGGTTCCAAGAGCTTAGGATTGAGGGCCATGGGGAAATAAACATGGAACAAGTCCCGTCTCTGTTTTTTTTCATCCACGCTCGTCCCCCCGCTCGCCATGCATGACTCGCAGGGCTGTGCGCTCTGTTTGAGCGGCGGCTCAAGGAGATGAACCCCGGGGTGAAGAACATCACATATGACATCTCAGAGCTGTACCAGTTCATGGAGTCTCTGCCCGACCTCACCGCCCTCGTGTGAGTTCCCCTGCAATGCGTATACTTCTGTATGCTTGTTCTTCTAAGGGAGGTTCGACGAGATGAGGCCAAGGGAGTGACGAACATCACGTACGACATCTCAGAGCTGTATCAGTTCATGGAGTCTCTACCTGACCTCACTGCGCTGGTGTAAGTCCCTTTGCAACGCCTCCACCTTTCATGTGCCTTCTCTGTTTGAGATGAGCCCAAGGAGGTGACAAACATCACATAGGAACGACATCTCGGAGCCCGACCTCACCGCCCTTGTGTAAGTCCCTTTGCAGTGCGTACACTTTTGTATGCTTGTTCTGCTTAAGCGGCGGCGGTTCAACGAGATGAGCCCAAGGGAGTGACGATCATCACATACGAACGACATCTCGGAGCTCTACCAGTTCATGGAGTCGCTGCCTGACCTCACTGCCCTCGTGTAAGTCCTGCTGCAACGCCTCCTGCTGCAACGCCTCCACCTTCTATATGCATGCTTTGATCGAGCACCGGCTCAAGGAGGTGAGTGAAGACACGTACGACATCCCAGAGCTCTACCAGTTCATGGAGTCCCTGCCCGACGCCACTGCCTCGTGTAAGTTCCTTTGCAGCACCTTCATCTTTTATGTTTTGCCCCCCCCCCCTGCCCTTGCCCCTGCCCCTGCCCCTGCCCTCCCCCCTGCCCCTGCCTCTGCCCCTGTCTCTGCCCCTTCCGCTGCCCCTGCCCTTGCCCCTCCCCCCCCCCCCCCCCCCCCTCCCCCCCCCTGCCCCTACCCCTGCCCGTGCCCGTGCCCCTGCCCCTGCCGCTGCCCCTGCTGCTGCCCCTTGCCCCCACCCCCGTTCCTTGCCCCTGCCCCTGCCCCCGCTTTTACCTCACCCCCCACCTTCCGCTTCCTGTGACACCTCCTCTTCCCCTTCCAGGGTTGCTTAGGTTCCTTGCGAACACTGTCAGATGTTTGTCTTACAAGCGGTAGTTTGGTCATTTCTCATGATGTGCACTGTTCTGTTTTGTTGCGTGTGCATGCAGTCTGGATGAGACTGTTTGTGCACACGTCCCGTTTGACCGAAAACGGCTCAAGGAGCTCGCCTACCAGCGGCTAAGCAAGCTAGCTGGTGTACAATGATTTTTGTTACATGGCACATCATGTAATACGCATCATGTGACCTCCCAATGTTCTGAGGAGCATGGGCTCCTACATTTAGTGTAGCTCAATAAAGCAGAAGATTCTGTTGGCAATTCATTCTGCATGTAGGATTGGTTCTGTGTCCATATGACCATCTCATGCTCATTTATCCAGATACGACATTAAGCCATATAAATGTTTTTCAATAGTCCTAGAAAACTATCTGAGCTGGGCCCACCGCATTCATCAACAAGTCTTCTACAATGCACTCATTTTACCTTCCACATTTATTTTACGATATATTCAACATACGTTGTTCTGTGTATTGACTCGAATAATTTGCTGAACGGAACAAAACGACTAGCGAGTAACCAAAATGCATGCTTGGCGGTTCGCGATTCCACCGCCTCTCCCGCTCATTCCCTTTGAGACGCGACGCGCGTGGGCGACACGGATAAACGAGAGGCAAAATGTCGAATGTTGAAAATCCAATTTCGACCTCCCTCCAAACCACACACACGATGCACCTGCCTCACGCAGTGCTCACCCTGTTCCATGAAAATGTCTTTGCCCTGGGCTTGGTCCAGGTGAAGTGTAGCCTCTTCTGGTGGAGGTTCAGCATTTCTCTAGAACCGTGTATCGTGTAGTGCTAACGGCTTGGCCGGGCGCCCGCGTGGCGACTGCGCTTCGACATCCGAGAGTAGCCATTGACTGCGCTGGGACCCTGCGGAACAGCGTCTGGAGACTGTTGGCTTTGTCGTTGATCGTGGAAACAGGGCGAGCAACTTGCTGTAGCCATTCTAAACGATCTGGACTATCCAAGGTACAACAACAGAGAAGCGATTCAAAGCGCATTGACTATCTGTTAGGCTAACGTCGACGAGGAGAAATAGGTTATTCTGAAGGATCACAAGCTGTCATTCAGACCCTAGCGATATTTGACTCACAGTTTTCGCCGTAGGAGCCTATTACTTTCCCAAGTAGACCCTCTAGCGTGCTCAAACAACCTGCAATCAATCTAGCGTGTATAACGGTTCCTGCCAAGAGCAACCAGAATTAGCCGTCCGTCCCCGAGATAATGGCGCGGAGCCACACGCGCATTGGGCGAACCCGGCGTTCCCCCCGCCAGGCCTCGCTTTTAAGCCTCTCCCTCGTACTCGCGCTTGTCGCGCTCTCCGTAGCCCTCGCTTCCGCGTCCGTGAATCCCGCACGCCCACGCTCACTGCTCGCCTCGGCACTAGCAGACTTCAAATCGCGCGGCGATTTGAACGGCAACGGTAACGGCGGCTCGAGTCCCAAGCCGGGAGTAGGCGCGTCGTCCGTTAATCCCGGCGGCCGTGTCGCGCGGCTTCACATGCTGTCGAAGGAGCAGACGCGAGGTCGTTGCCTGGACGGGAGGTAAGACTGGAAAACTGATCGTAAAACGAACTCCTCTTAATGAATTCCCACGATCGGGCGCGTATTGGAGTTTACAGCTATTTACTCTACCTTGAGTTTCTCATGCTCATTCCTCGCCTGTGCCCACCGTTCGCAGCATGCCGGGTTACTACCTTCGCGAGGGATACGGCACGGGCGCCAACAAGTGGATCCTCTTTATGGAGGTGAGCGCGAAACGAAGCGTAACAGCTTTAATTCAGGGAACAAGTGCGCGTCGACAAATGTACATTCGCAGAGTTCCATTCGATTTCACCTATTTTTAATCTAGATGCTTCGCATTCCTGATAAATACTACACTTTTCCTTCCAACGGCATCCGTCCCCAACCCTTTCCGCTCTGTTTTCCACTATTCTGTTATTCCTCCCAGGGCGGTGGGTGGTGCTTCAGTGCGAAGCAGTGCGCCAACCGCGCGATGACGGACCTCGGAAGTTCCGTCAACTGGCCGTCCGTCAGCGTGAGTTGAACCATAGACTGCTAGCTTGAGTCACGAATCTCGTATGCCAATGCGAGCTCCAACAAACGCTGTTGCTGAGAATCGGCAAAAAAACACCCGCCGGATTTGAAAGAGCAACACGTCCCTTTATCTCCCTCCCGAGAAAACCTTGCCCGTCTCCCACATCCGTCCTCCCTTTCCACGTACCGGTTCTATTTCGCCACCGCAGGACGTGCATTTCGGCGGAGTCGCGAGTCCCGACGCGGGGATCAACCCCCAGTTCTACAACTGGAATGTGGTGCTCGTAAAGTACTGCGACGGTAGCTCCTTCGCGGGCGGGTCGGGCAAGAAGAACAAGACGGAGGAGACCGGCAAGACACTCTACTACCGGGGACACTGGAACTTGAACGGCGTGCTTCAAGGTACGAGTTTTAGTATAAGGCTGGACTATCATAGCCTGAACCGCGGGGGGGAGGACTCTTTTAGTCTAAATAATAACATTTCCCCCCTCCACGGCCCCCCGCGGTCCCCGTTTTCCCGATCTCAGATCTGCTGGACAATCAGAACCTGAACCACGGGGAGGAGGTGCTGGTGGGGGGCTGCAGCGCGGGCGCGGTGGCAGTGTCAATCAAGTGTGACCAGATTGCCACGTGGCTCAAGGATTACGGCGTTAAAACCAAGTGCTTCATGGACGGAGGGTTCTTCCCAGGTAGGCCGCTAATGGGGCTAGCTGTATGGAGCACCGTTTTCCAAGGGCAATTCTCCTGTTTTACAAGGGTATATGTTGGAATGGTAGTGCTCTGTGTACCAGTTACCCCCAGTTGCGCTGGCTTACCTTTTCTCCCCGTAAATCTGCTGTTTCTTATGTTCTCGTTTTCAAATTCCCCCTTTGCTTTTGCTCTGCCCCACAGACGTGGTGGATGTGAACGGCGAGCGGTCGCTGCGGGAGAAGGTGCAGCGGCTGGCAACGCTGCACGACATCGACCGAATTGGGATCAACGGCGACTGCAAGGATGGTGAGTGTAGAGAATGTTACCGCAACGTGGTTGACTGTCTGTTGTGGTGACGAGTGGCGAAATTTCACGATAGGTGCAAAACTGTGATCTGAATTACACTTCCGCAACCCCCCTCTCGCTCTCACAATCTGTCATTCTAACTTCTCCTTTTCGCCTTCCCTCTCCTTCCGCCTTCTCGCGTTCTTTTTGCCGCCTCTCGTCACCTCTTCTCCTCGCAGCCATGGAGCCAAGTGATTCCACGTGGAAGTGTTTCTTCCCCGAGTACAATCTCAAGTTCGTCAAATCGCCAATGTTCGTCGTGAATTCGCTGGTGGACTACAAGGCCGTCGCGATCGCCATGTCACCAAAGGCGAAGGGGAAAGCCAACCCGCTCGTACGCTGCCTCGGTTCCCACTTCAAAAAGTGCACCCCGCAACAGATCCAGCAGCTACAGTACTTCTCCAACAACATTAAAAACTCGTTGGGCAGCGTGCAGAAAAACCGGCAAGCGGCGGGGGTTCCGTTTGAAACGTTCACATTCACTGAATCTACCCACTGCGTGGTGGGAGACCAAATGTGGCAGAAGCTTCAGGATGACGTGTCAGGAGGCGGCGGGGGAGGGAATGGTGTGGCGGGTGCTGCGTCTACTGGTCTCAATCCCACCAACAAGAAACCTAATTTGGCGGGATCCTTCAATAGCTGGTATCACTAATCGCGAAGGCTGGAGAATGGGCAACGGGAGAGGAGAGGGGAAGGGAGTTTACCGCAAGCCCATTTGAGGAGGAAAGGGAGGGAGGAGGGTGGGGAGGGGAGATTGGACGGTGGGGAATAAGGCCTGAGGGCTGGGGACTGACCCTGATTTCGTTACGACTGGGGACCGGGGGCTGCATGCGACTGCTACGGTGCTGCGGAGTACACCAGGGTGCTGCGATCACGCTGCAACAAGGCGAGAAAGCGAGAATTGCGGGCCACAATCGCCGGAGTTCCGTGAGCCCAACTCTTTTGAATACGTGTACAAGAAAAAGTGAGCGAAGAGGGCACACGGGGGGAAGCAAGACCAAAGGTGCAAGTGTGGAGAAGGGAGAGAGAGTCAAAGGTGAAGTGGTGAGGAGATGTGGCGACGATACTGGGAAGAGGATATGCAGAATGGGTTTGGTCATTCCCACATTACACGCCCTTTACAAAACGGTACATACCACTGGCTCCTGCTACGCACAGCCAGACACAAACCAAGAGATGCATACGCAACTGACTGACACTGGGGGGGTTGTTTGGGGTAGATTGCTCTGTCCGTTACTAGCTTCGCGTGATAGGGGATGTAGTCACTGATGTAATAGTGCATTTCAATCATATATTAATCTGATTAGTAGTACAACAAAAGCAGGAAATAAGGTCAAAATCCCATAGGACATCTTCCACCACCAACTTTTTCGTCGCCTGGCAGCTTCGCTGTGTCCTCTCCCCCCCCTTCCCTCCCCTTCACCCCACCTCCCTCTCTCATTCTCCCTCTAGACGTGGCCAAAGGCCCAGCGGCTGGCACAAGTTTTCCTGCCGCCCCAAGGCCAAATGTTGGGCAGTTGACATAAATTGATTCGTACTGCCCGGCGCTGATTGCATATGACTCGTGCCACACGCCGATGTCAGGGCCGTCCCTTAACAACTGAGTCATTCGCTTCCATGCTGCTTGTAAGGGGGGGGGGGGGACAATAAGGTGGATATGGGAAATCAAGCGGATAATCAGAGAGGGATACTTACGGGAGTTGAGGAGGGAGGGAGGGAGTGGAAGCAGAAAACGGGCAGATGAAAGAAGGATAGAAAGAAAGATTCGACCCAACCGGACTCAGAATCACCTGACCCAAGCATCAGCATCACCTGACCCCCACGTTTCGAACCTACCGTACCTAGCTCAAGCGTCTCAAAACGACCCGGCCCAAGCTTCAGGACACACCTGACCCATGCACGAGATTCTGGTCGTTGGCGTTAGAAACAAGGTCAGTGCACGAGCGCCCGTACATGACAGCCAATGCTCCCCTACCACCCATGCCCCAGGCTCGTACCTCACTCATACCCCCGAGCCACATACCTGAGCCGTGCACGAGGTTCTGATCGTTGGCATAAGAGACAAGGTGGTGGTAGGAGCGCCAGTACATGACAGCCAATGCACTCTTACCACCTGTGCCCCAGACACGTACCCCCCTTTTGCCCCAGGCACATACTAAGCCAAGCCCCCTCAAGCTCCTACCTGAGCCGTGCACGAGGTTCTGGTCGTTGGCATAAGAGACAAGGTGGTCGTACAAGCGCCAGTACATGACAGTCACCCAGGTCCCAGACAATTACCTGAAACCAGTTGATGCCCCAGGCACACACCTGTCCCATGCACGAGGTTCTGGTCGTTGGCATACGAAACAAGGTGGTCGTACGAGCGCCAGTACATGACAGTCACCCAGGTCCCAGACAATTACCTGAAACCAGTTGATGCCCCAGGCACACACCTGTCCCATGCACGAGGTTCTGGTCGTTGGCATACGAAACAAGGTGGTCGTACGAGCACCAGTACATGACAGCCAGTGTCTGCGAGCCACGTGCCGTGTCCGTGCTCACATACTGGTCTCCCCCCAGGTACCCAAACTTCTCGCTCTCCTGCTCCAGCTCCCTGGCATAGGAGGGGCGCAGAGGGGGATGGAGAGTCAGGGGTGTGAGGATACAACATGAAGCTGCGTGTCATGTCAATGCTCATGCCCCCAAGCACTGGAGACATGTGCAGTGCAGGCGCAAGCACAGGCGCACAAGTACCATGTGAATAGCACACCGCGCATGTATATCTCCTTCAACTCATTGACACGCATGCCTGACAAACAACACAAGCCCACGGCTCACCTCTCATAGCACATGCCATCCTCGAGACGTCTCAAAAATCACTCAACAAAATTGCCTTGACAACGTGCATGCCGTGTAACACAAAGGCCTTGTCAACATGCTTGCCTGCGGCTCACCTCACAGCCTGCCCAAGGCTCACCTCACAGCTTGCCCAAGGCTCACCTCACAGCTTGCCCAAGGCTCACCTCACAGCTTGCCCAAGGCTCACCTCACAGCCTGCCCGAAGACCTCCCCAACCGAAGCAAAGGACGGACCCATTGGGAATGGGTTGTTGGCTCTTGCTCCTATCAGAAACAGACAAAAGTCGCCATCCATCTTTCCAGCCATCCGGCCCTGGAAGATATCCATCCCATTCACAGACAGCAAGTTTCCAGAAGCTGCCGCCTCGTGCCGCCCACCGACTCCGTTCTCCTTGCCATTCGGCATCGCCTTATCCGCCTCAAATAGCACCTCCCCCAGAAGCCCCTCCCTCTCAGCTCCTACGTCCCCCTTAATCATCTCCCCTTTCCCCTCCGCCTTCCCTTCCCCCTTCTCCTCCCTCTCCCCCTTTCCCCCAGATTTACCTCCCCCGGAAACGCCCTTCCTGGCGCGACTCCAGCGCCAGCTGTGCAGCGCAGTGCGCAGAATGGGCGGCAGGAGGGCGGCAACAGTGAGCGCGAGCGCGAGGGGGCGGGGGAGGATGAGTGCAGTCAGCATGCCCGCTCCCAGTAGCACCTGCAGGGAGAGGGAGTGAGAGAGAGAGAGGCACGCGGACGGGAAGGGAATGAGAGCAGCGGGAGCAATGAGGGCGAGGGACTAGAGGGGGGCGAGAACGAGTGCAGTCAGCATGCCCGCTCCCAGCAGTACCTGAAAAGGAGGAGAGCGGGATGGGAGGGAGGGAGGGTTGACCAGGCGAGCAGGAAGAGCAAGCGGCGAAGAAGGAGTTTAGTGCCGTGCCGTGCCGTGCCGTGCCGTGCCATGCCGTGAGCATGCCACAACCAAGGAGGAGTGGAGCGAGTATTGGAGGCACCGCATTGTTCACCTGCATGGAACGTCACGATAGTAAGAAGCACCGCGTTGCCTTACTGGTACCCGCACTCAGCGCCTTGAGTGATGACACGTCTCAAAACTTGCTCAATACCTCAAGCGGCCTTCATTGGCGCGGGCGCCTTCAGTATTAAAACCCGTTGGGTTCAAGTGTCCCCAGATTCTGGGCCAATGGCGTCTCTCGCCCCAACCAACGTCTCACAACATGCGTGGTACCTGCATTGACGACTTTTGAGGCGCCTCAAAAGTCGTCTCTCGCCCCAACCAACGTCTCAAAAAATTGCTTGGTACCTGCATTGGCAGGAGCGCCTTCAATAGTGCCAACGGATCACTGCTCTCTATTCGCCTGACAAGCCTCTTTCCTGGAACCTTCGCCGCGTTCCCGTCTCCGTGCTTCATCGCGCTGGTCGGGTTACGAACGGCTGGTTCCGCCGGGTTCGCGAACGTGGATTCGTCCGCATTGTTGGCGGCGCTCGTCGTCGCGTGTGAAACGTGAGAGGGGATTTTGGCGGCGGAATGAGCCGCATTGTTGGCGGCGCTCGTCGTCGCGTGCGAAAATGACTTGCTGTCGCAGGGATCGCAGGAGTGGCCAGCCGAAGCCATGACGATGCGACTCAGGCTTGCCGGCGACAGTCGCCGAGTCGCCCACGAGTTCGCGAAAGCTGTCCTGCGACGAGGCTGTAACGCGTTAAATACGGTTGACGAGACTTCAGCCGGTAGTGCGAACTTTCGCGACTGTGCGGCTTGAAGCGACTGTGCGAACCTACTGGGTAGTTGTACGAATTCAAGCGACTGTGCGACTCTAGGCGGCGGTGCGACGGTCAACGTGTTCCAAGGCAGGCGACGGATGATGCGAATCGCACAGGAGACGGCGAAATATCGCATGGCCCAGAAACAAGCCTGAAACCTCGTCAACCTCGTCACATAACAGACAGCGAACAGTGACGAAAAGGCAGCAGTCGCAAGCGAAACGAGCAGGGGAAAAGGGCGAACCCGCGCAATCGTGACTGTTCAACGCAGCGTGAACAGAAAAAAACGAGACGTATTTATGCATAACGGAGGTACTTTGGCGAACAGTCCAAGGCCTCCAAGCTCTACTGAAGGCGATAGGAAGGCAAGAGCGAAGGAACGAGCTTGCGTGTGTGATGTGTGATGGCGGCATGGCGAGGTGAGGCGGGCGCGAGGCGACGAGGCGAGGCGGCGGGGGAGGATGACGTCAGGAGGAAAGGCGAACGAAGCAGGTGGGGCTACGTCACGCTGACACGTCTGTGCTCGTTAAGGAAGTTTTCGCTGTACTATAACATCAATGTGCAGATGATTGCTCTTTAGTGTTATACTTCAAGTAATGAGACATAATTGGGATAACTAGCCCCATGCACTAACCCTTCTTCACGTTCACCAACTACATTTTCGGTTAGAGACATTCCAAACACACCGTACGCACACACTTTCAGGGTACACTTCTGAAGGTTCCAAAACATGGTACGGTAGCAAGAAGCAACACAACACACACACCCATCACTCACTCGCTGTACCGCACACTATTTAGAGGGGGTAATATAGCTTAGGATGCCTATCCGAGAAATGTATATACCCTCCCTTGTTGACTACACGAATGCACTCATTATCAGCCAACCTGGAATGTAACAGAGAGAGACACTGAGGAAATAAACTGAACACCACCACAGTTTGAGAAAATAAGCAAAAAGAAAAAACAAGGGATTCCCACTCACTGATTGCAAAGAATGGTGCCATCTCTGTAGTTTAGTCAACTCGAGAATGTGCTGCTGCTTGTACTGCCACAGGGCCACCTGCATGGATGCAGCCGCAGCAAAGGGACAGGGTAGACTAGATGACGTGGCACGGACAGAAACAGGAATATCAGATGACGTGGCAGGCACAGGTTGCTGTTTCAAAAATCTTCAAAAGCGAGGGCAAGGAAGGTTCATGGAAGATGCGCAGAGGAGACCGGTGGGGGAACAGAGGGAGGGGGTACGGGGGGAAGAGGGAAGAAGGGAGAGGAAGGAGGGGTGGCAGCAACCTCATGCAAAACACACTGCGCGAGCCAATTTACCATCTGGATCTGAAACAATGTGTGAAACGCCTCTCAAAACCCGTGACCTGTGTAATAGCGTGTACGATTCAAGTTACCTTGTGTCTGAAGCGGATGACAGCAGCCAGGAAGCCGTAGAGACGGTGGTGCGTGTTGAGGAAGGGCCAGAGGGATTCTCGGTTCTGCGGGTCCGGCCCTCCCATGAAAGCCTGCGGGGGAGGAAAGGAGGGGATGGAGACGAACAAGACCAGAAAATTACAGTGGGTAGGAAGCGGTATAGAGGGGTGCAAGTGTTGAGGAAGGGCCAGAGGGACTCTCGGTTCTGCGGGTCGGGCCCTCCCATGAAGGCCTGAGGGGGGGAGGGACGGAGGGAGGAGAGAAGAGCAACATAAAGCGAGCTGCATTGAGCAGGAAGCCATAAAGAGGGCTGCAGGTGGAAAGGAAGGGCTGGAGAGAATGCAATTCTGGTCGAGCCTGCCTGAAGGACTGACCCGCCCACCCACCCGCCGGCCCGCCCGCCCGCCCGCCCGCCCGCCCGCCCGCCCGCCCGTCCGTCCGTCCGCCCGCCCACCCACCCACCCACCCACTCCCACCTGCTCTGTGCCTGAGTAGACAAGGGGGATGCCTCTAGATGTGAGCAGCAGCACCAACGCATTGCGCAGCAGGAGCTGGTCTGCGCAAGCAAAGAGGGGAAGGGGGTGGTGGGAAGTGGACGTGCAATGGAGGAGAGGACTGGAGAGGGGGAGCTTGGGATTGATCACTTCTAAGGATGCGGTGAAAGCAGACGATCGATCGTCAGTCGCGATCGATGTGCGGATCGGTTACCCTATTAACTTAGCTGTAACCATGCTACAGTACGCTTTCTGGCCAAAATTTCTGTACAGTGTGAGAATGCGACTGATCACTGTTCGCGGGAAATCTGTCAATTTTCAGCCGCGATCGTTACAACGCCGCGGTCGCCACGTTTCGCCAAACGATCTGCCCACTCGATTGTGGGGATCGATATATGCAGACGATCCTGCGATACTTGCACTTTCAATGCGTCCTAAAGAACAATTCAGCCACCTGCCTTTACACACCTCCCTCTTGAGAATTCTCAGAAGTGACACAACCCTAAGTCTCATCTCCATGCAGCAAGGCCAGCCACCATAGAGAAATCTCTGAGTTGCCTCAAAATCTCTAAGGCAACTTCTCAAGCGAAATTTTAAACCCTGATTATTACTGTGCAGTTATTGTGGCAGGCACTGCAAAAAAACGTGGAGGTGAGCGGTTGAATCTGCATGTCACTACAACCTCATCTCTTGCACCATAGAGGTGACTTTTGAGTCGACTCAAAAGCCACCTTGGTTGAATCTGCCTGTCACTACACCTCATCTCATCTCTTGCAGCAACAGACTGGCAGCTCAGCTCAGCTCAGCTCAGCTCAGCTCAGCCCCATACACCCCTCACCTCACCTCACCTCACCTCCATGCAGCAAGCCCAGCAGGCGGGGCGAGTCATGGTTGTCGAGGAAGCTTCCCTGAAAGTCCGCGTTCCCCGCTCCCTCGAAAACTGCAGCCATGGCCCTCGCAAGCTCAACCATAGACGCTGCTTCAGCAGATGCCGCCATCACAGCAGCAGCAGCAGTTGCGGCAGGGGCGGCAGGAGTGGCAGGGGCGCCAGCTGAATCTGCTGCATCAGCACTAGCAGAAGCAGCAGTGGTAGCAGCAGTTGCAGCGGCAGCAGCGGCAGTAGTAGGTAAGGCAGGGAAGGCAGGGGCGGAGGAGGCAGCAGGAGCAGCAGGAACAGTGTAGCCAGCAGCAGGGCTGTGGGTGAACCCATCACTGCCCGTGTTGCCCCCTGTGAACGCCCTCACCATGGTCAGCTGTAGCGCCTGCTGTAGCTCGGCTGTAGCGTGGTTCTGCAAGCAGGGAGAACAGAGCAGCACGGAGGGGAAACACGAAACAGGAAGCATGGAAGGATTACTCATACTCACTGGTGCCAGAGTTGTAGGGTTTAGGGTTTACGGTTCAGAGGAGAAATGGGGAGCATTGCATGAATGCATGGACTGCACCACCGCCTGCACTGCACACATGGTGGGAGGGGCAACACATAGAGACGCCGGTGTATGCACTGCACTGCACTAAACACTCACTGTGTACGCTCTCCCTGCCAGCAGACGGTGCGGGAGCGGCAGCAAGGGTATGGAGAGCTCTGCAAAGGCTGGCACTCCGAGGTGGGAGGCGAGGGAGCGGACGAACTCGGGAGGCATGTGGTGTGCTGCATCGACTCGTATGGCGTCGAATGAGAACGTGTGCACGAGATAGGCTGGCGGGGAGGGGGGCGAGGGGTTGACAAGGGAAGGAGGAGGGAGCGGGGAGAAGGAGAGAAGGCGGGAGGTGAGGGAGCGGACGAACTCCGGTGGCATGTGGTGTGCTGCATCGATGCGAATGGCATCAAATGAGAACATGTGCACGAGATAGGCTGGAGGGGAGCAGGGAGAGGGAAAGGAGGAGATAAGTTTGAACGAGTGGTAGAGTGTTCATCCACATGAGTCAGATGATATGGGCATGGGCATGCGAGTAGGTATTGAGCTACGTGCATGAGGATACACAAGACGCTGTCACACTGTGTGTCCACGCAAGCCGCTGTCACTCACTCACTCACTTACTCACTCACTTACTCACTCACTCACTCACCTGTGGACCTCACGAGTGCTGCGGCAACGGTGGGATTCGATTGGTTGAAGTCTGGGAGGCTGGCAAGCCAGCAGCGCTGCCAGTTGTCGGCGTCGTATTGGCTGAAATCCACCTCGCAGGGCGGGTGGAAGGAGACGCTCTGGCGTTTGGCAGTGCAGGGGAAAAGGGAATGAGAGAAAACGAGAAGAGGACGATGAGAGAAGGAAAATGAGAAAGTGAGGGAGGAATGAAAGAAAAGCAGGAGGGGGGATGGGAGAGCAGCGCAGTTACCGAAGTAACACTTCCCTCGTATCCCATTCCTCCCCATTCTCCATCCCACCTCATTAAAGGGAGCATAGCTGTCATTGAGCCATGGTGGTGGACGAATCCCCTCCTGCCACGTGTCACATGGCCCCCCACCCTGAGGGCACCCCACGTGGTTGAGTACCACTGGTGAACGAGAGGAGGGTAAGAGGAGAGGAGGAGAGGATGGGAAGAAGGGGGGAAGAGTCAACGAGAGGAAAGAAGCCTTGGGCTGTGGGAGAGAGTATCCAGAACAATGTGGCGACAATTGCAACTCCATGCCATCCCATGCCGCCCCATCCCATCCCACGCCATCCCATACCGTCCCATGCCATCCCATGCCGTGCCATGCCGTGACATGCCATGCAAGGAACGCACCATCGATCATGACCAGGAAGCCCATGGCATGAGCCGCATCCACCAGGGCTTTAAGCTCCTTGGGAGTTCCGAGATGGGGGTTGATGGCCGCCTGGTGAGCAAGGAGGGGCATACAGTGGGAAGGAAAGACGGGGGATGGACGCAGGGCGAAGGGGACGGAAAAGAGTCACCAAGCCTTTAAGCTCAGTGGCAGCATTGGGAAAGCGTTTGATTTCATAACCGCAGAAAAAAAGGAAGGGGTACAGAGGGGAAGCAAAAAAAAGCAGTCTGGCTTCCACGAACCTGTCTGCCTTAAACGTTTTCGCGAAGAAACAGCACAAAACAGATGTTATAGGCGCCTAAACAGATCTCCGCCTCTCGCCCCGCACTCTACCCTTTTGCCCTGCATGAGGCGTGGCGAAGCTCGCAGGCAGGTAGCAGTGGTAACCGTACAAGATGTTACCGTGCCACCACTTGACCAACCATCACATACCTGTGGATTTCCCTCCTCCCCCGCTCCTCCTGCACGAGGCGTGGTGAAGCCGCGAGGCCAGTAGCCGTGGTAACCATAGGGGCTGTTGACTGTTACCGGGCCTATTAGCAGCGTGTCAAAGCCCATGCCTCGGATGTCTGATGGGCGAGGGGCGTTGGGACGAGGGAGGGGAGGATAACCAAGATGGGAGAAGCAGGGGAGAATAATAAGGGGATCAGCAGCGCGTCAAAGCCCATGCCTCGGATGTCTGATGGGCGAGGGGCGTTGGGACGAGGGAGGGGAGGATAACCAAGATGGGAGAAGCAGGGGAGAATAATAAGGGGATCAGCAGCGCGTCAAAGCCCATGCCTCGGATGTCTGATGGGCGAGGGGCGTTGGGACGAGGGAGGGGAGGATAACCAAGATGGGAGAAGCAGGGGAGAATAATAAGGGGATCAGCAGCACGTCAAAGCCCATGCCTCGGATGTCTGATGGGCGAGGGGCGTTGGGACGAGGGAGGGGAGGATAACCAAGATGGGAGAAGCAGGGGAGAATAATAAGGGGATCAGCAGCGCGTCAAAGCCCATGCCTCGGATGTCTGATGGGCGAGGGGCGTTGGGACGAGGGAGGGGAGGATAACCAAGATGGGAGAAGCAGGGGAGAATAATAAGGGGATCAGCAGCGCGTCAAAGCCCATGCCTCGGATGTCTGGTGTCAGAGGAGGGTGTTTGGAGGGGAGGAAGTGGGGAGAGAGGAGGAGAAGGGAGAAAGAGAAAAGGGAGAGGGGGAGAAGAGCGATAAAAGAGAGAGAGAGAGGGGGAGATAAAAATGGTTAGGAAAACACTAGCTCTGCCAGGTTCTTGGTAACCCATTCTCAAACCAAGGAAACTTAAGAGCTTGGACTCAAGGCCCCTTACACTTTGGCATGGCACCAGGCACCTACCTACCAATCGGCATAAGAATGTAGAGTAATATACCACTCACTCACTTAAGTGGATACTATTCGCTCACTTAAATGGATACCACTCACTCACATGGCAAATGCTGCCTCATCCCTGTGAACGTTCCTCCTGCAACCACGTGGCAAAGCAGGATTGGACAACAGAGCAGCTTGATTTGTAATCACTGGGCTGGGCACGTGTCAGAATTCTGAGGCTAACACCTAAGAAGTCCTGACAGAAGGTGTAGAGGAGGGCGAAGGTGGGGTTACTGTATATTTGTATATAAGCGAATCAGCCAGAGGCGGGAGCTGTAACGGCAGAAGCGAGGCGGGAGGCGTGGTTTGGCCAGGAGGGTGGGAACCGAGGAGTTGGATTCGGAATGGGCGGTGACAGTGCGGAGGGGGTGGGCTGGCAAGGGGTTTACAGCAGACTGACGTGGAGGTGGGGTGCGAATGTGTGATGTGTGGTGTGCATGTGTGTGCTTTGGTTTTGTTTTGCAGACACCGAGTCCAGGACATAGCTGGGAGGCAGCAACGCCAGCTGGAGACAGGCGGGAAGGCAGTGTGGATGGCAAGCTAGGCAGCCCAACAGTGTTTCTTTGTTAGGCTAGCCTTGCTAGGGTTTGAGTAGGGAAGCATAAGGCAGGGTCCTGGGCCATGGGACTGCCACTGCGTGTTTGTTTTCGTGAAATACTGCAATTACTCAACAACGCAGTGTGCAACGAAGCCATCACAGGCAGTCAAGATGAGTTAGGAACGGGAGGAGTTTAGGAGTGTCCGAGAAGGAAGCACACAAAGGCAAAGGCAAAGAGAAAGTGGGGTAAAGTCAGCAAAGGAGAACGAGTAGAGGAAGGGGGAAGCACCACGAAGGGGAGAATGGCAGAGAAGGGAGACTTGGCAGAGAAGGGAGAGGGGCAATACAGAGGTAGGAGCAAGGGGTGGTAAGAGATCAAGGTCATACGCAGCAGAGGAGGCAGGCATGTGAGGCAGCAAGCAGGGAAGGAGGGAGTTTCCGACACACGTACGTCCGCCAGTTGCTAGACAGACAGCATGTGCATGAACTTTGAGGCGCCTAAAGAGTTGTAACCATTGGATACACACGTGAGACGTCCGCCAGAAGCTAGACAGCACGTGCATGATGCTTGCTTTGAAAACATGGTGGCGGTTATCTTTGTTAATTCTAAAAGAAAGATTCCAATGTAGCTGCTCTGCATATCCCTGTTGTGAGTAGACAGCATGTCCATGATGCTTTATTCTGTAAATGCGGACGCGGTTATTGCTGGAGAGAGAAAGCTAGACATAAGATTTGCGGAAATCCAAAAGAAACAGGTGTACTGGGGAGTTGGTATTACCGCAATAATCAGAGAGCGTGGCACACTGTTGTTCGGATAGAATGGGCTTGGGAGGAGCGAATCTGTCGACAAACACCTGGTGGGAGAGGGGGGTTAGGAGATAGAGAAGAGAAGGAAGGGAGAAGGAGAGGGGAAAAAAACGAGTGCAAGAGGGAGAGAGAGGTAGAGTTGGGGGGAAAGGGGGGAATGAAAAGAGAGCGAGAGTGTGTGGGAGAGGTGCGAGAGGGGGAGAGAGCGGGAGAGACGGGGCGGGGAGGGAGAGAGAGGGGGAAAGCGAAAGAAAACGGGAGGGGGGGGAAGAGAAGGGGAGCAGTGGTTTTGGTGATGAAAAACGGTACATGACATCTGGCATGTGTGTAGACCTAGCAGCAGGCTGTGGGGTGATACGAATCGCATGGTACCAGAGTAACACCAGTCACATGGTAACACAGTAACACCACTCACATGGTACACCACTCGCGACCGCCAGCTGGCAACAGCGTCCCTAAGCGCCAGCGACTCGCCGCTGTATACCCTCCCCTCAGCGAGCGGTTCCAATTCAGATGCTTGTAACGAGAACGCTTGTAACGAGACGGACCAGAGGGTACGCAGCGACGCGCACGCCATGATCAGAACCGCCAAAGCAACGACTGAGGAAGCTGCGAGGAAGGAGAGGAGGAAGGCCTGGGAGGACGGGGAGACGCGGCGACCGTGATGGAGTCCAGATGCGGCGAGATGGTGGTGATGGTGATTGAGATGGACGGCCATGATGAAGCAAAGTGAGCCGCCAGCTGATTTTAACGACGATAGGATGATTCTGTCGGATGATCCTTAGAAATAAATATGAGTATCTCCTACAGAAATTCACGCTTCAATGTTGGTCCTGGAGCATCAGAATCCTGATTATCTCTGCGGTAACAGAATTGAGTGACATGGGAGTGTGGGACGACGTGGAACGCGAAAATGGTCTGGAGTAACAGACTGGCTTCGTAACATCGGGTAACATCGGGCTTTTCACTGCTGCAGGCTGTTGCGAAACAACCGCTGCTCTGCCTTGACAAAGCGTCGATATGGTGAACCATCGTAGCCTTCGCTCGTTTCGAGGATTCTCAGAATTTGCATCCAACGTAGATGCTTGCTATATTGCCTGTGTCTCTCCAGACCATCATGAAGGTGCGCATGTGCGACCATGGCGTCGCAATACGGATGGGTGGATGAGTGTTATGGTCGTCATCCTACTCGTCGTCCTCCTCCTCGTCGTTTCTCGAACTACACGGCGTGTGGGAGCGAAGGGAATGAACGGGCTGCTGAAAGGCTGGAATAGAACGGGTTTTCGTATGGGTACAGCCCGTTCTTGAGACGGTTTGTTGAGGATACGCATTGGTCTCTCCGAAGGGAGACTGTTTATGGGCGAATGAAGAAACACCGCCTGCTATAGAAGCACCAGCTGTCAGGGAAGCAACATCACCACCAGAAGCGATTCTGAAGGTATCGAGAAGAAATGTGGGAATGATGTTGAGCCAGGAAGACTGGAAGTTTGACACGAGCCAGGAACGAGCCCTAGCCAAATCGAGCGCATTCTGTGTGCAGGTGCTGTCAAATGTGTAGGAGGGAAAGGTCTAGATGTAATATGATGGTGTATTTTTGCGGGTACAGTAAGGAACGTCTAGTGTTCAAACAGTTCTGGAATGCCTGTTGTAATTAGTGTGCCACCCTACTTCGGAAGGCCATTTTTGTGATCAACAGGCGTGAAAAGAGATCGTGTTCCCGCGCAAATGTGTGTTCCCGAACCCGCACTCACGTTTACATAAGAGAATTTCCGCACTTAAGACTACTGACTTTCAAGTCCAGTTTGGCTGAAACTACTAGAATCTGGCGGCAAAACACTAAAACACTCCAACGGTTACTGCCATGCGAATTTACGGGCTTTTCTCGTGAAGCCGCCCAACCAGCCACGTTGCGAGAAACGACTTCGTTCATTCGCAATCTACTGGTGGCGAAATAAATAACACAGCCCCGAACTCGCTCGTAAGGTCCAACGTGTAACCACAAGTCGCAATTCCTCCATTGCTCTAGGAACGAACCTAACCGAGCAGAGTCTGTGGAGGTGCTGTCAAAAGTGTAAAAGGGTGTAGGTCTAGAAATAATATGATGATGTATTTTAGCGTGTACAGTCAGGTACGTCTAGTGTTCAAACGTATTCGGATTTCTGTCGGTAACTAATCTGTTGCCCTAATTCGGAAGGCCTTTTGTGATTCACTCAAGTGTGAAAAGATATCATGTTCCCGCGCAAATCTATGTTTTGGACCACACTTACGTTAACAGACGATTGCACTTAAGAGTACTGACTTTCAAGTCCAGTTTTGCTAAAACTGCTACTAGAATCTGGCAGTTTTTCAAGTCCAACGGTCACTGTCAACTCTGCAGGCTTTCTCGTGAAGCCGCCCAACCAACCACGGTGCGAGAAACGCCTTCGTTCATTCGCAATCTGCTATTTCGAAAGCATAACAGCCTCGAACTCGCTCGTAACTTCGTAAGGTCCAAAGTGTAACCACAAGTCCCATGCTGAAATCTTTCATACATCCCATTTCTCGAGGAAACTTTTCCTCCGTTGCTCGGCTGGCACTTCCAAGGTTGACCCACCATCGATTTCTTTCTAGTGTGCGTGACCGAGAAGCTCAGATCCTGTAAACGCAGCATCGCGGGAACACTCGCGATGGCGTCAGAGGCGGCGCCAGGTCAGCTCGGCGCGCGATGGACTCATCGGGGAGGTGGCGCTGACGGGAAAGCGGGAGGGAGTAGCGGCGGTAGTACTGGTGGTGGTCTGCGTGTAAATAACAGCCTGTGCAACGAGAAAGTGCCTTTCGTTCCGCAAAACGGACGACGAGGTAGGTCCAGCCGCCATTGCGAAACCAGACGATCTAGCATTTACGAAAGGCATGCTGGGGATTAGTGGATCCGTCGTTAACGCGAATCGAGATCGTTGGCTGGATTGAAGAAGCCATCGCATCGGACATTGCAGAGATCGTTGGCTGGATTGAAGAAGCCATCGCATCGGACATTGCAATCGTCGTGGCGTTTTTTGGTATTCCGTGCGAGTAAACTCTTCAATTATCGAGGTTGATCTTCTGAATATTTCTGAAGAAGAAACAACTATCGTTCCGTCCCCACCCTCTCGTTACAGTCACATGGTACATCTGCGGGCCTACAGTGTACGACTCGTCGCACATCGGGCACGCGCGAACTTACCTCTCCTTCGATATTATTCGCCGCATTCTCGAGGTGACTATAGTTCCTTACAGTCACACGCTTTTCTTGTCTGTGAGGTGGTCATTCCGTTAATTCCAGCCTGTTTGTGCTTCTCTGCTGTCTTCTTGTTGCTTGTAACGCACAGGACTATTTCGGGTATGACGTGTTCTATGTGATGAACGTTACTGACGTGGACGATAAGATCATCGTAAGGGCCAGGCGGGATTACCTCATCAAGCAGTACCTCCACGCCACGTCAGATGCCTCCCAGGTGAGCTACCTTGCCACGTCATCTGTCGCGCTGATACGTTATCTTGCCACGTCAGATGTATCCTGCCGTCCTTGAAATTCATCTCCAATATTCAGCCTTTTCATGTTTTATTTTCTATTGTGGAAAAGTAAACGGGTGTTGACTTTTGAGTCGACTTAAAAGTCCACCCTTTTCTCTCCCCGTTCCCAAGTCCAGGTCTTGGCAGACACACAAGCAGCACTAGCAGCAGCAGTGGCGAAGCAGAGGGGAGTCATGGAGGGGTTGAAGAAGGCCGCAGAGGGGGAGGGAAACGAGAAGAAGAAAGAGTCAGAGAACTCAAACTACTCCTCTCATTCTTCCCGTCTTCCTCATTCCCAAGTCCAGGTGTTGGCAGACACACAAGCAGCTCTGGCAGCAGCAGTGGAGAAGCAACGGGGTGTGGTAGAGGGGTTGAAGACGACAGCAGAGGGGGAGAGCAACGAGAAGAAGAAAGATTCGCTGCTGCAGCAGGCCGCACCGGAGGAGCTGAAACTGCAGCAGCTGGAAGGGGCGGCTAAGGCTGTCTTGGAGCGGCTGGGCCCGGCGTGTGTGGCGGCTGGCGGGCGGCGAGGCGTGTCTCTTCTGCTGGGGCGGCGGGCAGAGGAGGTGGAGGCGAAGGAAGGGGGAGCCGTGAAAGAGGGTGAAGCCGTGGGTGACGACAAGGCACGAGTTAATGGCACAGCGACAGATGGGGAAGCAGCAGAAGCAGCAGCAGAAGCAGCAGAGGGTGACAAGATCGCAGCAGAGGCGGCAGCAGATGCACTGGCAGCATCGTTGGATGCGAAGCTGAAGGCGACTGTCACTGATGTGTCCATCTTCAGACTCCTCGCTGCCAAGTGAGTGAGTGAGTGAGTGAGGGAGCGAGTGAGTGTGTGAGTGATTGGGTGAGGAAGTACGCTTAGCAGCAGAGGCGGCAGCAGATGCACTGGCAGCATCGTTGGATGCGAAGCTGAAGGCGACTGTGACTGATGTGTCCATCTTCAGACGCCTGGCTGCCAAGTGAGTGAGTGAGGGAGAGGGGGTGGGAGTGAGTAATTGAAAATATTTTCTGTTGCTTCCCGTCCAATTTCTTGTCACTGTATTCATTCATCGTCCCATTTTGATGTTTTTCACGTTTGTACCCAAAACCCTTATAACAGGTACGAGGTGGAGTTCTTTGAAGATATGAAGGCGCTGGGAGTGCGGCCACCTCACGTGCTCACACGTGTTACAGAGTACGTGCTGAGATGACACGGGTTACAGAGTACGTGCTGAGATGACACGTGTTACAGAGTACATGCTGAGATGACATGGTTTCTGGAGTACGTATGTTTGAACCAACCAAGATCACTGACATTTTTTCCAGAATCAGTTCGTGCCAATTGCATCAAGGCGGGCAATCTGTTTGGCTTTGTCACCTCTTGCTGCCTCCCTCACCGCGCACTCATCCCTTAACGGCCCCCATATCCCTCCCTCCTTATACCTCCCGTCCTTCCCCCGGTGCATGGACGAGTTCTGATGCGTTGCAAACTCACCATCCTCTTGCTCCCCGTCTGTCCCGTCCGTTCATCCCCCACGTCCTCTTTCCCCCCTCCGCTCCCCTCCCCTTTCCCCACACTCTCCTCTCCCTCCCAGGTACATCAACGCAATTGTCAACTATGTGGACATGATCATTAAGAATGGCTGCGCGTATGCCATCAATGGGAGTGTCTACTTTGACACCAAGGCCTTCAAGTGAGCCTGCTAGGTGGCCTGGTGGCGGGCACGTGTGTGTGTGTGTGTGTGTGTGTGTGTGTGTGTGTGTGTGTGTGTGTGTGTGTGTGTGTGTGTGAATTGTAGCTCGTTTTGAGGCGCCTATTTGTGCGTCGACTCTGACGTCTTTGGTATGCCATCAACGGGAGTGTCTACTTTGACACCAAGGCATTCAAGTGAGCCTGTTAGGTGGCAGTGATGTGATTTCTGACTTGTTACTTTAGCCGTCTGTGTGTGAGTCGACTTGAGTGAGGCTCGGCGTATGCCATCAACGGGAGCGTCTACTTTGACACCAAATCATTCAACTGAGAGTACACCAGGTAATGGTGACGTGACGTGATAAGTGCGTATGTGTGAATAATAGCATGTTTTGTGAGTTGATTTCAACGGGGGTGACTACTCTTGAGGCGCCTCAAAAAGCGTATGTGTGAATAATAGCATGTTTTGTGAGTTGATTTCAACGGGGGTGACTACTCTGGCACCAAGGCCTTCAAGTGAGCCTGCTGGGCGCGAGTATGTGGATCTCTCACCTTGTTTTTACACGCCTTTTAAAAGAGTAGCGGTACAGTTCGGTTTTACGATGCCTAGGAGATTGTTGAGGCGTCCGTCGACAGCACATGCCTGTTGCCGTTCGCCTCACTTACCCCCAAAACCCCACATTCCGTCATCCTGTTTCCTCCCCCTTCCCCCCTTCCCCCCTTCCCCCCACCCCCACCACAGGGAGTCAGGGCACATGTACGGGAAGCTGTGCCCGTGGTCCGTGGGCAGTGCATGCCTGTTGCCATTCCCCTCATGTACCCTACCCACAAAGCCCCCCTTTCCGCCTCCCCTTCTCCCTTCTCCCCACCCCACCACCACAGGGAGTCAGGGCACATGTATGGGAAGATGTGCCCGTGGTCCGTGGGCAATGCATGCCTGTTCCGTTCCCCTCACTTTCCCCCAAATTCTCACCCCATTTCCCCGTCTCCCCTCCCCCCCACCACAGAGAGTCAGGGCACATGTACGGGAAGCTGTGCCCGTGGTCCGTGGGCAGTGCTGAGCTGGCAGCGGAGAGCGAATCAGATTTTGCCACGTCAGAGAAGCGCAACCGCAGCGACTTCGCCCTGTGGAAGGCCAGCAAGGCCGGGGAGCCATCCTGGCCGTCGCCTTGGGGCGATGGACGGCCAGGATGGCACATTGAGTGCTCCGCCATGGCGTCAGATATCGTTGGATTTCCCATGGACATTCACTCAGGGGGCATGTGAGTGGGTGCTGTGGACGAGGGGAGGGGGAAGGGGGACGGGGGTAGGGGGTAGGGGGAGGAAAGGTCGGAGAGGGGAAGGGGGGAAAGGGGAAGGGTGTGGGCAGTGGGTGAACTACTTCCTGCACGCCGGCCACTTGCTGCACCGCACACCTGCACATTTCACACCACGCTGCACACACGAGTGCCTTCACCTCTCTTCCTTCCACCCAACCCAACCCTCCCGATCTTCACTGTGCAACACGCCCCCCTCCTCCCCCCCCCGCCCGCACCTCCCCACCCGCACCTCCCCCCTACCGAATACCCAAAACCCTCACCAGCGACCTGCGGGTCTTTCCACCATGACAACGAGTTGGCACATGTGGAGGCGTTCCACGGGTGTGGGCAGTGGGCGAACTACTTCCTGCACGCGGGCCACCTGCACAGCCTGCTGCACACTCGAGCCTTTTGAGCCTTCACGTCTCTCCCTTCCACCCAACCCTCCCCAACCGTACCGAACCGGGCCCCACGGCCCCCCTTGCCCTCCCCCCTCCCCGATACCCAAAAACCCGCCGTCCCCCCCTTGCATGCACCAGCGACCTGCGGTTCCCCCCAACGACAACCAGTTGGCGCAGGCGGAGGCGTTTCACGGGTGCAGGCCGTGGGTGAGCTACTTCCTGCACGTGGGGCACCTGCTGCATACGACACTGCTCAGCACGAGTCCTTTGAGAATCTTGACCTCTCTCTCTTCCACCCAACCCTCCCCATCCGCACCCTGCCACACGCCCCCCCCCCTTCCCCTCCCCCCCCTGCTCCCCCTCCCCGATACCCAAAAACCCGGCTTCCCCCCTGTGCGCGTGCCAGCGACCTGCGGTTCCCCCACCACGACAACGAGCTGGCACAGGCAGAGGCGTTCCACGGGTGTGGGCAGTGGGTGAACTACTTCCTGCACGCCGGCCACCTACACATCGAGGGGCTCAAGATGTCCAAGTCGCTCAATGGCAGTGCCATGGGTGGGCTATCTGGGGCTGGCTGGGGGTTCCCAGGGACCCAGCCAGCCCCATGCAGTAGCAGGGCTGTCTGTGTCCCCTAAATCTGAGTCGCTTTTGAGACTCAGATTTAAGATTTGATCCATACTGGCTCTCTAAGAAAAGTTCTAAGCAAGCGCGTAACCAGGCTCTTTCTGCCATCAATCCATGGAGTTTGTCTCGTTGTCCTAAAACAGCACGAGTTGATGGAAATAAGGGCTCCGCAGCCCACCTGTCCGCTTTTGACAGCTCCCCAGCCAGCCCCATGCAGTTGCAGGGCTGTCTGTGTGTCGCCTAAATCTGAGTCGCTTTTGAGAATCAGATTAAAAGCGACTCAGATTAAGACTGGCCGGACCTACCTGCACGTTTAGGTTCCTACCCTCCTGTCCCTCACCCGTCACCGCTCATTCTTTTCCTCCTCCCCACCCATCCACCCACCCGGCCCCCTTCAGGCTTTAGAGAAGTACAGCGCACGCCATTTAAGATTGCTCTTTCTGCTGCCCCCTCACCCCGTCATCGCCCATTCTTATCCTCTCCCCCCCCGCCCACTCCCCCACCCACCCGCCCTCCCGACAGGCTCTAGAGAAGTACAGTGCGCGCCAGTTCAGATTGCTCTTCCTGCTGCTTGCTCCCTCAACCCGTCATTCTTATCCTCTCCTCACCCACCCACCCACCCATCAGGCTCTGGAGAAGTACAGTGCGCGCCAGTTCAGATTGCTCTTCCTGCTGCTTGCTCCCTCAACCCGTCATTCTTATCCTCTCCTCACCCACCCACCCACCCATCAGGCTCTGGAGAAGTACAGTGCGCGCCAGTTCAGATTGCTCTTCCTGCTGCTTGCTCCCTCAACCCGTCATTCTTATCCTCTCCTCACCCACCCACCCACCCATCAGGCTCTGGAGAAGTACAGTGCGCGCCAGTTCAGATTGCTCTTCCTGCTGCTTGCTCCCTCAACCCGTCATTCTTATCCTCTCCTCACCCACCCACCCACCCATCAGGCTCTGGAGAAGTACAGTGCGCGCCAGTTCAGATTGCTCTTCCTGCTGCTTGCTCCCTCAACCCGTCATTCTTATCCTCTCCTCACCCACCCACCCACCCATCAGGCTCTGGAGAAGTACAGTGCGCGCCAGTTCAGATTGCTCTTCCTGCTGCTTGCTCCCTCAACCCGTCATTCTTATCCTCTCCTCACCCACCCACCCACCCATCAGGCTCTGGAGAAGTACAGTGCGCGCCAGTTCAGATTGCTCTTCCTGCTGCTTGCTCCCTCAACCCGTCATTCTTATCCTCTCCTCACCCACCCACCCACCCATCAGGCTCTGGAGAAGTACAGTGCGCGCCAGTTCAGATTGCTCTTCCTGCTGCAGGCCTGGGACAAGGTAATGTTGGTCGATGTGGGTCAGCATGGGTCAATCTGGGTCAGCTTGGGTCAATCTGGGTCAGCATGGGTCAGAATGGGTCAATGTAGGTCAACGTGGTGCAACATGGGCTGTCCTACGTTTCATGTATACGGGACTGATCTGAACTTATCCCTTCTCAAGCTATTGCCAGCTGATACAGGAGCACCACAACCCACTTGGCCCTCTCTCCTCCTGTTTTTCCTTCCGCCCGACAGCCAATCAACTATGGGGAGGGTGCGATGGCAGATGCGGTGGGCAGGGAGAAGCAGCTCAGAAACTTCTTCCAGACCGTTCAGGCTGAGATTCGGGCGGCGGTGAGTCGTGCTGACGTGGAGTAAGGTCTCATATGGTGAGGTGAGGTGGCATCTGCTTACGGTGCAGATGAAACGGTGGGATGAGGTTGAGCTGGGTGCAAGCAAGTACTTGACCCGAAACGGGCATACAAGGTGTTGGAAATTGATTCATTCTTTGACCTGGGGTAAAAAGATCGATGTATACGTTTCGAATCAGCTCCCCCCTTGTCAGTTCAACCCACCCCCCTCCCAGCTTCCCCCGCCCAACCCCCCTTCCGTATATCCTCCTCCCTCTCCTTCTTCCCATTCTCCTCTCCGGCCTTTCCTTAGCGTGCAATCCTCCTTTCTCTGTCCTGTGTCTGTCCATAAATCTTCCCCAAAGGGGACACCATGTCACTTCACTCGTAGTGCTCCCTTTCCATATCTTCCATTTCTTCAAACCCATGTTTCCTCGTTCGCTTTCTGTGCCGACTCAAAGATTGTTTCACCATGGTGATCCCTGTCCGTATCTGCCGTTTTTTCAAACCACACGTTCCCTCGCTCGCTATGTGCCTGTTTCTCTTGTTCACTTACAGGGCGAGCAGGGCGAGGAGGCGTGGAGCGAGCTGGAGAAGACTCTTAACGCTGCTGTGGCTACAGCACAGGCTGAGGTGGGTGATTGCTGCAGACAGTGAGAGAGTGGGGGAGGGTGAGGGGGTGTGTGTGAGAGCGGGAGTGGAGGAGGCGTGGAGCGAGTTGGAGAAGACTCTGAACGCTGCTGTGGCTACAGCTCAGGCTGAGGTGCGTGGTTGCTGTAGCGAGTGAGAGAGGGAGCGAGTGTGTGTGTGTGTGTGTGTGTGTGTGTGTGTGTGTGTGTGTGTGTGTGTGTGTGTGTGTGAGGGAGCGAGTGGAGGAGGCGTGGAGCGATCTGGAGAAGTCTCTGAACACTGCTGTGGCTACGGCACAGGCTGAGATGTGTGGTGGGTGGATGGTTGAGCTGACTGACTCAAACGAAAAAATTGAGTGGAGCGAGTTGGAGACGACTCTGAACGCTGCTGTGGCTGAAGCACAGGCTGAGGTGCGTGACCGGTGGATGGTTGAGCTGACTGACTCAAAACAGAAATTCTCAAGTGGGTTGAGCTGACCGATTCAAACAAAAACTTCTAAGCGGATTAAAAAACTGGCTGGGGTGCGTGGTGGTGCACGAGGGTGGTGAATGGTGCGTGCGTGACAAATTGGCGAGGGTCTATGAATGTTTTACTCAACTAAATCGACCTTTTCTACGCGGCGGGGTGCGTGGTGGTGCATGCAGTGAAGATGGTGAGTGGTGGTGCATGCAGTGCAGATGGTGAGTGGTGGTGCATGCAGTGAAGATGGTGAGTGGTGGTGCATGCAGTGAAGATGGTGAGTGGTGGTGCATGCAGTGAAGATGGTGAGTGGTGGTGCATGCAGTGAAGATGGTGAGTGGTGGTGCATGCAGTGAAGATGGTGAGTGGTGGTGCATGCAGTGAAGATGATGAGTGGTGGTGCATGCAGTGAAGATGGTGAGTGGTGGTGCATGCAGTGAAGATGGTGAGTGGTGGTGCATGCAGTGAAGATGGTGAGAGGTGGTGCATGCAGTGAAGATGGTGAGAGGTGGTGCATGACGGAGAGTAGCAAGGGTTTATCAATGCTTGTCTAGAGGACAATTTTGACCCTGCAGCTGGCGCCATCACAGCACTCGTTGACCTCATCTCTCCTCATCCCCTTCTCCTCCCCACCACTCCCCACCACTCTGCATCGTTCCTCACAGGTCCGTGCTCGTCTGGAGGACAACTTTGACACAGCGGGAGCCATAGCAGCGCTCTTCGACCTCATCTCAGCCACCAACGTGTACCTCAAAGACACATCCGCCAAAAAACGCCGGCCACGGCCCCTCCTGCTGCAGTCCGCCGCCCAGTTTGTTTCCCGGATCCTGCAGGTCTTTGGTACGTGCGTTCATACATGGATGCTTATCTCTGATTCAGTGTAAAATATGTTCCAGAGGAGGCATGCATGTCCCTGCCTCTGCTTGGCTATGTCTATGGCAGAGGCATGTCTATGTCTATGACTATGCATGCCATGCATGCTTGGTCTGCAAGACGTTGCTTCTTTGTCTAGCCTGCTGAGTCTAGTAGTTGATCTCTCTGTTTTCGGGAGCTACGTTGGAGTCACTTTTTGAGTCGACTAAAAAATCGACTCATCACATGCGGGCTTATTGGAGTCACTTTCGAGAATTCTCAAAAGTGCCCTACCCGTGGCACTCTGACACTCTTCTCAAAATTCAGATGCAGCTGTACAGTGGGACTGTCTCCTCGTAATATACGTGTGAACCTGTGTGTGTGTGTGCATGTGTGTGTGCATTTGTGTGTGCGTGTATGTGTGCGTGTGTGTGTGCGTGTATGTGTGCGTGTGTGTGTGCATGTGTGTGTGCGTGTATGTGTGTGTGTGTGTGTGTGCATGTGTGTGTGCGTGTATGTGCGTGTGTGTGTGCATGTGTGTGTGTGTGTATGTGTGCGTGTGTGTGTGCATGTGTGTGTGTGTATGTGTGCGTGTGTGTGTGCATGTGTGTGTGCGTGTATGTGTGCGTGTGTGTGTGCATGTGTGTGTGCGTGTATGTGTGCGTGTGTGTGTGCATGTGTGTGTGCGTGTATGTGTGCGTGTGTGTGTGTGTGTGCATGTGTGTGTGCGTGTATGTGTGCGTGTGTGTGTGCATGTGTGTGTGCGTGTATGTGTGCGTGTGTGTGTGCATGTGTGTGTGCGTGTATGTGTGCGTGTGTGTGTGCATGTGTGTGTGCGTGTATGTGTGCGTGTGTGTGTGCATGTGTGTGTGCGTGTATGTGTGCGTGTGTGTGTGCATGTGTGTGTGCGTGTATGTGTGCGTGTATGTGTGCATTTGTGTGTGCGTGTATGTATGCATGTGTGTGTCCGTGTATGTGTGCGTGTATGTGTGCATGTGTGTGTGCATGTGTGTGTGCGTGTATGTGTGCGTGTATGTGTGCGTGTGTGTGTGCATGTGTGTGTGCATGTGTGTGTGCGTGTATGTGTGCGTGTATGTGTGCATGTGTGTGTGCATGTGTGTGTGCATGTGTGTGTGCATGTGTGTGTGCGTGTGTGTGTGCATGTGTGTGTGCGTGTATGTGTGCGTGTATGTGTGCATGTGTGTGTGCGTGTATGTGTGCGTGTGTGTGTGCATGTGTGTGTGCGTGTATGTGTGCGTGTGTGTGTGCATGTTTGTGTGCGTGTGTGTGTGCGTGTGTGTGTGCATGTGTGTGTGCGTGTGTGTGTCGACTGGCCGTGCTGCAGGTCTGCTGGACTCGAGTCTAGATTCGTTTGGCATGACAGCAGGAGGAGCGGCAGCAGGGGCTCAGGGCGAGCAATCCAAAGAGGCCATCGTGGTGAGTAAAGGGTGTACACATCTTTTTATTCGTATATGTGTGTATACATAAGTGCACACATCATGTTGCTGTTTACTTCGTATTCCCCTTGTCATTCTAACCCCATGTCAACGCAGTCTCTTCTTTCCCATCTCCACTCAACCCCTTCTCCTCCGTCCCACTTCCCCTCAACCCAGGTGCCCTACATTCAAGGCTTCTCAACGTTCCGTGACGATGTGCGGGCAGCAGTGCGGAGAAACGCCACCAAGGTGAGACGCTAGTGACGGGATAATGCCACGTGATGTAAGGTTGGTTCTGAGGCGTCTCACAACATTCAAGGCTTCTCAACGTTCCGTGACGATGTGCGGGCAGCAGTGCGGAGAAACGCGACCAAGGTGAGATGCGATGAGAGTACCAGAATATGAGAAGTCTGGCTGGCTGGACCATACACGACCTCGTGAGGTCCCACGGATCCTTGCTCAAGAGAAAGAGAAGGGCAGTGAAGGTGAGTGTTGACTCATGATTCGTCTCATCCCATGGGTTGCGATGGTGGACCTTGGGATTCGCTGCGAGGATCGCGGTGGGGCAGCGCGGATTGACTGTAACTTTTCTCTCTCCCCACCCCTGATGTTGATGCGCTGGTGTTATGTTCAGGATGAGTTGCTGTCGCTAACTGACAAAGTGAGGGACCATGCAATGGTGGACCTTGGGATTCGCTGCGAGGACCGGGGCGGCGCGGGGGCGGAAGCAGCGGTGGTGAAGCTGGATGATCCCAAGGTGCTGCGAGCTGAGCGGGATGAACGGATCGCCAAGGCTGCTGCTGAGGCCAAGCGGAAACTGCAGACCAAACTGGCAGCCAAGGTGAGACGCGCCTGGTTGAACTCGATATCAGGACGGGAGGGAGAGGAGGGGAGGCAGTGGTGTTGAAGCTGGATGATCCCAAGGTGCTGCGCGCTGAGCGGGATGAGCGGATTGCCAAGGCTGCTGCTGAGGCCAAGCGGAAACTGCAGACGAAACTGGCTGCTAAGGTAGGGGAAGGATCCAGGTGGGGTTCAGAGGTGTGGGCAGGGGTGGGCAGGAGTGGTGGGGGGGAGGCAGCAGTGTTGAAGCTGGAAGATCCCAAGGTGCTGCGGGCAGAGCGGGACGAGTGGATTGCTAAAGCTGCTGCTGAGGCGAAGCGGAAACTGCAGACGAAACTGGCTGCTAAGGTGAGAAGGGGAAGGGGCTGGGTAAACTGGGGTGAAGTGAAGGTGCTGAGGGGGGGCCAGTCGGGGAAGGGAAGAAGGGTTGGGGGAGGCGGTGGTAGGGTATGGGTGAAGCAGGGTCTAGTCTCTAGGGGTGGGTGGTGGGAGGGAGGGGAGGGGAGGTGGGGGAGGTCGTGGTAGGTCTGGGTGAAGTGGGGTCTAGGGGTGAGGGCGGTGGGAAGGAGAGCTGGGGAGGCAGGAGGGAGGGGCCGGATGTGGCTTTGGCAGAAAGTGATCTTGGTTGTTGTTTTTTTCCCCTTTGACAGGTGAAGGACTTGGACCGGTGGCAATCTGCCTCTGTACCTCCCTCTGAGATCTTCCGGAAGGCGGTTGACAAGTATAGTGCGTGGGATGATAAGGGTGTGCCCACGCACGACAAGGATGGCAAGGAGCTGTCTGCCAAAGCCAAGAAGGTGCGTGCTTGCTTCGCAGATGTAGTCAAACAGGGTTTAAACAGCAGCATTCAGTCGTCGAATTGGTCTCTAAGGGAGCGTGCGTTTTTTTAGAATTCTCAAAAAACACACGCGAGAATTCTTAAAAAACACACGCTCGAACATGTCACCCTCCCACGAATGTTAGTCTGTTGGCGCTTGCCAAAGAGGGTACGCAACCTCTTGGTGAAAGCGAGGCTTCAGAAATGGGGATACACTACCCCCGTGACTTGATGGGATTGAATTCATCCCACCAACCTGCATGTTGAATTACATTGTAAATGTAAGGTACAGCCAGCTAGCGAGCCAAGGTGACTTTTGAGCTAGCGAGCCGCAATGACGAGCCGCACTGGACTTTGTTTCTTGGTTGAGTGCATAGAAAGGTAGTTTCGACCTGGATCCAACAGTTAACTCGTCATCGGCCTGACGAAGGCCATCGGCCGAAACGCGCGTACGCTCAAGTTTGAATGACAATTTTCTTACCTATTCAATCCCTACTAGCCTAAGCTCAGCCTAGAAGATATTAGAACGAGTTAGATCTGTTGGATCTGGGTCGAAACTATATTCCTATGCATTCAGTCGTCGAATTGGTCTCTAAGGGATGTGAAGCTGGTCGCCCATGGACAAGGGCTGTCGATGGCAGAGCAGGCATTCGTCAAGTATTAGCACACAGCTGGCAACTTCTTTTCCTTCCCCCATCACCCTCTCTCATGCCTTCTTTTCCTTCCCCCATCAACCCATGCCTGCCAGGGAGTGGACAAGGGCTGACGAAGGCAGAGCAGGCATTTGCCAAGTATTAGCACACAGCTGCTCTCTTTCCCCTGCTCCACGCTCCTAATCTCCTCTTTCTCTCGCCCTCTCTCTCCGCACATCCCCCATCCACCTATGCCTGCCAGGCCGTGGACAAGCAGAAAGGTTACTCTTCTCCTCCCCGTCTCCCATCAACCTCTCCCTCTCTGCACATTCGCCCTCCACCCATGCCTATCTGGGAGTGGATAAGGAGCTGAAGAAAGCAGAGGAGGCATTCTCCAAGTACCAGCACACAGCTGCCCTCTCCTCCCACCTATCCCATGTACATTTCCCTCTCCCTCCACAACCCCACTCCTGCCTGCCAGGGCGTGGACAAGGGGATGAAGAAGGCAGAAGAGGCATTCTCCAAGTACCAGCACACAGCTGTTCTCGTCCTCCCACTCCTCGGCGCCCCATCAACCTCTCTCACGCCTTCTCTCCCTCTTCACATCCCCCAGGGAGTGGTTAAGGAGCTGAAGAAAACAGAGGAGACTTTTACTGAGTACCAGTTGCTCTCACCTCAGCCAACGTCCCTTCCCCTCTCCCTCCCCATCCACTCATCCCTACCAGGGCGTGGACAAGGAACTGAAGAAGGCAGAAGAGTCGTTTGCCAAGTACCAGCAGAAGGTGGGGGAGGACCCAGGGTTCCTGGACTCGCTGCGAGAGGAGGTTGCGAGGCTGGAAGCTGAGCTGGCCAAGTGATAAGGATAGTTAGCAATGGTTGCGCGCATCAATCGGCCTGATCAGACTGCAATGCACTCCCCATCGCAACAAACCACACCTCACTCACACTACACTACTCATTGAAGCTTTCGGCTGAAGAAAGGCCACCACCAAGGGCCTGACTTTGGGTTTGGCATTGGTTGTGGCTGGGGTGAAAGAATTTAGTCATGAGAAAAAATGGGCTGCAATTTATCAAAATACCTTACACTAGTACCCTAACCGAACACCTGCCCTTGCAGTGTGCAAGCATGCACCCAGCTATGGTTGTACTGCTATAGTAATTTAAAGGGAATAATAACTTGGAATTTGTTGGGCTGGCAGTGATTGTGTTTATTCAGTGTCTGTTCGTTGCTTTGGTTAGGTGCCTTGGGTATCATCACAGTTGCAGCAGTAGCATGCCAAACAGAACGGTGGAGAGTGGTACAGTGAGGTTGTCGTCCAGCTTATCGCTGATTGGAAGAGACTCCACCACTGTAGCTCCGAGGCTGACCAGGAAGACTCGGAGAGGCAGGTTCGGCAGCAGCAGCCAATCAGAGGAGTAGAATCCTGCTGCTGTGAAGAGATGAATGGTGCTGAGGGGATGTAACAAGCCAAAGGATGGGGGGGAGGTGAGGGAAATGGAAGAGGTGAATAGTGTTTTTAGGATGAGGAAGGGGGAATGTTACAAGCAAAAGGAGGGGGGGTGAGGAGGGGGAGGGGAGGAGGGAGGAGGTGAGTAGTGCTGACGGGATGCGGAATGGGAGATGGCTGCAAGCTGTAACGAGGAAGGGCAGAGGAGGAGGATAGTGGATGGGGATGGATAGCAGTGTTGGGTACTAGCATGCAAGCAGAGCAGCAAGATGTGGCACACAAGCGATGAGCAAAGCAATCAAAGGCATGCAAGCAAGCACGCACAAGAGGGCGAGGCCATAGCCAAAGAGCAGCATGGCGATGCTCCCTGCCCAGCTCTTCTGGTCGTTCCATGGCAGCTTTGCGGAACCTACTCTCCGCCCCACGATGTCAGCGATGCCTGGAGAGAGTGGGCGAGGAATGAGAATGGAAGGAAGGAGTTGTAGGAGAAACAAAGTGCAGGTTCCATCAGGATGAGAAAAGAGGGTAGCATGATGCAGAATGGCAGCAAGCACACAAGCTGTCATCAACAAATTAGACGTCACAACGACAGATACCAGGCATCACAGACCATCACAAAAACTTCCCTTCCACCAACCACAACACCTCCCATCCCCACCAAATTACACACCACACACCACCCACCATCTCCACCGCACCACCCACCATCTCCACCGCACCACCCACCATCTCCACCGCACTACCCACCATTTCCACCGCACTACCCACCATCTCCACCGCACATGAGCGCCAGTGCCACGCCCCCAACGGGGGAGGAGCGCCAGAATGTGATTGTAACGAAGGCTAGCGTGAGGATGTAGTAAAGGGGGCCGCCCAAGAGCTCACTGTAAGGAGGGGCAGGTGGGAGGAGGGAGTGTGTGCAGGGGAGGTGAGAGGAGCAAGAGGGTGAGGAGGAGAGAGGACGTAAGAGGGAGAGGAGAGAGAAGATATTTTGAAAATCTCCATAGGCTGACTACGAAGAGGAGGGCAGGGAGGGGGGGTAAGGGGAGGGGGGAATGGGAGCGGAAGGGGCACAGGAGCCCCACACACACCACACCACACCACCACACACACCTGGAGCTACCCTCTCGGCTCATAGCCTTGACCATGCCTTCGTTGCGTGTCACTCCCAGCCCCAGCAGCAGCAGGCGCGTGGCGTTGATGAGCGGGACGGCACTGGCGAAGAAGCGAGCGTTGAAGCTCGTGCTGCAAGGGGGAGGGGGGAAGCGGAGGAGGGGGGGGGGTGTGGGGGGATGCGCTGAGATTTGGCAGGGAATGGTGCGAGCCTGAACTGGGTTCGGCAGGGGATGATGCAACAGGGGAACCTGACCGGAGGAGCAGCCAGGTGAGCATGAAGTGAGGAAGCTAACCAGAAGATAAGACAGGAAGGAATGAAAGCCACAATGAACAGGGGAAGAGAAGCTGCCCGGAAGCGCAAAGAGGGTAAGGAGCTGACGTGAAGAGCAAAGAGAGAAGGAGAGGAGACTACCCGAAGAGCCTTGAGAACAGGGGATGCTGACCTGAAGAGTGGCCAGAAGAGCATGAAGAGGAGGCCTGTTGTGATGTGCACGAGATTTTGAGGTGCCTTAAACTCCACATAACAGCTAACAGAGAGGAGGAGCTGACCTGTTTTGAGACATCTCGAAAGAGGGGATGCTGACCTGAAGAGAGGCCAGAAGAGCATGAAGAGGAGGCCTGTTGTGATGTGCACGAGCTTGCGACTCAGCTTCTGCATTTGGCGAAACATGCAATAATGGGGACAAGGGTGAATGGGGGAGAAGGGGATGAAGACCAGTCTTAACTCACCACTCCCCTCCCCTCACCTCACCTCACCTCACCTCACCTCACCTCACCTCACCTCATCACACCTCACCTCACAGCTTCTCACACCTCTCATTTTCCACTCCCTCAACGCCCAAAGCCTCCCAGCCTCTTTCAAACCCACAACGCACCCGTTCAATGAGGTCTCGCCTCGCCAGCTCGTCAAACAGCCGCACCCAGATGAGCGATCCCAGCAGGGTTACCACCCCCATCACCGGATCCTGCCACTCCCCAGTGATGCCGCTGCCCCAAAGCCACGCACCTTTCCAACTCCCAACCCCAGCCACACTCACAACTCACCCGTTCAATGAGGTCTCGCCTGGCCAGCTCATCAAACAGCCGCACCCAGGTGAGAGATCCTAGCAGCGTCACCACCCCCATTACCGGATCCTGCCACTCGCCTAGTGATGCCGCTGCCCCAAAGCCACGCACCTTTCCAACTCCCAACCCCAGCCACACTCACGACTCACCCGTTCAATGAGATCTCGCCTCGCCAGCTCATCAAACAGCCGCACCCAGATGAGCGATCCTAGCAGGGTTACCAGCCCCATTACCGGATCCTGCCACTCGCCCAGTGATGCTGCTGCCGCTCCCACCCCTGCCGCTGCTGCCGTCACTGCCGCTGCTGGCGCTGCTACTGGCGCTGCTGCTGCTGCCGCTGCTGCTGGTGTTGCTGCTGCCGCACTAGCAGCCGAACCGGCAGTGACAGAGATGGCAGCAACAGTAGCGCCAGAAAAGGCGTTCTCTAGGGCAATGGGTGGGCCGCCTAACTGGGCTTGAAATGGAAGGGCGAGGGAGAGTGAGAGAGGGAAGGAGGAGGGGAGGAGGAGGACAGGCAGGGATGATAAAATCCCTGGCAGATGCTTTGAGTCTGCTATGGGGAGATCTTGCAAAGAGGAGGAGGAGGCTAATTGCCATACTGCGTTCTGCATGAACCCCCCTCCTGCCGCTCCTCCTCCCACCGCTCCCACCGCCTCTGCTGCAGCCGCCGCCGCCTCTGCTGCTGCTTCAGCTGCTTCCGCTGCCGCTTCCGCCGCTTGTGCTGCTGCTTCTGCTGCGTATGCTGCGGCTTCCGCGGCTGCCTCCGCTGCTGCTGCTGCGACCTGCGCGGCGGCGATCGCGGCGGCTTTGCTCGTAGTAGCAGCGAGCGCGTGGGGCGGGAGAAGCAGAGTGGTACCGAGGAAACTCGCCGCTACAGCTCCTGCTACAGCCGAGAACCGGGCCCAGTGATCAACCCCCCATTCATGCCCCCCCCAGGCGTGTCCGTGTTTCACACCACCATTCGCGGCATTACAAGTGCTCCTGTTTCCGTTGATTGTGTTTTCACTAGTCCCATTGCCTGAGCTTCTCCGGACGATGCTTGGGAGAGTGGAAGGATGAACTCGAGAGGTGATTCTAGTGTCATCGCGTGTTCCTGTATCCTCGCGTGTCTTGGTCGAACGGACGACCGTCCCCGCTACGCCGTCGCGATCCGCGTACTCGTTATAGTCACGGCGGCCAACCGCGGCTATAACTCTGCTAATACTGCGTGCTGGGCTCGAGTAAGATAGTCTGCATTTGTGAAGGCGGCGATGGTGATGATGATGGTAATGATAATGTCCTTGATGTGGCGGGCGATGTATTTGGCGCTCACACTGTAATCCGGGTACACCATATACGCGTTGTAAGACATGTGAGCCCTGTACGCCCTGTGAACCCGTATGATGTTGACCCCGTTGACTGCGTTGACTTGAAAAACTCGGGTGCTCGTACCGGCGAACCTTATGCACGCTATGGACGCGTATGCAATCTTGCTGAGAAGAGGAAATGGCGGGTGACTTGAAGGAGAATTGGGTGGCGCAAACGGACGATTGGCGGAGAGAATGGGAGGCCATGGCAGGAACTGTCGAAATCGTTTAGAAGTCACAACCTGTTGTCGAAATCCTCGGAGAGTTACCTGTTTTGCGGAAAATGCTGGCCAGTATTTGCCAAACAGACACCCCTGCGCGCGCACGTTGTCTACTGAACAAAACACACAGGTATGTGCCACCTGAACCAGAACAAGTGTCAAAATTCTTTGGGAACTCCAGAGAGATTCTAGAGAGGTGGATGGACCAAAAAGGCAGTCCCCGCCAGAGAACACACGGATAAACGCAAACTCTCTGTAAATTAGGTATGTTTCCTACATAAGTCCTAGTATTATGTAAGTTTCATGGATTAAACAGATTTGGATTCAAGCAGGAGAAATCGCAGAGTGGAATGGTGAGACATAAAGAAGGATGCATATTAGAGTCTGAAACACATACCTACATTGTGTGTGTGTGTGTGTGTGTGTGTGTGTGTGTGTGTGTGTGTGTGTGTGTGTGTGTGTGTGTGTGTGTGTGTGTGTGTGTGTGTGTGTGTGTGTGTGTGTGTGTGTGTGTGTGTGTGTGTGTGTGTGTGTGTGTTCTTGAGATGTATTTAGTAGATTTGTTTCCATTTACTCATGTTCTGAACACTATGACAAAACTTACAATCGAGTCAGTTGTTCCAAGAACTCCCGATATCGCGGGTGTCATAGTCCAAGTGGGGTTTCCTGTCGGTTGCGCACGCCTCCCCAATTTCTCACCCTGGGATTGGTACGGAACAGTGCGCTGCGTTGTTATGTTCGGTTAGTCTCTGTTCTTGGGAGTGCTGCTAGTCAAGGGCCATCCTTGATTGGCTAGGGTGCCGCCGAACCACGTTTCCGCCATGGGAATTGCCCAGCCAAGCAGGGCACGAAGATCAACCCTTGGAAGTGCCGCGGCAAAGCTGATGTTCCCTAGCCTCTCTGTTTTGGTTGGGTTGGGAGTTCTTTCATCTCCCCCCAATCCCGCTGCTTGACCAAGGCTTTTTTGCCTGAACTAGTAGGTCTAATAACTGTTCTAATTTACTCAGGCTCTAGATAGGCCAGCCGCATCGCAGTGAGAGATTAGGTTTTTTCAGCATCATGGAACGTGAAAGGCGAGGGAAACCCATTGATCGAAGCTGACAATCGCGTTGCTGCGCGTTTGTATGCACGTTCTCCTAATTTTTAAAATACTTGCTCAAAGCCCACTCCTCCCCCATGCCATCCTGACCCTGTCAGTAACCCAAAGCCCAGCCAGACTCGCACAATGTCGGCGTCTCGTCCGAATGATGTCGCGCAACGGTCATTGCGACGAAGCCACAGCAGCAGCAGCGGTACCAGCCGTTCAGTCCTGGTAGCTGGCGGTTCGAACACGAGCCAGCATGTGAGTGGTCCAAGCATCGCTGACCGGAGTAGCATAGCCAATGAAACGCTGCCAACGGGGCATCACGGTAGATATACTGCTGCTGACGAGATGCTGGATCGAGGCCAGCGAAACGGCATGACAGCTGACAGATCAACGGCTAGTATTAATTCCTTGAAAAGACGTGCTTCATCTGACCGAAGGGATTTGAGCCATGATGTTCAGATAACGAACATTCGAATGGGAAGGAGCGCCGAAAAGGTAAGTGGTTCTGCTACGGCTCACAGCCGGACTCGTAGCTTCGACGTAAGCGTTGTATTGTGCAGGCCTATAACGAAGACAGAAGCGGCGGAGCGATGGGGTGGAGCTTCAGCGAATAGAGGACCATCCGGTGCAGCAGGATTAGATGGAGCTCTTACGACCATCGATGCCGCAGCCATGATGGACGACCACGATTCTTCACGGTCGGAAGCGGGCCATTGGCGAAAAAACCCTGACGCGTGGATGGAGTTCAAGAAGGGTGAATTCAAAACGTCTTCTTATAACGAGGATGATTCCAGTGAGGTCTTGTCGCCTTCTAGAAACGACATAAGGGTCGCTCCCGAGTCAAGACAGGCTAGTTCAGGCTCACGTCCTGGTCCTAACCCTAACATGTACCTACGGGCAAAATCGTTCAATCATTCTGGAACTTCGTCGTCGCCCTCAGCCTCGTATCCTCCTCCCGCGTCTCTCTTTTCCCGCGCCAGCACTACCGGTACGCACGAAAGGTCCCCGCTCCCGACTTCTGAGTCAACTCAAAAGTCGCCCTCAGGCTCGTATCCTCCTCCCGCCTCTCTCTTTTCCCGCGCCAGCACTACTGGTACTTTTGAGTCGACTCAAAAGTCGCCCTCGGGCTCTTATCCTCCTCCCGCGTCTCACTTTTCCCGTTCCAGCACCACTGGTACGCACGAAAGGTCCTCTCTCCCTTCTCCCAGACCCCCCCTCCCCTCCCACACGCCCACAGGCTCGGCCCACTCGCAGTTTTCTAGGTTTGGTCGCTCGCAGTCTGTGGCAGCTAGTGCTGCTGCCGCTACCGCTGCTGCTATTGCTGCTCCTACTTCTGCTGGTGATGGCGCTGGTGCCGGTGCTGGTGCTGGTGGCTTGCACCGGCAGCAGGCGAAGCAGCAGCAGCTGCCGCCGCCGCAGCAACCGAAGCAGCAGCAGCAGCAGCAACAGCAGCAACAGCTTCAGTACAGCCCTGCCGAATCTGCGAGCGCGAGTGGGAGTAATCGCCCTGGTAGAAGCTCCGTGCACAGGCGCAGTCAGAGCGGCGCGCAGGACTCGAGCCAAGGCTCGAATTACGGGGCACAACAGACGCAACAACAGCAACCTACAGAGCAGCAGCGGCGTGAGGATAGCTTTCGTCAGTATGGGAGTGAGAGTGAGAGCAAGCGGTCAGTGAAGGGTGCAGGTCACAGGCGCAGTCAGAGCAGTGCTTATGCCACAAGCCAGGCCTCGAATATTGCTCCACGTCGCCAGCAGCACCAGCAGCAGCAGCAAGATTTGAGGCGACAGAGAATGCAACAGGATGGTACTGACAGGGAGGGTGTGAGTGAGAGCGGTCAACCAGCGGAGAGTGCAAGGCACAGGCGCAGTCAGAGCAGTGCTCATGCCGTCAGGCGCAGCTTGGATGAGTCGCCTAGACCGCAGCCACAGCCGCAGGAGGGTTTGAGGCGAGAGCAGGTGCAGCAGGATGGTACTGTGAGGGAGAGGGCCAGCGAGAGCAGTCAGCAGGCAGAGAGTGCAAGGCACAGGCGCAGTCAGAGCAATGCTCATGCTGTCAGGCGTAGCTTGGTTGAGTCGCCTAGGCTGCAGCCGCATCAGCAGCCGCAGCAGCAGCAGCAGCAGCAAGGTTTGAGGCTACAGCAAATGCAGCAGGATGGTGTTGTGAGGGAGAGCAGTCAGCAGGCAGAGAGCAGTCAGCAGGCAGAGAGTGCAAGGCACAGGCGCAGTCAGAGCAATGCTCATGCTGTCAGGCGTCCCTTGGATGAGTCGCCTAGGCCACAGCCGCAGCAGCAGCCGCATTTGGGGCGATGGCAGCAGCAGCATGGGACTGGGAGTGAGAGTGAGAGCAGTCAACCAGTACAACGTACAGGTCACAGACGCAGCCAAAGCAGTGCTCATGCTGTCAGTCGGAGCTCTAGTCACTCAGTGGGGCAGCAACAACAGCATCCCCACTCTAGGATGCAGCAGCAGCAGCAAGCGCGTGAGCCGCATCATCAGTATCAGCAGCATCAGCAGCAAGGGGAGCGTTGGGAGGAGCAGAGGAGGGAGGCGAGCAAGAAGCGGGCACTGCAGGTGGGGCAGCCGGGACTGGCTCCTTCTGAGACGCCTCAACAGCAGCCACGACTGATGCAACCCTCTGAAGCACACGTATTAGCTTCTGACGAGACAACGGAGGGAAAGAGTGCTGTCAGTGCTTTGAGTGACGGTGATTTGAGTAGGGTTAGTGAGCGCGAGCAGGATAAGCAGCAATGGGAAGAGGCTAAGCGGGCTAGGCCAACCAGAGCAAGCATTGAGCATCCTCTGAACCCCCTAACACAAGCAGGGTATCAACCGGAGACTGGGTGGCTGACTGACAGACTGCTGACTGACTCTGCTAACCTTCTGATGGATTCTGAGAGAGGCTTAAGTGGCACTGACCAGCTGATGAGTGGTGATGGAGCTGTAGCGGCTGAGTGGCATGGGAATGAGTTGGTAGGTGTTGGCAGGGAGAGGAGTGGCGATGGCATGGGTATGTCGATAGTGCATGGCAGGGCTATGGTGGTAGATGGAGAGGCTATGGTGGTACATGGTAAGGCGATGGTGGTACGTAGCGAGGCTATGGAGGTAGATGGCTACTTGGAGGAGACACAGGGTGGGCGTTTACTCACTGCTGCTCAGGATGTTGAGGGTCCAGGGGGGTGGGAGGAAGAGGTGGGAGAGCCAGCAGGAGAAGCAGCAGGAGAGGCAGCAGGAGTGGCAGCAGGAGAGCAAGCAGGGGTGGCTTTTGAGTCGACTCAAGAAGCACATGGTGGGCATTTATTGGCCGGCCGAGTGGAGAGTGGGTGGGGTGCGGAGACAGAGTTGAGAGTGGAAGCAGCAGAGCCAGCAGTGGAGGCTACTTCGGACCAGCTTTCTCCTGACGATGCTGCAGTTCCGCTTGCCACGCCTGTGTATGGTTCCATGGAGGCCGGGCGGTGGGAGGAGAGGAGTGGAGATGCACAGGCATGGCGGGAGCAGGAGTGTGGGAGAGAGGAGGGAGTTGAGAGTGAGGATGGAGGCGAGGATGGTGATAGTGACGAGGGCTCTGTTGTAGTGGCGGATGTTGTGGAATGGGAGAGTGGTGAAGAGGAAGGTTTGGAGTGTACAGGTAGGGAGGATGTTTTTGAGGAGGAAGAGGAGGAGGAAGCGGAGGAAGAAGAGAATAAAGCGGAGGAGGCAGAGACAGTCCGAGCAGGCGGTTGGGGTGTGGATGTGGGGATGGGGGAGGTAGTGGAAGATGAGGAAGATCAGGATGAGGAGGAAGAGGGGGAGGTAGAGGAGTTGGAGAAGGAAGAGGGGGAGGATGAGGGTTGTAGGTTGGACGAACAGGTTAAGGTTGGGGAGGAGGAGGAGGAGGAGGAGGAGAGAGTGGGGGCAGATTATTGGGATGAGGTGGTGGAAATGGAGGAGGAAGAAGAGGAAGAAGAGGAGGAGGAGGAGGAGGAGGCCTTTAGCCCGGCCACTGTAATAGCTGAAGAGGCAGCTGCTGTCACGACTGATGAGGCGGTTACCGCCACAGGTGATGATTTGGTTACCGTAACAGGTGATGATTCAGTTACCGTAACGGCCAATAAGCTGGTCGTTGACTTGTCTGATGATGATGATGATGACGGCACGATAGAGGAACCCCAAGCAGAGAGCTTGGAGGATGGGGGCACGGGGGGGGATCCGAGCACAAGCAAGGGGAGTGAAGCCAAGAGCAAGAGCGGCGGAATGAGGAGTAAGAGCAGCGGGAGTCTGTTTCGCGGGCTGAGGAGCAGAAGCAAGCTGCTACTAGGAGGAAGCAAGGCAGGGGCTCGGCATGGGGAGACGGGCAGTCAGGAGGGGCAATTTGGGTCCACAGGGGCAGGGGCTGATTTGCTGGTGCAGCAGCAGGATGATAGAGGTACCCCTGATGGTGTTGTGGGCGATTCCTCTTCCTTAGCTTCTCCTCTCGCGCTTCCGACTGCGCTCTCTGTCAATACCGCCGCCAGCAGCAACGCCATGAGCAGCAGCAAGAGTAGCGGTATGGCAGGGCTGCGAGCACGCTCCTTTGCTGCAGTGGGAAACGTCAGAAGCGGTATCTCCTCAGCAGCGATAAAAGCAGCGGCTGGGATCAGCTCAGGAGCACGTAACGTCTCTGCGGTTACCAGCCTCCCTGGCGCTGCTGCTAGGAACGTGGCTGCTGCAGCAGGGGAGGTGGGGCAGGGGGCGAGAAGCCTTGCTGCAGTGGCAGCACGGGGGGTGGCTACTGGTGCCGCTACTGTTGCAGGGGGGATAAAGGGAGGGGCTAGGAATGTGGCAGGGGGGATTAAGGGGGGAGTGAGGACGGTGGCTGGAGGGGTGAGAGATGGGGCGTTGACGGTAGCAGGAGGGGTGAAAGGAGGGGCTATGACTGTTGCAGGAGGGGTGAGAGATGGGGCTTTGACGGTGGCAGGGGGTGTGAAAGAGGGAGCCTTGACAGTGGCAGGGGGAGTGAAAGGAGGGGCTTTAACAGTAGCAGAGGGGGTGAAAGAAGGGGCTTTAACAGTAGCAGGGGGAGTGAGCGGGGGTGCGCTGACAGTGGCTGGCGGGGCACAGAGCGTGGCATTTGCAGCAGCGGGAGGAATCAAGGAAGGCGCTAGGAGCATGGCAGGCACTGCAGCAGCAGCAGCAGCGGTGGCCGCAGGGGGGATCAAAGAGGTGGCATCTGAGATCAAGCATTTGGCAGAAGAGGTTGCAGCTGGGCAGGCTGGGGCAGGCTCTGGCAGGATGCAACGCGTGCATAATGTTGCGGATAGAGAGGACAGAGAGGATAGAGAGGATAGAGAGGATAGAGAGGATAGGGAGGGTGGGGAGGGTGTTGAGAGGGGGTTGTTGCAGAGTAGTGGCTTGGGTAAGTGCAGGAGCAGAGATGGGGCCACGAGCGCCATGCGAACCAGCCCTGGTTCCTTTACAGGCAGATCCGTTACAAGGAGTAAGACCCACGACAGCCGAATCATCAGTAACAGCAGCTCCTCCAGCCCAATGGTGCCTGCCAGCCTTGGTAGGAGCAGGAGTGGGAAGGAGAGAGATGCTCCCGGCAACTTCACAGAAGGTTCCTTCGATGCAGACTCCTTCCTGGAAGGTTCCTTCGATTCTGACTCCCTGCCTAGGTGGTCCTTCGATGCAGCTTCCTTTCACTCCAGCCCAGCCCATACAGACCCTTTCAATCCGGATTTTTTCGCTATAGATTACTCAGGCGACCTTGGCACTAGCAGTACTAGTACCAAATCACTCCCTAGAGGGGATACTACCAGCAGGGGAGAGGCACTTCCGCGTAAGGAGTCTAGAGGCAACCTGTTGACTAGAAAGGGCGGCAGTGCTAGGATGGCTAGAAGCGAAACTGCCTCTCCTGCTCTGGCTGCTCTGGCTGCACCGGATCAATTATCCTCCTTATCCTCCACTGTAAAGCCGAATACGCTCGCTCGGAGTGCCACTGCAGTAGTAGCCACCAGCTCTGGTCGTGGACCTGAGTCGGGTTCTGTTTTTGCCTCTCAACCGCACTCAACCGCTTGGTCTGTTGCTCAAGAGGACTGCACCGCAGCAGCAGTTGGCCCACTGCCCAGCAGCAAGACCACCGGAGGAGTGAGCAGCAACAGCGATGCCGGGGGAAGAGGAAGTCTGAGTTTTTGGGGCAGTGCGAGCTTCCAGCATGCCCCCAAGGGGCATTCCGGAGATTTGTCCGAGGAAATCCCGTTCCTCAGGGTGACTAGCCTCACCACTCTTTCCCCTGAAGATGCACTGCTGGCGTTGTGGGAGGAGGAGGGGGAGTGTGAGGAAGGAGGGGAGGGTAAGAGAGGGATAAGAAGCTCCCACTCCCGCCGTTTCCATGCCTCCGGTCTTGCCATTGCCGGAGCTGCTGCCGCAGCTGCGGCAGGGGTTCGGTCCGGAGCTAAGAATGTAGCTTCGGGAGCGATGAACGTGAGGGAGGGGATCAAGGGAAGGGCAAGGAACGTTGCATCGGGAATAGGATCGAGAGTGGAGAGTATCGCTGGTTTGCCTGGTGGGTCGAGTGTGGGTGGTGGTATTGCGTTGCGGGGTGGGAGTGTGGGCAGCAGCTGCTGCAGGCAGGCCCCTAGGACCGAGACGTTTGGGCACAACGCGTCGTTCGTTGATAGGTTTGTTGCTGGGTTGGAGGAGAGCGGGGTGGGTGTGGAGGGAGAGAGCGGACGGGATTTCGGGGGGGAGGATTGGGAGGTTGGAAGCGGTGATGACGGATGGGGAGGGATGGAGGAGGGAGTTGGAGAGGAGGATGAGGAGTGGGAGTTGGCGGAGGAGGGTGAAGAAGGGAAGAGGGAGGGTGAGGGGTTAGAGGAGGAAGAAGGATGGTCGGAAGGGTTGGAGGGGGAGGGTGTGTTTAAGATCTCTCAGAAACACCAGGGGCAGCACCAGAGGCAGCACAGGGGACGAATCTCACGTGCATTTTCCAGCAGTGCTGTTTCGGTGCTTGCCCTTCCTGGCAGCAGTATGGGTGAGGAGGAGGTTAGTGCAGCCGGCAGTGCAGCCATGCGACGCTCAGTGAGCAGCAGCAGCGGTAACGCAGTAACCATCTGTGTTGTCGTAACCAGCGAAAACGCGGTAACTGATAGTGCTGCTGTAGTAACCAGCGCTGTTGCTTTGACCAGCAAAGAAGCGGAAGGGCAGCACAGCCGGCGGGCTTTGCCGGCCTACCAGGTGCCCCTGTCGCTGCGCATCAGAGCAGCCTTGGAGCAACGCACCCTGGTGGACGGGGGTGAGGGAGTGCTGGCAATGGCATTGCACACGTCTACATCCGTGGGTGGCGAATCTAGGCTTGTTGCCAGGTCAGCCTCCTTTACAGGGAGAGCAGCATGGTCAGAGAGTCCAGCTGGCAGTGCCACGTCAGCATCGCTGGATAGTGTTCCGGATTCCCGTTCCCCGCAGCAGCAGAGTCAGCGGATGCTGCAAAGGGCTAAGTCCGAGGGCAGGAATGCTGCTGCTGGTTTGGCTTCATCCTCCTTATTGCATGCTTCACGGTTGCGTTTTGCATCCCAAACCGGTCGCAGTGGTTCAAGGAAGCGACTGCAAGAAATGTTTCAAGAGCAGCAGCAACAACAACAACAGCAACAGCAGGAGCAGCAGCAGCAGCAGCAGCAGCAGCAGACGCAGCAAAGGAAGCTATCAAGTCGTGGGTTGGGCAGGAGAGGGCTGTATCTGAGGCAATGGGCCTCAGCGGGATGCCCCTCTCCCTTAGACGCTGCTGCAGATGCTGCTCTTGCTGCTGCCTCAGGTGTCCGCTCAGGTGCCTCCTCAGGTGACTACTTTTTCGCAGGTGCCGTCTCAGGTGTCGTTTCAGGTGCATCAGCATTCTCCTCTCCCCTGCGCTCCTCATTCACTGCACAGCCACGTGGCAGCTCTCCAGCAGCCTATCTTCCACGTGGCAGCCTCTCAATGGTGCACCGTTTCGTCTTTATAGATCCCCCAGCCAGTAGCATTCGCCCTGCTGCCACCATTGCCAGCAGCAGCAACACCCATTATCCTCGTAACCCTAGTAGCCTAAGTAACTCCAGTAACTCTATTTACCCCAGTAACTTCAGTAACCCTAGCCCGAATAACCTTAACTACTTGAAGCGGGTTGGCAGCGCCACTCGTGGCCGATTCTCTAGCAGAAGCAACTCAAGTCAGTTCCGTGAGAACAAGCCTTCCCAGCTCCTCCGAAAGAGCAAGAGCAGCAGCAGCAGCAGCAGTGACTGGAGGCATGATGTTAGCTCACTCGAGAAGCAGCAGATCACCACGAGCGAAGCTCCTTCTCTCCACCGCTCAAAGTCCTCTGGAGCGTCACTGGACAGTGCCAGCAACAGGGGGGGTTCGGTGTCCCTTCAGCAGATGGACCTGATGCAGGGGAAGGAGCAGACGGAGCAGCAGGAGCAGACGGAGCTGCAGGAGCAGACGGAGCAGCAGGAGCAGACGGAGCAGCAGGAGCAGACGGAGCAGCAGGGGCAGGAGCAGCAGGAGCAGGTGGAACAGACGCAGCCAATGAAGCCAAAACTGCAAAAACTCAGCTCCCGCTCCAACCGTGACTTGATGGTTCTGCAAAAGGAGCAGGAGCTGGAGCAGCAGGAGCAGCAGGAGCAGCAGGAGCAGCAAGAACAGAAGGAGCAGACGCAGCGGGAGCAGCAGTCACAGCCAATGAAGCCGAAACTGCAGAAGCTCAGCTCCCGCACCAACCGTGACTCAACGGTCTTGCCTCACTGCTCCCCTCCCTCCTCTTCCCTCCCTGCCAACCCCTCCTCTTCCTCCCTCTCCTCTCTCCCCTCATCTCTCCCAACCTCACATCGACACGCAGTTGATCTCACCACCTCCTTCCCTCAGTTTAAACGAGAAATCGCCAGGATCCGCTGCCTGGCGTCCCTCAAATCCGCTGTTTCTTCTGCTAGCGCTGCTTCCTCTGCTGCCGCTGCTACCTCTGGTGCTTCTGCGTCTCTCAGTGGTAGAAGTAAGCACCCCAGGGAGCGGTGGCAGGAGTGGGCGGAGAAAGTGCCGGGAAAGAAGTTCCTGTCACAACAGCAGAACGAGCAGCAGGAGGAGGAGGAGGAAAACAAGGAGGAGGAGGAGGAGGAGGAGGAGCCGCGGAGTTGCGATGAGAATCAAACGGATCAGCAGCAAGATCAGCAGCAGGTGCAGCCGGGGGTGCATCAAAAGATGCAGCAGGGGTTGAAGCAGCAGGGGTTGCAGCAGCAGGCTCAGCGGCACTTACAAGGGAAGCCACCGAGACCGGGACTTCACCGCAGCGCGAGTGCACAATCTCTCAACATTCTTCATCCAAAGGCGCCCTTTGAAGTGCCTGGTAAGTCGCGTCTTGGTTCAAGGTCCCTCAGGAGCAGTCTGGGTGCGCAATCCAGTCTCAACAGGAGCCACCCAGATCTCCCTCCTCGCTTCCCCTCGCCATGTACCCCTTCAGATGCCTCAGGTGAGATTTCAGGTGCTTCTCCAGGTGATTCGCCAGGTGACTTTTCTCAGGTGCGTCCTCAGGTGCTTCCCCAGGTGTTCCAATTCCTCTTTGAGCCACACTTACCCCCGGAACCCTCACTGCCTGCCTGTGCGAACCTGCTTCTGACGAAATGCGCTGAGCTGTCAAGGGTTGAGCGTCGAGAGCTGTCAATCAGAGGGCTTATTCTGAGGCCGGAGGGAGGGGAGAGAGTGAGAAAGGAGGAGAGGAAGGTGGGTGTGGAAGAGAGAGAGCGAGAGGGGGAGGGGGAGGGAGGGAAGGGGGTTGAGGAGGGGAGGATGGCGGAGGAGAACGAATGCGGTGCAGAGGGGTTGGGAGCGGGAGAGGGTGGTGATGGGGAGAGGGAGAGGAGTAAGCTGGTGTGGGAGAAGCTAGAGCAGCAGCTGGAGGTGCAGAGGGAGGAGGAGGAGAGGCGAGAGGGGTTATTAGAGCAGCAGCGTGCAGAGGGCAGAAATGAGCCGCCAGAAAGCAGAGAGAAGCGAGCAGAGAGCAGGGAGCAGAACGGTGCTGCTGCTGGCGGCGTGGAGGTGGTTGGGGGCAGTGCAGACCAGGGTGATGAGGTGGATGGGCGTGGTGCTGTGGGGTTGAATCCGGTGCTGATGCCGGCCAAACCACCGCGCATGCTCTCCCGGCTAAATGCCACCCGACGCCGCCCGTCTGAAGACAACAGCTTCGACAGCAAGAGTGTGGGAAGTAAAGGAGGGGAGGAGGAGGAGGAGGAGGGTGACAGGACGAGTGATCAAGGCGGCACGGAGGGTGAGGGAGATGAGGAGGAGGAGGGGGAGGAAGAAGGGAAGAAGGCAGGTGAGGTTCTCTCACCAAGGGAAGAGGCCATGATGCTGCTGTGGGTGATTCCCGGTTTAGGGGGCGAGGAGGAGGAGGAGAGGAGGAAGGTGAGAATACGTCAGGCCTTGGCAGCAGCAGCAGGCGGGATCGCCAGTGGGGCTTTAACTGTGGCAGGGGGGATCAAGGGTGGGGCGATGAATGTTAGGGAGGGGATTAAAGAAGGGGCGTTGAATGTAAAGGAGGGGATTAAGGGAGGGGCGATGAATGTTAAAGAGGGGATTAAAGAAAAGGCGATGAATGTGAAGGAGGGGATCAGGGGAGGGGCAAGGAACGTTGCATCCGTAGCAGTGGCAGCGGCAGCAGCAGCAGCGTCGGGAATAGCGCATGGTGAGTCCAGAAGGACACATAGCATAGGTCAACTACCCTGGCCGCCCCGGCGTGTGACTAAGAGCGGTGATAATTCTAACTGGGGGTGGGACGTTGAGGGAGGAGGGAGAGGCGAGGCAGGAGGAGAGGGGGGGAGGGGGAGGAGGAGGTGGTGGAGGAGGGAACAGGTTTTTGCAAACACTGGGTAAGGTGAGGGGAACAGTGTTGGGTTTAAGCAGCAGGGGCCTGCACAGAAGGGAGACGTTTGGGGCAACTAGCCCTATTTCTCCCAGGTTCTTTCACAATACGCCCAGTATTTTCCATCGTAAGTCAGCACCTGCCGAAGAGACAGTGCTTGTTCCCATGGGCAGTGAGGAGGGGAGAGTGGTGAGAAGCAAGAGTGCGGAGCACAAGGGAATGAGGGAGGTTGGATTGGCTCCAGGGGTGGGGGCAAGGGAGGCTGGGGGTTCTCGTTCTGGTGACATGGGGAGGTCTTATTCAGGGGAGGAGGGAGCTAACCCTGGGCCTGGGGCGCTTCAAAGCCTGGGGAGGTCTTATCTGGGGGAGGTGGAGATTGGTGCTGTTGGGTTCGCAAAGGTGGTACGGAGATACGACGATGATGATGAGGAGGAGGATGAGAGTGAGAGTGTCACTAACGAGGATGACAATAACAAGGATGGCAATAACGAGGATGGCAATAACGAGGCCTTCTGGTGGGGGGATTACGAGGAAGAGGAGCAGCTGATGCTTGATGATTCAGATGAAGATTCAGGTGACACTTCAGGTGAATGTTCACGGAACCCAGTTGTGCTTGGTGGTTTGGAGGAAGGCGAGGTTATTGGTGGACGTGTGGTAAAGGGAGGGGCATTAGAATTGGGAAACGGGTGGGATGAGGGAGGAGGATTGGGAGAGGGAGGAGGATCAGGAGAGGGAGGAGAATCGGATGAGGGAGAGGGGTTAGGGAAGGGGCTGGAAGGGGGAGGAGGACAGGGAAGGGTAGTTGCTGGATGGGGTGCTCTGAAGAAGCTTGACAGTAGGCGGCGCGATCGACGGTCGAGATCATCGTTTGGTTCTGATCTTCCGTCAGTGGATGAAGAGGAGATGGATGTGGAAGGGGGTTTGAGTGAGGAGGGGAAAGAGAGGGAGGAGGGGAGAGGGAGGGAGGAAAGAGAGGAGGAGGGGAGAGGGGGGGAGGGGAGAGAGGAGGAGGAGGGGAGAGACGAGGGGGAGGAGAGTGAAGGGGAGGAGAGGAGAGTGGTGGATTGGGGGATAGATGGAGAAGAGGGGAGCGAGGCCGAGGAAGAAAGAGAGGCGGAGGAGAAAACAGGGATGAAGGAAGGATTTCTGGAGGAGATGGAGAGTGAAGGGGAGAAGGAGGAGGCTAGGAGTGAAAGGGAGGAGGATGAGGTTAAGAGTGAAAGGGAGGAGGAGGAGGTTAGGAGTGAAAGGGAGGAGGAGGAGGTTAGGAGTGAAAGGGAGGAGGAGGAGGTTAGGAGTGAAGGGGAGGAGGATGAGGTTAGGAGTGAAGGGGAGGAGGATGAGGTTAGGAGTGAAGGGGAGGAGGAGGAGGTTAGGAGTGAAGGGGAGGAGGATGAGGTTAGGAGTGAAGGGGAGGAGGAGGAGGTTAGGAGTGAAGGGGAGGAGGATGAGGTTAGGAGTGAAGGGGAGGAGGAGGAGGTTAGGAGTGAAGGGGAGGAGGATGAGGTTAGGAGTGAAGGGGAGGAGGATGAGGTTAGGAGTGAAAGGGAGGAGCAGCAGAGTGAGGCGGGGGAGGGAAGCTGCTTTGGGGATGCAGGAATGGGGCAGGACGCGAGAGAGGCAGAGGAGGGTGGAGAGGTGGAAAGGGGGAGAGAAGTGGAAGGGGAAAGCGAGGAGGAGGGAGGAGGAGAGGCTGAGGCGAAAACGGGAATGAAGGAAGGAGAGTTTGAGGAGATGGGGAGTGAAAGGGAGGAGGAGGAGACTAGGAGTGAAGCGGAGGAGGAGGAGACTAGGAGTGAAAGGGAGGAGGAGACTAGGAGTGAAAGGGAGGAGGAGGAGACTAGGAGTGAAAGGGAGGAGGAGGAGGAGATTAGGAGTGAAAGGGAGGAGGAGGAGACTAGGAGTGAAAGGGAGGAGGAGGAGATTAGGAGTGAAGGGGAGGAGGAGGAGAGAGAGGCGGAGGAGGGAAGCTGCGTTGGGGAGGTGGGAGTGGTGCAGGAAATGAGAGAGGCAGAGGAGGGTACAAAGGTGGATGAGGAGAGAGCGGTGGAAGGGGAAAGCGAGGAGGAGGGAGGAGGAGAGGCTGAGGCGAAAATAGGGACGAAGAAAGGAGAGGAGGAGGAGATGGGGAGTGAAGCGGAGGAGGAGGAGACTAGGATTGAGGCGGGGGAGGGAAGCTGCATTGGGGAGGTGGGAATGGTGCAGGAAGCCAGAGAGGTAGAGGAGGTTGCAAAGGTGGATGAGAAAAGAGAGGTGGAAGGGGAAAGCGAGGTGGAAGGGGAAAGAGAGGTGGAAGGGGAAAGGGAGGTGGAGGAACGAGAGGTGGAAGGGGAAAGAGAGGTGGAGAAACGAGAGGTGGAAGGGGAAAGAGAGGTGGAGGAACGAGAGGTGGAAGGGGAAAGGAAGGTGGAGGAACGAGAGGTGGAAGGGGAAAGAGAGGTGGAGAAACGAGAGGTGGAAGGGGAAAGAGAGGTGGAGGAACGAGAGGTGGAAGGGGAAAGGGAGGTGGAGGAACGAGAGGTGGAAGGGGAAAGGGAGGTGGAGGAACAAGGAGAGGCAATGAAGCGAACAGGGATGGAGGGAGGAAAGGCTGAAGAAGAAGTTGAGCGTGAAAGAGTGGAGGAGGAGAGCAAGGAGGAGAAAGAGGAGAAAGACGAGGAAAAAGAGGAGAAAGAGGAGAAAGAGGGGAACAGTAATCGCGTTAGGGAAGTGGAATTGGAGGAGGAAGGAGGAGAGAGTCCCGAGGGTACACATATGGAAGGGGAGCGAGAGGAGGGGGAGGCGGAGGAGAGTGAGGTGGGGAAGAGACAAGGATTGGAAAATGGAGAAGAGAGCAAAGAGAGTGAGAAGAGTGAGGAGGGAAGTCATAGAGACGAGCAAGATTTGGGGGAAGATAGGGAGATTAGAGGCGAGGAAGAGAGGGAGGAGGAGGAGGGAAGGGAGAGGAAGGAGGGCGTAGAGGCGAAGGAGGGGAAAAGAGAAGAGAGGATACAAGGAGTGGTGGAGATGGGTGCAATGGTAAAGGAGCGGGTAGATCGGAGGGCAGAGGCCACAGCGGAATTAATAGGCGCTGCAGAACGATTAGAAATGGCAGATGCGGCAGAAGGAGCAGAAGTGGCAGAAGGAGCAGTAGTGGCAGAAACAGCAGTAGTGGCAGAAACAGCAGTAGTAGCAGAAGCAACAGTAGTGGCAGAAGCAACAGTAGTGGCAGAAGCAACAGTAGTTGCAGAAACAACAGTAGTGGCAGAAGCAACAGTAGTTGCAGAAACAACAGTAGTTGCAGAAACAACAGTAGTTGCAGAAACAACAGTAGTTGCAGAAACAACAGTAGTTGCAGAAACAACAGTAGTTGCAGAAACAACAGTAGTTGCAGAAACAACAGTAGTTGCAGAAACAGCTGGAGAAGGAGCATTAGTGGCAGAGACAGGTGAAGCAGCAGAGGTAGCCGGGGGGGAAACAGAATCAGTGGCTGAAACAGTAGTTGCTGAGCCATCGCTGCCAGCTGTGGTGGCTGCTGCTGTTGCTGCATCAGATGTAGCTGATTCAGACGCACCTGCATCAGACATACCTGTTTCAGACATACCTGCCTCAGACGTACCTGCCTCAGATGTACCTGCCTCAGACATACCTGCCTCAGATGTACCTTCCTCGAGCTCCACAGCAGCAGATGCCCCATCCATTCGCCGAATCGGGTCGGCAGTGGCGGCAGCGGTGGCAGCAGGAGACGTTGTGATTAGTGAGAGTGCAGCTGGTGCTGCTGTGCTGTTGCGTGCAGACCAGCCTCTCTTTGAACGGACTGAGGAGCTGTCGGGGAGGCGAGGGGCAGCAGATGGAGCAGCAGAAGCAGAAGCAGAAGCAGAAGGAGAGGCAGAAGCAGAAGCAGAAGGAGAGGCAGAAGCAGCTACAGCAACAGCAATAGCAGAGGAAGAGGGGAGTGTGGGGCATGGGAGTGTGGAGGAGAGGAGTGTTGGTGAAGGGAAGAAAGGAAAGGGTAAGGTAAAAGGAGGCGAGAAAAAGGCGTTGCTCAAGTCACCTTCCAGGAAGATTCATCGGCAGGAGTCCCGGGATGGGGAGACGAGCGGGGATGACGTGATGAAGAGCGGACGGGTGAGGAGAAGCAAGAGTAAGTTGAAGAAGGGAGAAGGGGAAGCAAGTGAGAAGAGGCAGGAGGCAGGAGGAGACATTGAGGCAGGAAGTAAGGTCAGAAAGAGTACGAAAAAGGGGAATAAGATCCGCAGCAAAGAGGAACACAAGGGGCAGCAGCAGCAAGGGGGGGAGCAAGAGGAAGAGAAGGAGAAAAAGAAGGAACAGGAGCAGCAGGAGCAGCCGCCGCAGGAGCTACTAGCAAACGTGACAATCCGCCATATGCTGCCAACAGGGGAGCTCGCTACCACACCTCAGCGCCTCTCCATTCCTGCTGCGCCCCTCTCCCCCACCACTCTCACCAGCCCCACCAGCGGCAACAGCACTCCTCGCAGCAACGCCTCCTCTCCCGCCTCCCCTGCTGGCTCCTTCAGCTTCGCCCTGCTCTCCCCTGCCACTCCTAAGCAGCCCTGTAAACGGGACAGTGCTGCTGATGCTGCTTCTGGTGCTGCGAGTGCTGATGGTGGTGGTATTCTGGGTGGTCTTGGTGCGAGTGGGGCGGACGGTGCTGCTGCTGCAGGGAAGAAGGTGAAGAAGGGGAAGAAGAAAGCGGTTCGCCTGCCTGCGATTGGTGAGATGGAGGGCAGTGAGAGCGAGGTGAAGGAGGGGAGTGGTGAGAGGAAGAAAACTACCAAGAAGCACCTCTTTAGGGGAGCATCAGTCGCATCAGCATCATCTGCAGCCTCGGCAGATTCCCGAGCCTCTAAAGCTTCGGTAGCATCTGTAGCATCTGTAGCATCTGTAGCATCAGCAGCAGCATCAGTGGTTTCAGCAGAATCGGTTGTTTGGAGTGTGTCAACCACATCGTCGGGTAAACCCCGAAAGTCATCCAGTAACAAGCCACCAACCACCCCTACCACCCCAGCCACCCCAGTCACTTCTTCTCGTGAGCCCCAAGTTTCACCCAGCAGACGGTCGTCAGTGGACGATTCTAGCGGCAATCACAGCCCTTCTGTACGCAGAATGATTCCTCAGAGCATGAGCGCTTCACATGCCTCATCTGCCGCTGCTGCCGCTGCCGCTGTTGCTGCTGTTGCTGCTGTTGCTGCTGTTGAGCGCAGCAGCAGCAGCAGGCGGCAGTCAGTGGACAACGATTTCAGCAACACTCCAAACCCGCCTGTTCGGAGAATGATCCCTCAGAGCATGAGTGCTTCACACTCAACTGCTGCTGCCGCTGCTGCCGCCGCCGCTGTTGCTGCTGTTGAACGCAGCAGCAGCAGGCGGCAATCAGTGGACAACGATTTTAGCAGCAGTGGCACTCACAGCCCGCCTGTCCGCAGAATGATTCCCCAGAGCATGAGTGCATCGCACTCTGCTACTGTGGTTAGGTTTCAACTGCCAGGGGAGGTCCTTTCGGAGCCACCCCGATCCCCGCCTACAGCCCATTCTAGCCCTTCTCGGGTGCCCCGTTCCCCGAACATGGCCCATTCTAGCACAACTCAAAGCCCGCCTGGTAGAAGAATGATCCCCCAGAGCATGAGCGCGTCACATGCCCCCGCGGCCGCCGCTGCTGCTGACTTCTACCTTCCTGCAGAGCAGAGTCCTTCTCGGGTGCCCCGATCCCCGAACATGGCTCATTCTAGCACAACTCAAAGCCCGCCTGGAAGAAGAATGATCCCCCAGAGCATGAGCGCGTCGCAAGCCGTGTCCTGGCTCCCCCCTATGGCTCGTTCTCCCACCAGCTCTCCCAACAGAAGGGAGTCAGTTGAAGGTACAGCGTCTAGGCGGGTTTCTATGGACGATCCCAGTGGCAGGAGGGATGCTGTGTCGCCACACAGACGGGTTTCCGTGGATGATTCTAGTGGTGCTCTGAGTGGTGTGAGTGGGTCTGGACGAAGAATGATTCCCCAGAGCATGAGCGCTTCACATGCCTCTGCTGCTGCTGCTGCCGCCGCTGCTGTTGCTGCTGTTGGTGCGGTTGAGAGTGGCAGGAGCAGCAGCAGAGGGGTGTCGCCGGTTAAGAGCGGCAGCAGTAGTAGAAGCAGGAGCGTTTCACCTGTTGATTTCAAGCGGCTGCGGTGGAAAGGGATTGGGAGGAGTGCAAGGAAGGAGGACGGGGAGGAGGGAAGGCGTGCGGGTGGAGGGGAGGGTGGGGAATGGAGGGAGGAGGAGGAGGAGGTGGAGAAGGAGGAAGAAGAGGAAGGGGGTGCGGCATCTGGCAAGAAAAAGGGTGGGTTGGGCAAGATTCTGAAGGGCCTGGATTCATCAATGGGGAAATTGATCAAAGCAGCCGGTGGGAAGAAGAGCAGAGAGCACGAGTCCGCTGCTGCTGCTGCTGCTGCTGCTGCTGAGACTGCTGGAGGGGTGGCAGCAGACGGGGTTGCAGGAAAGGTTAAGCGAACGATGAGCAAGAAGGGGAAAGAGGTGGGCAAGGGGAAGGAGGGAGGGATGGAAGGTAGAGCTGATGTGCTCGTGAAGAGTAGCAGTGTGGATGAGGAGCAGGGAGAGGAGCGGCGGATGGGAAGGACAATGAGTAAGGTGAAGAGAGGAGGGAAGGAAGATGCCGGGGAGAAGAGTAGAGATGAAAATGTTGGTGTAGTGGCTGGGAAAGGGGAAGAAAAGGAAAGGAAGGCAGGAAGGACGCTTAGTAAGGTGGAGAGAAAGGGGAAAGAAGGAAAGGATGGGGGGGAATCCGAGGGAGGGGATTATGAGAGGAAGGCGAGCAGAACACTGAGCAGAAAGAAACGAGAAGGAAAGGGGTTAGAGGAGGAAGGTGAGGGGAAGGCGAGCAGAGTGAAGGGAGAGATGGAATCAGAGGAGGATGGGGATAGGAAGATGAAGAGGACGATGAGTAGGAAGAAGAAAGGGGAAGACGGGGAGAAGATGGAGAAAAGGGAGGAAGAGGATTCAGAGAGAAGAATGAGCAGGACATTGAGTAGGAAAAAGAGAGGGGAGGGGGGGGAGAAGATGGAGAAGGGGGAGGAGGTGGGGGGAGGGAGCAAGATGAAAAAGTCTTCGAGCAAATCAAGGAGGGAGCAAGCAGAGGAGGGTGGGGATGCAGGGGCAGAGGAGGAAGCAAAGCGGCATGGGGGAGGAGATGAGAAGAAAGCGAGCCGGACGCTGAGTAGAGTGAAGAGAGAGGAGAAGGGGGCAGAGAAGGATGGGGAGAGGAGAGCAAGCAGGACGCTAAGCAAGGTGAAGAGAGGCGAGAAGGAGAGTGAGGAGGTTGAGGAGAAGAGGGCGAGCAGAACGTTGAGTAAAGTGAAGAGAGGGGAGGAGGTTGAGGAGGCTGAGGAGAGGAAAGCAAGCAGAACTCTGAGCAAAGTGAAGAGAGGAGAGAAGGAAAGCGAGGAGGTTGAGGAGAGAAAGGCAAGCAGGACTCTAAGCAAAGTGAAGAGGGAAGGTGGGCATGGGGATGGGGACGGAGGTGGAGGAGAGAAGAAGGCCAGTCGAACCCTAAGCAGGGTGAAGAGAGAAGGAAACGAAGCTGCTGGTGCTGCTGCTGCTGCTGGGACTGCAGAGAGAAGCCCACACCGTGCCACTCGCAGCAGCAGCCACGGGCACGAGTCCTCTCACAGGCGAGCCACCTCGCATGGGAGCATCACTGGACAGGAGAGCTTTCACAGCCATGAGAGTTTGAGAAGTTCAGGCAGCAAGGTGGGGAAGGAGAGTGAGAGAGGGGCGGCGGACGGGAGGAAGGCTGCTCGGACATTGAGCAGTCGGAGGGCTGAGGGGGCGGAGAGAGCAGGGGAGGGTGAGGACGGGAGGGTTTCGAGACCGAGAACGGCTGACAGTGGTGGGAATGCGGTGAGTGGTGGGGGATGGGTGCAGCTGGGTTTGCCGAAACACGGAGTGGTAACGATGGGTCTTCAGGAGCAGCTGTCGCCTTTTGAGGCCCCGTCGGCGCCGCCTCAGAAACCGCCCGTTTCTCCTGTTTCGGGCGGCAACTGGAAGGCAATCTCGTCTTTTGCCACGTCGCCGCGCGCCAGCTCATCGCATGCCATGTCAGGTGCCACGTCACCGCTGATGTCACCGTCTGGCTCGTCGGCTCTTGCCACGCCTCCTCTGGGATCCCCCACCCATGCCAAGCCACCTTCGTTAAAGTCACCCACGTTGAAGTCACCGAGGATGAAGATACCGTTTATGGAGTCTGGTAAGGCCAGTAAGCTGGGCAAGAGCAAATCGGCAAAGGTTAGTCGGGACAAGGAGGATGAGAAGGAGGAGAAGGAGAAGGGAAAGAAGAAAAAGGAGAAAGTGAAGGGAAAGGGGAAGGGGGGCGTTGAAGATGGTGAGAAAGAAAGGGCCAAGAGCCCATTGAGGGGTAAGTAAAATCTTTGGGCAACAGAGCCGAAGAGCTGGGAACGCCATTAATTGTAGCAGTCTTGGCTTATTTCAGTTAAATAGTAAACCTCTTGCTCTTAACCTTTTTAGTATGACTAATATGTATATATTAATTATTATCATGTTTCCTAGTCCTTATTTTCCATCCTTCCTCGAGCTCATTAACGGTTGCCTTTTCAATGGTCGGAAACGGAGACTCGTTTAGTGGAGTAAACCTCCCCTGGAAACTGATTGGCTGTTATCGCGGGTGTATGAGCTCAGCCCCTCGTTATTCGCCAATCCGCCAAATGTTATATGCGAAACAACACCGTACACGTGTTTTTTATCTCATCCCGCCAAAACAATTGACGAATCATGAAGGCAAGATGAGGTCATCGGGCAATTGCCTGGACGTCATTCTCCTGCAGCGCCATCCTGGCATACCCTGCTTTACCAATTCGACACGTCATGGTAAAACTGTGTACGATTGTCGCAAAGCAGAATAAACCAGTTACCATAGTTTGCGAAATACGTCAGCTGTCGTGGACATCGTATGTTTGTGTCGTGCAGCACCAGCAGCGTTTCCCCGTTAGGCATTTTCAGTACTTCTAAGTTCCAACTAATTTCCCCCGAAAACTGATTTCAAGGCGAAGTGCGGACAACTAATCGCCGCCGCAGCTTCAGTAGGCGGACCACCCCATCTCCTGAACCCGAATTCATTTCTTCCTTTTACCTCGGCCACCACGGGGAACGCAGACTGACGGAAAGAAAAATATCACCTTTTGTTTTCGACCGCCACGTTTTCTACCACCACTTGGGCGCGTAGATTCCGCAATGACCAGCATTCGCGCGTCTCCTCTCGTCGCAACCGCCCCCTTGGTCCCCCGCCGCATCTCGCCAACGGTGGCTGCGCTCCGCGTGGACTCCGCAGCAGCTTCCGCCATGCTCGCCCGCTCCACGTCCGCGAAATCGCAGCCGTCCGTTCCCGTTCCATTCGCTTGCGACAAACCTCGACCGAAATTATCGAGTTATGGAGCAAATCGATGTCGCATGAGCGTACTAAACTCATGTCATGGACATTTTGCAGGCACGCCAGATTATGGATACTATTGCAGGAGCAGCGACTTTGGCGGAAGCGGGACTAAGGGTCGACGAGGCGCAGTGATCGTGACGGCGAAAGCTGGAAACCGCTGGTTCCAAGGGGGCGGCGGCCGGCAGAACAACCGGTTTGGTGGCGGCGGGAGCGGCGGCGGGACCGACGGCGGAAGCATGGGGTGGAGTTACCCTTGGGAGTCTGGTGAGTCGTCGTACGGTTCGAGGCTGGTGAGCGGGGCGCGAGGGGAGTTTGGTGAATCAAGTGCGTCAAGTGTAATTTGCTTGAAACAGTGTTACCACCGTCAAGTGTTACCACCAAGGATATTGTCAAATGCCAGGATGTACGGCCTCTCAGTTCCCACCATCCCATGTGTCGCCAGCCGCGCACACATAATCGTGCTCACTCATGGTCTGAAAAGCATCACCGCTGGAATAACTCGCAGTTGTCGAAGCATGCTCCACCGCATAGTACAAACCATTATGGAGGGGTGGGAGAGCATGTAAGAGTCTTCCCAGTTCCCCCACCCGCCCACAAATCCCTACTCCCATCTACCACCAGACGCCGAAACATCGTGGGAGCCTCGGCGGCAGAGCATCACGTTCTTCACGTCCCAAGGGGTGTTTCAGGTCCACGAGCTCGCTCACGTGCCTGCCGCACCGCCATCATCGGCAGCAGCGTTGCACCGCTTCTCGGAGCGGCGATACATGGATCCGCAGCAGGGCCTGTGCCTTGCGTCGCTCTTCGACATCCGCGCCTTCAACGTGAGTGCCCGTGGAGGGGGTGTTGATGTGTGGTGGGGGGGAATGGAAGGAGAGAGGGAGGGGAGGAGTGGGGCGGCAGCAGAGCCTGTGCCTCGCGTCGTTGTTTCATATCTGCGCGTTCAACGTGAGGAGCGGGAAGGGGGTGTTGATGTGTTGGGGCTGGGGTGGGGGGTAGGGGGAGGAAGTTAGAGGGGGTGGGTGGAAGGGGAGACGGTAACCATGACTTGCGTCTTCTCTCTTCTCCTCTCCGCTCCTCTCCTCTCCTTCTTCTCCATTCCTTTCCGCTCCTCTCCATTCTTCACCACTCCTCACCACTCCTCTCCACTCCTCTCCCCCTCCTTCCTCTCGCCCTTCCAGGGTCTTGATGCGTCACGTCTCTTCTGTGTGGTGGGCTTCTGTCGCTCTCCTGAGATGCTCTCAGACGTCGTAGCAGACACGGTTCTCATGGCTGGCGGGGAGGTGAGCACTTTTACACGCGCACACGTTGTCCGTGCTCGTACTAATAGATGCATTTTCACACATATATATACACATGTATTCATAGTAAAAAATGTGTATGTCGCGTCCCCGCATTGTAGTAAGTACGTCACCGACAAGATGCTTCACAATTTCTGCTAACCACAAAAATCAGAGCACTGATTCCCGGGTTAACCGCACCTATTCCTGTCACTCCATTTACATGTCTTCAGGTGGTGGACTCGAAGCTGGAGATGGGGCAGGGTGTGCATGAGCATCTGCGCCTCACAGTTTCTTGATCAGGCTAAAACAATCCATCCAATTCTGTGCTGCCACGTGCCTTCAGGTGGTGGACTCGAAGCTGGAGATGGGGCAGGGCCTGCACGAGCATCTGCGACTCACAGTCGCCCTCCCCTATCTATTTGGCGTGCCGCCCGCCTTGGACGCACTCAACCGGGCGATTCGATTGGGCGGCGGGATTGTGGATAAGAGCTTCCACCAATGGGAGATGTGCCCCTAGCGTGCTGCTACATAAACTGTACACCCTGTATATAAAGGTAACTCATTCGGTCTCTGGTTTGCTTAGCCTCTATCCATCAGCCTGTTGGCTTGGCCTTGGAGAGCCCATCCATCCATGAATGATTTGCATTTGGTGTATCTATGATACATTTGTCTTGGTCCATGTGATGGTTGGTCGCTAAAGCACATACGCATATGACACCGAATTATGGGTGTGTGTAGAACTCTCATTGTTTATTGATAAAATATACAGAACAGCCTAAGGTTAGAAAATGTTGTTGAGCAGCTATTTCGCCAATTTTGGTAACTGATGGATCTCCAGCCAGCATGGAAGCACATTCACAACCCCGTTCTTACTCTCCACGATAACCATACGTCAAACCACTGGCTCCCACCTGTTGTGCAATATGTGATGTGCTCCTCCCCCCTGAAAAGCACTTCCGCTAGCTACTAGCTTTGCGATGCTCAAACTCTTGCTGAATTTGCCGATTCCGCACGCCTTAGTCCCAATGGGCCCGCACGCGCACCGTTCAAGCCGCTCCTCTTCCGCCTGCTTTTGAGACGTATGAAAAACAGAACGCTATGCACTCGGGCAGCACTTGCCGATTCCACATGCCCTGGTCCCAAAGGGGCAGCACGTGTACGAGCCGTTTCTCTTCTTCATGCACGCGCCCGCCTTGCAGCACATGGTTCCGCCGCAGCACGGGTACTCCACGTTGTCCTGCCGGGAAAACATAAGGTGTGATGGAATGGTGGAGAGTAAAGATCCTGAATCTGACTCGAAACTCATGGGGCAGCAAGCATGTGTATGAGCCGTTCCTCTTCTTTCAAGCACGTTCCCGCCTTGCAGCACATGCTTCCGCCGCAGAACGGGTAATCCACGTTGTCCAATCGTGACGATTCAATGATGGTTGGCAGTCATTTCATATTTTACTACTCCAATGGGAAAGATGAGGTTTCCTGTCGACTAAAGAGATCTCGGTGCATAAAAAAAGGTTCGCACGCACTCAGATTTGCAATGTTATGAAAATTATTTTTTTTATATCTGTATGATATTAGTAATGGTTAATAAATCTGCACTTACAATGCAACAGGCGCCAGAGCAGTAAATGGCAGGCTGACTGCATGTTGTGACACTCCTGTACGGGCAAACTCCAGCCCCTCTCGGGCATTGAAGCTTCTTCACCGCTATTAGAGATCGCCGGCTGCTGATAATTGCTGGTAAATCTCCGTCTTGCAGAGCCTGCGAAGCTCTAAGTAGCGCTAAAGCGATCAAACAGACCAGCGCAATTGAGTGGATAGAACGGAAATGAAACAACGCCATTGTGTTGTTAATGGCTGGAGAATGTCACGTGAAATTGGGGAAATATTTGAAGATCAGCTACGGTTTATTGATGGTAAAAAACGGGCTCTTGCTAAGGTGGAGTTTGAGAATGTAGAGAGTTCTCAACGAGCAAGTACTAGTATTTTATGAGCCGAGAAGAGAATGGTAAGAATTTCGAGTGGGTTGCAAGGACAGAATGAGCAGGATTTGAAAGGTGGTGGTGTGCTTGCCATGTGCATGTGCTTCCGTCCGCATCGCCTCGCCATTTCCAATGTACGGACCGCGATTTCCTTCAGAATATCGCGACATGACAGGGAGATTTGGTTACAGGTTGCTTCGAAGAAAGGGTGGGGTCGCTGACGTCAACCTGTCGCAGCCATGGATCCCGGGAAAGGTTCATTCCGATGCCAGCCTGGATTTAGATGAACCTTCAGCGGAGCACCACCAATGACCAGTACGAAACCCGCAGAAGCAAGGGTTTCTGTTCCGCTGTTTTCTGTGCTTTTCGCTGTCGCCAGCGGACCAGTTATTGCGAAATCCATTCGGCGACTGGTAACAGGCTGGTCAATTCCAAACAATGCGAGTCAAAGAGGTGGATAGCGTACAGCCACCACGTCAGCTCACTTCGAAACCAGCTTTCGCGGCTTGCCACCGACACCGATTCAGCTGTTGCGGATGAACCGAGGAATGTGAGGAAGGCGGGGAAGGGGGAGAGGGGGGCTGAACAAAACGCGTGGCACAAATCCGCACTCGTTACATCTGCGAACTCATTATGATCTGATTTGTTTAACCTGCCCTAACCAAGTGCACTGTGATCTAGTGGTTGTCAAATACGGAAAATGCAGCTAGTGCATACAAAGGGAGTGATGCCGTATTCCTGGCTTCGTGTCATCCACAGTGTGTGTCGTCTTGATTTTGTTTTCCCGAGCCGCAGTTTACGACTCGAGCTTCAGGTCTTTCTATTCCTAATGTGGCGAGCTTAAGCGAACAAGACAGACAAAAATAGTTTCTGGGTTTGGGGTTTCAAATCAGTCGAGACTGCAAAGTGTGTTGTACGTGGTGGAGTCAGACACGAAGAAAGGAATTTGAAATCTCCTTCCAATCTTTATAAGAACCCTCCACTAACTCAATGCATATAGTATGTCGATGAATCTCTGGCGCCTGAAATGGTCATAGCGGACATGGTGTCATTTAATATTGCCTAAAGACACCCGGCTATCTCCCGTCGGCGTCCGATCCTTCAAACGAACGAAGAATTATATTATTTGACACACCTCCGATGACAGTTTTCCCAAAGCCAACGTAGGAAATGAGAGGAACATGTCATATTATCGCATCTTTCAGTGATCGCTCAAATCCAGGGAGAGTCGTGTACGTTGGTAGAAGTCGAGGCGGAAAGAGAGTCAGAGAAGGCTGGCGTGGAACGATGGGATGATGTACCAGTTGACGGTCGGGAGGAGATAGGCAATGACCCGTATAATCATGTTGTTGCTTTTAAACATGTATAGATAGCAATGTTGTAATTTGGTAGACGTGCACGTGCAAGTTTTGAGTGTCGATTATTACGAATTCTTTTGACTAGTACGTGATAGGGCGGCATAGGCGACGCTGTGCTTAGAGATTATGTTAGTTTTTTCAATGCCTCTGCTGCATGTGTCCATCCAGCTCGCAAAATTTGAACGATTTGTTGTGCTCGTGGTGTCGGACTGTTGGGATTCAGCGTCACTGGCACTGTAAGGTTGTATTCGTAATTCAGGTAGAATGGTGACTGCTTTGTTGTGGCTGACGTGGCGTTGTTGCATGCAAAGTCTATCAACGGCAGCTCCTGCTCCCATGCTGCCGTGTTGTCGCCCATGGCTCAGATCAGTTGCTCCATGGTCGGGTTTGTCCATTCGGTCTGTTCGTCGGTTTCCGAGTGGTATGATGAGCTGAACGGTAGCCGTGTACCGAATTGTTCCAGGAGGTTGTTCCAGAATAAAAATTGTGTCGCGGTCGTTGATTATCACTTATGGTATCCCCGTGAAGTCGAACGACGGCCATGATGAACATGCGGGCACACTATTGCATGTAGCAAAGTGGGCCATCTTCGTCGAGCGGTCGCCGATGACCATGACCGCATCGTTACCGCTGGAGCCAGCAGGTAAACCCGTTATCAAGTCCATGGTCACCTGCTGCCAGGCGCGCTCAGGCGGCCCGATCGGCTACGATTGTCCTGCCTATTTTCCTGAAACAACCTCATCACCTCGCACGCTGGAGACAACCCCAGGTGGTGATGTACATCCGTCAACATTTCCGACGAGTAATAACACCGCTGAAGTTGCTATCACGCCGTTCTTAATGCAGAATGAAACGGGGCATTTATGTCGTGTGCTTCTTGCAGTAGCAGTTTTTGTAGCAGTGAATACACGGGTATTCCTACGTAACTGGTACCGGCTTTTACGTAACATGATCCCTTTAACTGCGAGTTTCCGTCAGTAAAAAATGGGCCAGTGCGACATCTATGGTCTCGTAGGATGGCGTGTGGTTGGGCAGTTGGGCGAGTGAGGGCGTCAGCGATGTTTAACCCATGGTAGTCCAACCAAACTATCTTTCATAAGTTCAGATTCGGCTGTGATCGTAGGCATTGTAGTGTCCACATCTGCCCCAGTCGGGTAGCAGCGCCTGACCTTAAATACGTGCATCTTGGCGAGCATCTCCATGTCGTGTTTCAAGAAGTTCCATTCGAACGGGTGGAGCTTGCGAGACCTGTACGCGATTGCCTGAAATCCATATAAGAAATTCGGTAGCAGTATTGCTCTGATGACGATGCCAACATCAATGGCAAGGTTGAAGGAGTGGTGAGGATCAGCGATGTGAAGCGCACGCACGCGCACACGCACGCACGCACGCACGCACGCACGCAGGCACGCACGCACGCACACACGCACGCAGGCATGCAGGCACGCACGTACGCACGCACGCACGTACGCACGCACGCACGCACCCACGCACGCACGCACGCACGCAGGCACGCACGCAGGCACGCACGCATGCACGCAGGCATGCACGCAGGCACGCAGGCACGCACGCACGCACGCACGCAGGCACGCAGGCACGCACGCACGCACGCACGCAGGCAGTCATGCACGCACGCACGTAGGCAGGCACGCAGACATGCAGGCACGCACACAGGCACGCACGCAGGCACGCACGCAGGCACGCACGCAGGCACGCACGAAGGCACGCACGCAGGCATGCACGCACACACACACGCATGCACACACACACACTGTGTACGCACACACACACGCACAGGCACGCGCATGCGCACACGCACAGGCACGCGCATGCGCACACGCACACCCCTCCTCCCCAATCCCCCTCCTCCCTCCCTCCCCCCCCCGCCCCCCCCAACACACACAGAACCACATCGCGGAAAAGGGAACTACAAAAAGCAACTGGAAAGTTACTGCCTCGTAACTTTAGGGTTGCCTTTTTTCCGCAAGAAAAAAGTCAAGGTTCAAAATCGTGGGTGCTGTAGTGACTTGCGAAGCAAATTTTCCGTCACTCTATTGACACAAACTGCATACATTGACGCAACTAACCCGGTATGCAGTAAATCAACCTCAAAGTTGCGGAAAGTCACTTCTGAGCAACCAATGCGAAAGTTTTACGAGTACGCCACGTGGCATACGAGG